AAAAAATCAGAAAATAGTACAAGAAAATCGTACACTGTACGAACAAATATCAAAGCACACGCAGATGATACAGGCTACGCGTGAAGATGCGCATTTTAAATCAAGATGCACATTTTAAATCATTAACAGATGCAATGTTTAAACTGAACAGGGTTTTACACTTAAAACTTTCACCAAATTTGCCTGTTGCAGGACCATCCACAAAGTAATTTTATGACGTTTTGTTATACTTTTGTTTTTTACATATATTCATGTTGTTTATATATTAAATGAACCACCTCATCAGTACAACTTAAATTACTGTTTTAAATAATTAGTAGTAAAAAACATTTTTTTTGTTGTATCTAGGGGGTCTAAAAGGTTAGCAACGCAAATGATGCGTGGGAACATATGTCTATAAGCAATCAATTGCAATGTTTAAATGACAAGTATGATGCGGTTATTAATACCGGAAGTAATAATCTGCAAGACACAGATACTCAACACAACGCAAATATTAGTGGTTATATTGCAACTGGCAGTTTACAAAGCTCTTTGGATAAATGGTTGTCAAATAGAAATGGCGCAATACAGAAGCCACCAGCAACACGTCGTAGATGAGATGATAATTACAGGTGGTCGACAGATTTAATGTGTAATAATGCCGTAAGCGATGCTTGGGAGCAGTCTTCTATTAGCGAATAACTGCAATGCTTAAATGACGTGTATGAATCAGCTCTTACTTTCTTAGAAAACCCAGGACAAAATAACACACAACACACAACACAGAACAGACAGGCACATAGATTGCCAACACTTGATCCAAAAGCTCCTAACTTTGGTTTATCTGACGGTGACATAGCAGTGTTGATGAGAAATGGTGGTGTTGTAGATGGTTATACCGTAGTAGGCTTAACAGTGTTATGCTACACAGGACATTTCATTTACGCAATGCCCTATCCACAGACATGGCCTCTTACACAGACTATGTACACAATATGCTATCAGGTTATGCAGAGTAACAAGCACATTAAAACAGACAACAGTTTGGTGTTGACTGTCTCAGTAGCTATGGGTAAAAATGGTGGTGTTCGGCGTAAGGTACGCGACCTTGCACACAACCAGGTAATCGATAGGAACAGACTGAATCTTTTCTGCCCAACAAACATCTCAAATAACCTGTGTTTTGCAATCTGCCTTGCTAATTTTCTGAACCCACACGTTCCACATAACAGATTAGAAACTATAGCTGAACAGATACAGACATACGCTGGCTACACACGTGATCATAGAGTCGGGTTTAGTAACATTGGTCGTTTTGAATATAAGTTTGGTGTTAAAATAGTTGTGTTCCTCAAGAGCAGTTCGGGTAGTTTAGAGAAGTACCAAACGAAAGACAAACTACATGCCAAGACCGTGTTTCTGTATCTCCATGACGGCCATTATTATATGACGCATGAATGTTACATACAGCCGATCAAATTAAAAGAACTCAGCAATTCTTACATCTTTTATGACTCTGAGACTCGATTTGAAAACGTCAAGCACGAAGCAAATTTTGTCTGCGCAATTACATTTGATGGTAGAGAGTTCACAGCAGAAGGGACTGACTGTGTAGAACAACTCATCAAAGAGTTTAGATGCCCCAAATATTTGGGTTACACATGGTTAACACACAACGCAGCAGGTTTTGTCAATTTCCTACTACTGGAATATTTTTCTGAAGTGGGCATTGCTGTCAAAGTCACTATGATTTTTATGATGATATTAGCGTTCGGCTAATACAGTGTCAGCCTTAAATCCAACATGCTCAGAGAAAGGGCATTTTCCGCACATATTTAATTTGAAGCAAAATGAGAACTATGTGGGTCCATACCCCGACAAGAGTTTTGGCGGCTATGACACAATGAACGACAAAGACAGAAAACAGTTTGACGAGTGGTACAGTACGGTCTGTGGTGGTGTGTTCGACTTCAAAAAGGAGTTGTATGTTTCTAGCAGGAACAATGTCGTTTTATTACGTGAAGCATGTATTGAGTATCGCGATGAGTTCATTCAGTGTACAAAGCTAGACCCGTTTAATTATGCAACATTAGCATCATGTTGCATGGCTGTGCACACTAGCACTGACACACAACAACACATACATTAACCAACACAAGACGTTCTCTAATGCTTCTATTGAATGGCTTGAGTATGTTAAGCGTACAAGAGATGTTGGTGTGCACCACACCCTAACTCATGGAGAAATGAAGTTTGGTGTGTATTATGTGGACGGGTATTATGAAAAAGATGGTGTGCGAAAAGCCTTAGAATTTAACGGCTGCGTACATCATGACCATGAATGTCATTACAGACCGAACCAGCCCCATCCGATGTCAAAGGTATTGTATGGCGAATTGCGAAAACAGTTCGACACCAAGGTAGAGATACTTGTTCAAACATATGGTCTAGATGTGGATGTAATGTGGGAATGTGAGTGGGCAATGCTAAGAGGTGAAAAGAAAGCCAGATTGGAATTCGGGTTGATGTGGTTTAGTTGGATATTGTTGTCCATCTACATAGACAGCAAGAAACTCTAAATCCTAATGTTTGAATGCAAAAGGATTTTTATTGTATGCACCCGTGAAAGCATCGTTCTCAACCATTGCTATTATCTTTGACTTTGGTAGAGTCCCCAAGAACAAATTTTCTTGGTTAGAAACACGTGTTCCAGCAGGTATCGAAAAATAGTGAGAAGAATGCTTAAATACTATATATGTAAACCACAAACCCTGTTCCCATTGTCACACTATAAACGTCGAGGAGTAGGTGGGGGTAGGTGGGGTTGTGTGGGTGTCGTAAAAACCCTGCGGACTTGTCAATCAAAACTGACCTGTCAATCACAGGGGGTCATAAATCAAACTGACCTGTCACTCAAGGGGGTCATAAATCAATCGTTTGACAGAAGGTGTATGATATATACTACTATTCTGGTCTGTGTTGTTGGTGTTTGTGCTCCTGCAGGGCTGTGTCTGCAGTAACAGTGATGAGACGAGCTCCATCAGAGCACAGAGTTACAGCTCACCTACCAACATGGAGGCATGGTCTTCATAATGACGCAATACAGTACTATGAATAGCCAGACTGTGTTTATTGTTTTTGTGCTGTTCCTACTGGAAGTTTTCCCTGATGAAGGGTGTGGTTTGGTTTGTTGTTTTGTTTCTTATTGTGGCTGCTCTCTATAGCCAGACTGTGTTCACTGAGTCTGTACTGTGATTGATGAAGAGGGAGAGAAGCTGAATGTGTGAGAGAGATAGAGAGCGAGGTTGATAAATATCCTCTGTGCAGTTTTAACTGGAAGAAAGATTTCGGTACAGAATGTTCGTGATACTGAGATAAACTCACTAATAGAGGTTTCCTGTTTACAGACATTACTTGGTGCCGCAGCCAGCAGGGAAAACCGCTTGGCTAACTCAGGGTGCTTTACACCTACCCTGTTTGGTCTGGACCTTTCGACTTTTCAGTTTGGTCCAAATCAAAATAGCAGGTGCGAAAGGTGCCTTGGACCACTTTCCAGACTAAAGGACCCAATTTTGGTCTGACTAAGAGGTGGTCTTGGACTGGATCAAACTGAACCACGGTTTGATTTGTTTGGTTTAGACTTTCAGACCAATTACAGGAAGTTGAGGCAGAATATTAAACAATAGTAGAAGAAAAAGAACCGGGAGAGAAGTTAAAATGAGCCACGGTAGCTCAGGAGGAGGAGACTGAATATTAAATTGCAGTTTGGTCCAACAAAAAGCACCACCCCTACTGACAACTACCGTCCATATGCCCCACTCATCCCCACCCTACTGGCTCCAATCCTCCATACCACCCACCCTAATGACCCCCCCCTCCATACTCCCACCATACTGGCTCCCACACTCCAGGCTCCCACTCTCCATACCCCCACCCTAATGACCCCCTCCCTCCATACTCCCACCATACTGATCCCCACCCCTGTACCCCCACTTTACTGACCCCCACCCTCAATATCCCCACCCTACTGATCCCCACACTCTATACTCCCACCCTTCTGACCCCAACCCTCCATACCCGCACCCTCCATACTCCTACTGTACTGATCCCCACCCCATACCCCCTTTTCTGACTCCCACCCTCCTCACCTCCACCTTACTGGCCCCCACCCTCTGTACCCCCACCCTGATGACCCCAATCCTCCATACCCCCACCCTACCAACCCCCACCCCCTATACCCCCAACCTACTGGCCCCCACCCTCTATACCCCAACCCTAATGACCCTAACCCCATCCGAATGAACCTAACCCTCCATATCCCCACCCTACTGACCCTCTGTACCCTCACCCTGATGACCCCAACCTCCACACCCCCCACCCCCTATACCCCAACCTACTGGGCCCCACCCTACTGGCCCCCAACACCACACAACTTCTTTATGTTAAAAAATACAAATACATCATTAGTTTATTTATTAATATAATCATAATGACACTTATAGTAATAATACTGTTATATTCTAATTATAATAATATGGTTATAATTCATCTTATTTTGCTTTCATTATTGTTTTCATTGTTCATTGCTACTGTTGCTTTAGCAGTGCTGTACTTCACAGTCATGATGATAAAGCTATTCTGAATTGAAACTGAAAAACAGAAAAAAGAAAAGAGAAAGAAAGAAAGAAAGAAAGAAAGAAAAAGAAAAAGGGAAGACAAAAAAGAAAAGAAAGAGAAAGGAGAGAGAAGACGGTGGCAGAAAAGAGAGAAAATGGCGACAGAAAGAAAAAAGGGACAACAGACAGAAAGAGAGAGAAAATAGAAAATATACTGTACAGTAAAGCAGTGAAAGCTAATGTTGGAGCTGAGTGTGTCGAGCTGATAACAGATAGCAGTGTTACAATGAGTGACATAATGTGGACTCTGTGTCCTGTGTGTGTGTGTGTGTGTGTGTGTGCGTATGTGTGTGTGTGTGTGTGTGTGTGTGTTCCTGTTGAAGGAGTGTTTAAAGGGTTTAAAGTGCCGAACAAAAGGCTGCAGCTCACTCCCTCTCGCTGTGTGTCTGAGCTGCACGCAGAGCTGCGCACTGTAAGAGAAAGGAAAGTGAAAGGGACTCAGTGTGGAGACAGAGTGCAGGAGGGGAGATGACTCTGCTGCTGCTGCGCTGTTTAACGCTCCTCTTTCTGTGGAGTCTCTGCGCTGCTCGTCCTACAGGTGAGTCTTCAAACCCTTTAAACTACAGCCTTCCATCAGGCACCAAAAACACCTGTACTTCATTACTAACCTTAAAGGGGAATTCCACCATATTTTGAAAAATTCTGCATAACTCCGCAGTAGATATGTAAACAAAGTCATTCCAGAGTGATATGCAAAACAATGTCTCAGGCATCAGGCAAAACATTCATAACCATTTCCCATAATAGTTTCATATGAGAGAGCATTTTTCTTGCGTTTATTTTTCTGTTTTGTGTACCAAAAACACAGTAATTTCTATGTTACTATTTTTAATCCTCTCTTTAGCCTATATAATTAAGCAGGCTGTTTTTGTTACTGTACCTTTAAGTAAATTAGCCCCTGCTCTGATTGGCTGGTCCTGCATGGACTGGGGAGTGAACAATAGGCTTTGAAGTGTCTGCACACAACATCAAACTCTTTGTTTAAAAAAAAAAAGCGAAAGTTTGGTTTTCCATGATTATAAATGCATTTAACCACTCTGAATGAGTTCGTCTACAACTTAACCAAGTATTTAGGCAGAACGTTTAAAAAAATCAGTTGAATTTCTGAAGAGTTTAAAGCCTCTAAATGCTGTTATAACATGAAATGGTTCTGAATTCACTGCCTGATGTCTGAGACACTGTTTTTATGATAGTTTTGAGAAGACTTTGGCCCTAACACATCATTTTTAATGTGTTCATGATGGAGAGATACATGCAGGGTGTTGTGAGGCAAAATAGTCCCCCAAAAATATGTATTTTTTTCAGATTTTCCGCTAATTTTCCATCATCATCATTCCATATGAAACTCAGAAGACACGTGTAGGTTCACTGGTGGTTTTGGATAGTAAATGAAGTGTCTATATTTGTGTTGTAGTCATGATGTAGTCACTCTGAATCACTCCGTTTACCTCTCACACACCCAATTATGCAGAAATTTTGGAAATTTGATGGAACTCCCCTTTAAGTATTATTTTGCAAGATGTATACTATACTGGAGTATTATTGAAATTCAATGTAGTGAATCTGCCGCAAGTAGTGCTTTTTTATGACACACCAGCAGGAAAAAGTGTATAACAATAAAGCACGAGTAGCGGGGAGGTCATCGCACAGTAACACGTGTAACACGTACACGCATTTTAAACTAACAGAACACAGCATAAACAACAATCAGCAGTGCCTTTCCTGGAGGCACACGCCTTAAATGGACATCCTCGCATGGCCCTTCTCACAGCATGGCCAGCAGCGGGACACTACAGTACTTCTACTCAATTTTCCAACAGAAAATCATAATTTTTACTCCTAACTTCTTCATTTAGGCCAGTCACAAGTGACTTATTAACTTTTGGAGTGATACTTCTGTCAGAAAGGAGTTTACAAAAATCAAAAGCACTCTAGTATGCAGAGAAGTCTGCTTTCATTAGCCTTATATTGTTTAGAGGATCAGGACTGAGTCTAAAGCCTACAGCTCACAGTTAAGCAGTTAAGCTTCAGTGATCTGTATAGATGGAAATAAAGCAGCTGAACTGTTCCTGCACTGCAGGGGAGGTAAATGTATGACTATAAGCATTATAAGCATAACATTTAGGCCCAATCCCATTTCACCCCTCGCCCCTACCACTCAGCCCTACCCCTCTGTTTTGCGTATTCATGTAATTCATGTGTAGGGGGTAGGGTGTCTCGATTCATGTTGAGATAGAGGTGGGGCGAAGTGTTGGGGCTACATGACCCTCCAAACAGAGGTTTTTCAGAGACTCCAAACAGAGAGTTATGAGAAAAAATGAAAAAACGGTGAGATGGCTGAACAAGAGACCAAAGAAACACACAGATGTGAGAATTTTCTCTGTTAAAAAATTACGATAATCACTGCAGTATCTTAGTTTAATGTCGTTTCAGTGTATTATGGTCCTTTTTCTTCATAACAAACATAAAAAACTCTCTAGTAATGCTGATGTCTTGGTAGCTAACTAGCTAAATTTCCTGTTCCACCTTAAATAGTGCAGCAGTTACATTCTGGCGACTCAGGCATCAGAACTGTGGCTCCATTTAAGGTGGAACGGGAAAATCAGAACAAGAAGCTGGTGAATATCTGATTTCAGCTTCATATCACTGAAAATTAGGGGTGGGTGATAATAAATAATTGCCCCCCTCTTTGAAGGCATATGATGCCCTAAATGTAACTAAAGCCCAGCAGTGAGGAGCTGAACTTTACCCTCCTCTGCTGTCACTGCAGACTGGCAGGGTCACCTACAGAGCAGCGCTGGTAGCTGTTAATGAAGTAATGCTCTTTTTATTTGAGGGTCCCATTTCAGAGTGGAAGATTTCAAACACTACCCCCTGTAACTGAATTCCAAGGGGCAACACTCAAAAACAAGGGGTAGGGGTAAAAGTAAGAAATGGGATTAGGCCCTAGTATGTATGCCTGCTAATAAGCTGTACATTGTGTTGTTATTGTTATGTGTGTCATGTGGTTCAATGCTAACGTAAGGACGCCTCTGCATGAACATAGCCAAGTTAAAGACTAATTTAATAGTTAAGATTTAAACAAAATGTTTTTTTTTGTGGACTATTTTGCATTTCAACGTGCACGAAACTCTCTGCCATGAACAGAGTTTAAAAAGTTTTTGGCCAAAAGTTTATCTCAAAACTATCATACCAACAATGCCTCAGGCACCAGGCCGCTTACAATCGCTGTGGGAACGAAACCACACATTTCCATGAAGGAAGAAACATTCTAATAGTGGAAATGAAAGTTAACGGGAAAATATTTTTTGTTTCAAAGTCATTGTTGGGCTGTTTCTATTGGTCTGTTCATCATGAAATTTTCACATGGGCTAAAGATGAGTTTGTGAGTTGGTTTCTTTCAGCTCAAACAAATAAAAAAAAACAAAAACATGGAGGGTTTTTCTCAGACAGCGACAGTACTCATAACCATTTCATGTGAGAACTGTCTGTGGGGAAGCTTTCAGCGACAGGTGCCTTCCAATCACCCTATTACTTCCCTGTAAAAAGTATATTGATTTTTAAGGGAGATTCCAAACCACAGTGAAAACACTGAGTTCACTAGGGAGCAGTGACACCTGTGGCATTCCGAATGAAGAAGTTTAATCAGCTAAGGTTCCCTTAAAGCTGGAGTAGATGATTTTGTAGAAACCAGGAAGTGGAAGCTAGTTTTTTGAAAAATCCCACCCCCTACTTTCAGCCCTCCTTCCAAAGCCAAAGGAAAACAAATGAATGCGCACGACCTGTAAACATAAACACACAGATTACATACAAGATAAACATAGCTAGCTATCTTACACCTGCAGCTTAGCTAACATTAGCGTTGGCCTAATACATAATGTTGCTACATACGACGACATAGCTATGTTGGCTACATAATTCAGGAAAATAACAAATTCCCACATAAACAAAACAAACCAGATAATGGGCCATTCTCACACTTCAATAAATAAAGAAATAAAAAGTAGTGTTAAATGGCTTCTGGCCGATTGAATACAATCAGATTACAGATTCAGACTGAGGTGTTTACTCTATTCAACAATTTGATGGAAAATCTTCGTTTACATGCACACTACAAGTAATCTGATGCAAAATGACACACATGCGTGGAGTAGCGCTTAGAGTAAATGTTACCATGACAGCGAGCATCACGTTTTAATTAGTTTTAATTACTTTAAAATGATGTCAGACTCAGGAAAACGTCCTTCACATGTCCTTATTAAAGAAGGCCGAGAGGAAGACGTCGTGTTCTGAGACACATAAGCTGGACGTCCGTCCCACCGCCGTCTTTTAAAGATCAGAGCATAAACTTCGTCTCCTCTGCAGACCAGTTTCTGCTCCGCCATGTTGAACGGTATAAACTTTCACTATGACGTGACGAACATGATCAGAACGGACTTAAACTTTCCGATAGGGAATGTAATCAGATACAGACGTTTACACAGATATTATTCTTCTATTTAATGGATTATTTAGAGGTTTACCCACCTCGTTCAATTGGATGGAAATTGTATTCCGAATGGCCTCAATCGGACTAGTCTATCCCGATTGAGGTGTTTACATGGACGTATTCTATTCCGATTGAGCTATTAGTCGGATTATTAACAGATTATCAGGCTGCATGTAAACGTGGCTACTGTTACATTCCTAATTTCACCAATAATTCAACTAAACAGCCTCACCTGAGTTTCCACTCAAAGTTTAAAACTGTTCAACTTGCCAGAGGAAAGAAATATTCTAAATGAGATCTTATATTGATCTCAGGTTCTTCTCCTAGACCTGGTTAACACTTAGAACCCTAGATTTTTGGGAATTTTTTGGGAATATTTTTGGGTCAATTACAATTACAATTATAAAATATTTACATGAGACAGTCACACATGTCGTATGTTGTTATTTTCAGGAGATCCTGGCCTGCATAGATATGCTATTATTTGACATGTAAATATTAACAGAAATTTGATATCTTTATGAATTTAGGTCATTTTTGATCAAAAATTTACCCAGCGCCTGCTAAATGTTGCATTTTTTTGCATATAGAGATCTTGAAAACACGTTGCACCTCAGATACCTTTGCAGTAATTGTTAGTCTGGAGTGTCTGTGAGCCAAAATTGGTTATTATGAGTAAAAATAAACAATTAGCATAAGGCAGACATGTTTTCTTTTATTGATTTTCTGTCCTCTTGGATTCAGGCTGAGTGCTAAAACTCTGATACACAGCAAGACAGGCTTTATTTTTAATTACAAATTGAGTTGCATATTTAATATCAGATATTTTAATACTCAAAGTCAATGTAAACTGAAAGACAGAGCTAAATATTATTAATTTTATAATAGTATTTGTCATATTTATTGATATTTATCTGTTAAGATGTGTTTTAGGGCCTGTTTGTGTGATTTTGAGGGGAAGAGGGAAGTGCACTCATTGTGTTGAATGGGACGCTGCAGTTTTATCACCTTTTTCCGATGTGTGTCGCCATTTTAACCCTTTGTTGGAATATGAAGGGCAAAAAGCAGAGCAATATCAGGATTTTAGGTGATTTTCCGAGCCGAATTACTCACTGATGCTGATGTCACAGCTCGATGACGTCTCAATGATGACACACTAGCTAGTTAGGGGCGGGTCTGCTGAATGTCCTGATATGTGGATCATGTCTGTAGCTTAAACTGTTCCGAAGTTTCTGAAATTCGGTTCCTGAAAAATAAAACTCTTTTTTCTCTCTTTGATCAAAATACTGTCACATGTGCGGATCAACTCTTTAGTGTCTGACTCGTCTCAGCCTGGTCTGAGCTAAATAAAATCTCCACAAGAAAAGTGTGAGATCTCATTGTTTTCTTATACAGCTCTGTTCTAGAGAACTTCTCACGGTTCAAAATGCTGTTGTTGATCTCTTTTCTCCTGAGGAGGTTCAGGAGAAACAGTTCAGAGATCAGTGATCCTTCATTAATATAATATTGAGATCAGCTTTATTTCTCTGAGACAAACTTAAGAAAGATTTTTTTCCCTCTCGGTTCAGCTGAAAGGCTCCACTCATCATGTGTCACGTTTTAACCTAACTGATCAAAAAAGAGGGTAAAACTGAACTGGAGAGTGAACGCTGGGCTTGACCTTTGTTTTACTGTGCAGATTCTATTATTCATTATGAGAGTGTGTGATGGTCAAGAAAGAGGAGGGAGTTGTAAAGGTGTCAGGGTGTAGCAAATACAACACGGCTCACACTGCAACACCCACTGACACATTCAGGATAAAAATACTTCTCTTATCTCGAGAATATTAAATATATCCAACCCCTTAAACTACAGCATTATTATTCACCTATTAATCTTAAGATTCCCTGTGACTACTATGAGCTGTTCAGTAACTATAATGAATTATTCAGTATCTGCTATAAATTATTCAGTATCTACTCTGAATTATTCAGCATCTACTATGAATCATTCAGTATCTACTATGAATTATTCAGCATCTACTATGAATCATTCAGTATCTACTATGAATTATTCAGCATCTACTATGAACCATTCAGCATCTACTATGAATTATTCAGCATTTACTATGAATCATTCAGTATCTACTATGAATTATTCAGTATCTACTATGAATTATTCAGCATCTACTATGAACCATTCAGCATCTACTATGAATTATTCAGCATTTACTATGAATCATTCAGTATCTACTATGAATTATTTAGTATCTACTATGAATTATTCAGTATCTACTATGAATCATTCAGCATCTACTATGAATTATTCAGCATCTACTATGAATTATTTAGCGTCTACTAGGAATTATTCAGTGTCTATATAAATTATTTGGTAAAAACTACCTGCATTGTTTTGTTTATCTTGCCAGAAAATCCCACTTATATGCGTGAGTGTGTCTATGAAGGACATTGGGTGGTGCTGCTGTCTGACCGGCTTCAGGTTGATGGTAAAGACGTCTTGGTTTTGGATAAAGTGAACCATAAATGGACAGTGTTTTCGGCAGATGGTCATCAGGACCCTGAACTGACCAACCTGGACACACTGCAGATCCTGGAGGGATGTGAGGAGCTCAAGAAAGAGCTCAGTCACATGGAGAATTCAGCAGGTACATCTACAGCACTTCATTTGGCGAATTTGCCTGTTAAATATACAGTCACTGAGTGTAATTTCACTGTAATTTTACAGCACTGAAGTCTCATGAGGGTCAACAGTGCACTGTAAACTGTAGACACACTGAGTTTACTGACAACGTTTAGGAAACTGACTGTCCCACTTTACTAACAAATTAACTTGTAACTTATGTGGACTCTGTGCACCTGTATACCTGCAGCAGTACTGGGCGTGTCATGTGCTGCGTTCACATGTTTGCAGTAGACAGACGACGGCAAACGGATATTCCATTGTTTTCAATGGCGCCGTGACAGAAAGTTCTGCCACTGCCAGCAGCAGCGCTCTGCAGACTGCAGCGGGAGCGGAACGATCCACCAAAAGTTCAGTTTTCTCAACTTTTACCATCCACTGCACCAGATGTTGAATTTCTGGGGAGCCTTGGACGCCAAATGACTTTTTGGCTTGGTGTACACAGCAGGTAAAAGTGGCCCAAATCTGATTTTCTCACCAAATCCGATTTTTTTTTGGCTGTTCACATTGTCTTTAAATGAGATCTGTATGCGACATCAGTCTGAACAGATCAGCTCCTGAACTGACCCGCATGTGCAAAAGAACAGTGCTTCACGTGGCTCATCCAAGGGTAAACAGTCAGGACGGCCAGTGAACGCCAGTCGCTCCCGCAGCTTCAGTTTCGTCTTTGCCAGCATCACAAGAGCGAGTATAAAGTTCCAGTTGTTGACAGCTGGACTCATCACCCACAGTGTGTTCGAGTTCGCAGTAAAAAGGGCGTTTTATTCGACCTCGGCCGCTTCTTTGGTTCGAGTCCTCGGATTCTTTAAACTGTACTGTGACGCTGCAGCCTCGGGCTCCTCCGGCCGCGCTCGGCCGTTCCATCCGAAACCCCTTCAGACACGGAGCGGCTTGATGAGTCTCTTCTAATGTTTTGGTACAGAAACATCAGACTAAATGGTACTGAGTCTCAGCAGCGCGGAATTATGGCTGTTCAGACTGAGTCGCAATGCCGCAGATCGGATACGTATCGGATTTCAGCACCACATATGAAAGCGCCTCAAATCGGAATTGAAAATGTCAGATTCAGTGCGTATTTTGCTGTTCACACTGACACACAGACACACATCTGTGTCACATTTGAGGGAAAAGATCGGATTTGAGCCACTTTTACCTGCTGTGTAAACGTAGCCTTTGTTGCATTCTAGATGTGTTCAGTGTTACACAACAAAAATAAATATAAAACTAAAAAGAGTGCATAGCGTCCTCCTGCCTGACCCCGCCCTAAAAAAACAATCTACACTGGTAAAGGTCTTATCTGATAATCATCCTTTTTCGCTGGCACCGCGGTCATGTGATGTGCAGAATGATGTTTGTTTCAACACAAGCATGTAAACGCAGCACTGCAGCTAAAGAATACAGTAAGAGTACCGTACATTTACACTGATTCTACTGTACACTATTAAAAAGGAAGGTTTTCAAGGGTTCTTTAGTTAAGGAAGAACCATGAACACTCAAAGAACCCTTTACATGATTAAAGGGTTCTACGCATCGTGAAAGTGTTCTTCAGATTGATGAAGAATGTGATATACATGGTTCTATATAGATCCTTTTTGAAAAGGGTTCTACATATATAGCACCAAAAGGGTTCCACTATTGTTACAAGCCAAAGAAGTACTATATAGAACCCTTTTTGCTTAGAGTGTAAGGTGATCATATGTCTGAAATGAAAACGGGGGACATTTCCAGTTTGGTGGTCAATATATCATTAAAATATCCGACGTTTTCATATATGAAATAAAAAGGGGGTCAGTTCCTGTTTCCTGTATTTTGACCATGATAACTGCTGTACTGTAATAAACTATGGGGAAGGCTGAGTAACTTTGTGAACCATGTCAGAAAATCATACAGTAGCTACCAGGGAGACGATAGCCCAATAGCCAGACCCTAAACCAGGGGTCAGCAACATGCAGGTCTTATATTTTTTAGGTAAAAATAAAATAATCCTCCTTTGCAGTAAAATAAAGCTCTGCTGATCGTTCAACACAGTTTTAACTATAAATGGTCTTAAACGATGGAGTTAATGTAGAACTGCTAATTCACCCTTTAACCCTGAAGATCAGCGCAGACTGCTGGTCACCATAGCAATGCAGACAACAATCTGGCCTAGCTAGTAGCTAACGAAAAGACAAAGAGAAAGATTTAAGACGAACATCGATAATTTGGAGCCGAATGGATTTATTTGCATTTATAATCACTCCAGCTGGTTTCCTGTTATGTTTAATCTGCAACAAGAAACTGACAAACACTAAATTCTGTAAAGCACCAAAAAGAGTTCTTGTATTGTTACAATATCAAGCTTGTAACAGAAGAACCCTTTTGGATGCAATACAGAACCCTATATAACACATTCTCAATCAATCTGAAGAACCATTTCATGCAAAGGGTTCTGTGAGTGTTCACGGTCCTTCACAGAACCTTTTTCTTTACTAAATAACCCTTGAAGAACCATCTTTTTTAATAGTGTAGCTCCAGTATAAAACTAAAGAAGCAAACTTCAGACACTGAACCTGGCTCGGCTGATTGACTACATTTGGATGATTTAGGCGTGCGGTTAGCCTGATGCCAAATGTGGGGTATAATCTCCTATATGGATTATTGTGGTTTCAGTTCTTTAATGTCTTTTTTCAGGTGTGTCTTGGTCCAGAGTGGTGTCTATAGTGTTGGCCACGTTATTCTTCATCAGTTTGGTTGTTCTGAGCTTTAAGATGTCCAAAAGATACGGTGAGTACGTGAGACTGCACAGCAGTCACAAACACAAACACAAGCCCTTTAACAATAAACACTCATTATAACAACAAACAGTCATTATTAGAACAAAGGGTCATTATTCGAACAAAGAGTCATTATTAGAACAAAGGGTCATTATAAGGGTCATTTACAAAACAGTGCTGAAAGTCTTTCAACCAGGCAGGTAACTTTCAGTTCATTTGAAGAATAACAAAACAAAAAAACTGAAAGTAAAACTCCACAATTAGACTTAAATATAAAATAAGGTCATTTTAAAGAGCACTTTCAGTATTAAAATCAGCGCTACTGAAAACACTCTGCTGACAAGAACTACTGCTTTATTCGTTATTTAGTTTTTATTGTTCAGCACATCTCTGCTTTAGCCGTTCATTGTTGCTGCTTTGAGTACCGAAAGTAAAAGTAATGGTTTGTTAGATGGGTAAATATTTGGCATCTGATAAAGAACCTGAGAAACATGTGCTGTTGTTTAAAACCGGCAAACACACCACAAACGCCCAGCTCACAGTTAGACACATGACACATCAACACACCCTGCACACATGATAAGAAATTCCAGAAATATAGACAAGAATTTTGTTTAGGGATTAGAAATACCAGAGACCACTTTGACATTCTGGGATTTTTATTATTATAATAACCTAGAAATTAACAGAAAGTTTTAGAATTTCCTTAAACAAAGAAAAGCCATGACGAGGAAAATGAAGAATGCTTTGCACTTCTGTCGCTATTTAAAGTTTGTGACGCTGACCACGTTACATTTTTTTTACTTAACTCAGTGTGTGAGGTGTAAACAGAGCGATTCAGAGTGGTTTGGTGTGAAATGGTTCAGATGTCTTTACAGTGGTGGTGATAGGAACCAGGGGTCACCATGACTACAACACAGATATAGACATTTTATTTACTGTCCAAAACCACCAGTGAACCTACACGAGTCTTCTGAGTTTATATGGAATGTTGATGATGGGAAAATAGTGGAAAATCTGAAATAATAAGTTTTCTTTGGGGACTATTTTGCCTCATAACACCCTGCATGTATCCCTCCACCATGAATGGAGTTTAAGGCCAAAACCTCAAAACTATCATAAACAGTGTCTCAGACATCAGGCAGTGAATTCATAACCATTTCATGTAGTAACTTTCTGTGAGGGCTTTTAGAGGTGGACGTCTGGTTCCTATCACCACCACTGTGAACAACTCTGACTCAGTTAGTTTCTCTAGAACAGAGTGTTTCACATCAAACCACTCTGAATGACTTTGTTTACATCTTAGCCATTTAATTATGTAGACTTTTTACCTTTAAGGTTGACAAAAAGGCCAGATTTGTTTTTGAGTTTCTTATATTGACGTTTGTGGTCAAACTCTCAGGTGGATCTGATCTGCTGATCAGACTTTTACACAAACTTGTGGAGACGGGGACACACCACCAAATACTAAGAAGTCATGAAATTCATATTAAAATTTCAAAAAATAATTTATGTATTAGTAGTGCTTTCAGCTCTAATTTCCATTAACCATTTATTATGCAGGGAGCTAACTGATCTTGTGCTTGATTTAAATACCTAAATACCTGCCATAAAAATTAATAGTACTACACTGAATTTACCTGACTTGAATATGTGCATCATTTCTACATTTTTTAGCTTATTTTAGCTTTTTATTTATGTTTTGCTGTTTATGTTATTTCTGAAAATCCAGCACCTTTTGTGCATAAATTCTGCATTTTCTGCAATGTTAAACATGCAGATGTTAGTTATAATGATATGTTCTAATTGATTAATCACTGAAAATATAATTGATTCATTATCTCTCTCTCTCTCTCTCTCTCTCTCTCTCTCTCTCTCTTTCTTTTTTGTGTCATTCACTCATTTCTCTGGAAACAACAGGAGCAGCTGGAGGTGAGTGAGGTTTTCAGTGACTTTCTCATCCTTTAACTTTAGTGTGGTATAAAAATTGACAAAGGATTATAGATTAACTGGTCAATCGGTCATCCAGTCAGTGTTAACTGCTCTAACACTTCACGCGGCTGGGCTCATGCGTGTTAGGGTGGTTGAGTAGAACAGTGAGCAGAACAATGCAGCTGTGTCTGTTTTGTTTCAGCATATCAGCATATCAACTCAGCGAGACCTTCAGAGTCTGAATGGGGCATTTAAAACTGCATTTAATACTGCACTACAATTAATACTGCATTTAGAACTGCACTCCATTTAATACTGCATTTAGCACTGCACTACATTTAATACTGCACTACAATTAATACTGCATTTAGAACTGCACTCCATTTAATACTGCATTTAACACTGCACTACATTTAATACTGCATTTAGCACTGCACTACATTTAATACTGCACTCCATTTAATACTGCATTTAACACTGCACTACATTTAATACTGCATTTAGCACTGCACTACATTTAATACTGCACTACATTTAATACTGCATTTAACACTGCACTACATTTAATACTGCATTTAGCACTGCACTGCATTTAATACTGCACTACATTTAATACTGCACTACATTTAATACTGCATTTAACACTGCACTACATTTAATACTGCACTACATTTAATACTGCATTTAACACTGCACTACATTTAATACTGCATTTAGCACTGCACTGCATTTAATACTGCACTTAATACTGCACTACATTTAACACTGCATTATTACCGCACTACATTTAATACTGCATTTAGCACTGCACTTCATTTAATACTGCATGTAACACTGCACTACATTTAATACTGCACTACATTTAATACTGCATTTAATACTGCACTACATTTAATACAGCATGTAATACTGCACTACATTTAACACTGCATTATTACCGCACTACATTTAATACTGCATTTAGCACTGCACTTCATTTAATACTGCATTTAACACTGCACTACATTTAATACTGCATTTAATACTGCACTACATTTAATACTGCATTTATTACTGCACTACATTTAATACTGCACTTGATACTGCCCTACATTTAATACTGCATGTAATACTGCACTACATTTAATACTGCATTTAACACTGCACTACATTTAATACTGCATTTAGCACTGCACAACATTTAATACTGCACTACAATTAATACTGCATTTAGAACTGCACTCCATTTAATACTGCATTATTACCGCACTTCATTTAATACTGCATTTAGCACTGCACTACATTTAATACTGCATTTAGCACTGCACTACATTTAATACTGCATTAAATACTGCACTACATTTAATACTGCACTTAATACTGCACTACATTTAATACTGCATTAAGCACTGCACTGCTTTAATACTGCATATAATATTGCACTACATTTAATACTATATTCACCACTGCACTACATTTAACACTGCATTTAGCACTGCACTACATTTAATACTGCACTACATTTAATACTGCATTTAGCACTGCACTGCATTTAATACTGCACTTAATACTGCACTACATTTAATACTGCATTATTACCGCACTTCATTTAATACTGCATTTAGCACTGCACTACATTTAATACTGCATTTAGCACTGCACTACATTTAATACTGCATTAAATACTGCACTACATTTAATACTGCACTTAATACTGCACTACATTTAATACTGCATTAAGCACTGCACTGCTTTAATACTGCATATAATATTGCACTACATTTAATACTATATTCAGCACTGCACTACATTTAACACTGCATTTAGCACTGCACTACATTTAATACTGCATTTAGAACTGTACTACTTTAATACTGCATTACATTTAATACTGCACTGTGTTTCTTACAACATTTAATACTCTACTGCATTTAATACTGAAATTAAAACTACACAGCATACTGCATGCATTCAGCACTGAATTTAATAATGTTTTAATACTGCACTTAATACTGCACTGCATTTATTACATTTAATACTGTGCTGCATTTTATGTTACATTTAATACAGTGCTTCATTTAATTAAACACACTGTGTTAACACTAATGTCTTTAATACTGCATTTAATGCTGCAATGCATTTAATATTGCATTTAAATCAACATTTAACACAACTGGCATTGATACTGCGCTGCATTTAATACAACATTTAAAACTATGTTAAATGCTGCAATGCATGCAATGCATCATTTAATACTGCTCTGCATTTAGTGCTGCATTTAATATTTCAAGCTTTTATTACTGCAGTGCATTTAACACAGTGTTTAATACTGTATTTGATACTGCACTGCAGTTAATACCACTTTTAATGCCGCAGTGCTACAGAGTTAAACTCCAATCAAGAGCAAGGCATCTGTTGGCATCTAAACTAAAAGGCTGTTTTTGTTGTTACATTGTTTACTTCCATTTTCAGATATAGCACATCACACACAAACAACACAGCCTTTATTTATGACAAAGCATTTCAACTTGGGTAGATATTAAACTTCGATTTAGGTAAAACTATGTCATTTCATAAGAGGTTTTGTAGGTTTATATTAATCCTTTCGTAATGCTGGAGAAGCAGACTTTGTTGAAGCACTTTGTAAAGACTTTATTGTTTTAAAATCCTCCATAAATCCATAACAGGAGCAATAAAGGTGGGACATGTTGAGCAGGAAAACAGAAGTAGGGATATGTCTGAAAAACAGAAGGAGGCTGGGCAAAGATAATACAATGCATGATGTTAAGAGAGTCTAGATTAGTCCAGGTGGATATTGGAGAGGGTCTAGATTAGTCCAGGTGGATGTTGGAGAGGGTCTAAATTAGTACAGGTGGATGTTGAAGAGGGTCTAGATTAGTCCAGGTGGATATTGGAGAGGGTCTAGATTAGTCCAGGTGGATATTGGAGAGGGTCTAGATTAGTCCAGGTGGATGTTGGAGAGGGTCTAAATTAGTACAGGTGGATGTTGGAAAGGATGTAGATTAGTCCAGGTGGATATTGGAGAGGGTCTAGATTAGTCCAGGTGGATGTTGGAAAGGGTGTAGATTAGTCAAGGTGGATATTGGAGAGAATCTAGATTAGTCCAGGTGGATGTTGGAAAGGGTGTAGATTAGTCCAGGTGGATGTTGAAGAGGGTCTAGATTAGTCCAGGTGGATGTTGAAAAGGGTGTAGATTAGTCCAGGTGGATATTGGAGAGGGTCTAGATTAGTCCAGGTGGATGTAGGAGAGGGTCTAGATTAGTCCAGGTGGATGTTGGAGAGGGTCTAATTAGTCCAGGTGGATATTGGAGAGGGTCTAGATTAGTCCAGGTGAATGTAGGAGAGGGTCTAATTAGTCCAGGTGGACGTTGGAGAGGGTCTAGATTAGTTCAGGTGGATGTAGGAGAGGGTCAAGATTAGTCCAGGTGGATGTAGGAGAGGGTTTAGATTAGTCCAGGTGGGTGTTAGAGAGGGTCTAATTCGTCCAGTGGAATAGTTTGGGGCCATCAGTGTTCAGTTATCTGAGTGCCTCGGGGAAGAAGCTGTTGCGGATATTGGAGAGGGTCTAGATTAGTCCAGGTGGATGTTAGAGAGGGTCTAGATTAGTCCATGTTGATGTTGGAGAGGGTCTAATTAGTCCAGGTGGATATTGGAGAGGGTCTTATTAGTCCAGGTAGATGTTTGAGAATGTCTTATTAGTCCAGGTGGATATTGGAGAGGGTCTAGATTAGTCCAGGTGAATGTAGGAGAGGGTCTTATTAGTCCAGGTGGACATTGGAGAGGGTCTAGATTAGTTCAGGTGGATGTTGGAGAGGGTCAAGATTAGTCCAGGTGGATATTGGAGAGGGTCTAGATTAGTCCAGGTGGATATTGGAGAGGGTCTAGATTAGTCCAGGTGGATGTTGGAGAGGGTCTAAATTAGTACAGGTGGATGTTGGAAAGGGTGTAGATTAGTCCAGGTGGATATTGGAGAGGGTCTAGATTAGTCCAGGTGGATGTTGGAAAGGGTGTAGATTAGTCAAGGTGGATATTGGAGAGAATCTAGATTAGTCCAGGTGGATGTTGGAGAGGGTCTAAATTAGTACAGGTGGATGTTGGAAAGGGTGTAGATTAGTCCAGGTGGATGTTGAAGAGGGTCTAGATTAGTCCAGGTAGATGTTGAAAAGGGTGTAGATTAGTCCAGGTGGATATTGGAGAGGGTCTAGATTAGTCCAGGTGGATGTAGGAGAGGGTCTAATTAGTCCAGGTGGACGTTGGAGAGGGTCTAGATTAGTTCAGGTGGATGTTGGAGAGGGTCAAGATTAGTCCAGGTGGATGTTGGAGAGGGTCTAGATTAGTCCAGGTGGATGTTAGAGAGGGTATAGATTAGTCCATGTTGATGTTGGAGAGGGTCTAATTAGTCCAGGTGGATATTGGAGAGGGTCTTATTAGTCCAGGTAGATGTTTGAGAAGGTCTTATTAGTCCAGGTGGATATTGGAGAGGGTCTAGATTAGTCCAGGTGAATGTAGGAGAGGGTCTTATTAGTCCAGGTGGATGTTGGAGAGGGTCTAGATTAGTTGAGGTGGATGTTGGAGAGGGTCAAGATTAGTCCAGGTGGATGTAGGAGAGGGTTTAGATTAGTCCAGGTGGGTGTTAGAGAGGGTCTAATTAGTCTAGTGGAATAATTTGGGGCCATCAGTGTTCAGTTATCTGAGTGCCTCGGGGAAGAAGCTGTTGCGGAGTCTGGAGGTGGTGGGATGATCTCCGATTCCTTCTGCCAAATGGCGGGAGGGTGAAGAGTCAATGAGAGGGCTGGGAGGGGTCGTCCACATTGCCACTGGCCTTGCGGATGCAGCGCTCATGGTAGGAGGTTTCTTAAATGGTGCAGCAGTTACATTCTAGCACCTGTACAGTTATAAGAATGCGATGCAATGTAACTGCTGCGTCATTTAGAGTGGAGTGAAAAATTTAAAGCCTCATCATTGGTCACGGTCTGTGCATATCGTCACTGATCAAACAAAAACAAGCATATCCAAAGTAGTAACTTCACAGGTGTGGGAAAAGATGTGCTTTAATTTCAATAAAAGTCAATGCAAAGAGATTTTATTCCAAGCCATTTTGGAGTATTTCTGTTGGTCCATTCATCATGAAATTTTCACACAAAGTAAAGAACAGCTGCTGCTTTCAAATCATGCAGAAAGGTAAAAACTAAAAAAATGGAGATACATGTCATCATATCAAAAATCACATGCTGACCTCAAAATGAAAACTGTACCAAACCTGAAAATTACATTACATTACAGCTCAACCAGCCCAAGTAAGGCTTGACACAGTTTCATGCTGTTTGCACAGTGGAGTTTATAAAATCTGGTGTTTGTGTTTCAGGTGTTTTAGGTTCCATCATCCACTATCCTGCTCACTTCCCTAAGGACCAGAGTGAGAAAAGATTCTCTCATCTACCTACATACCTACTAACAACTAAAGGTGAGTAGCTCCAATTGCTCAGTGACACGTTCTTAAAAACACCAATTTGTGTCTTTAGGAACCAGATGTCCACCTCTAAAAGCTCCCTCACAGAAAGTTACTACATGTAACGGTTATGAATTCACTGCCTGATGACTGAGACAATATTTTCTGATAGTTTTGAGAAGATTCTGGCCTAAAATATTTTTAAACTCAACATTTCTGGTGGAGCGATACATGCAGGGTGTTATAAGGCAAAATAGTCCCCAAAGAAAACTTATTATTTCAGATTTTCCACTATTTTCCCATCATCAACATTCCATATAAACTCAGAAGACTCGTGTAGGTTCACTGGTGGTTTTGGATAGTAAATAAAATGTCTATATTTGTGTTGTAGTCATGGCGACCCCTGGTTCCTATCACCACCACTGTAAAGACATTTGAACCATTTCACACCAAACCACTCTGAATTGCTCTGTTTACACCTCACACACTGAGTTATGGAGACATTTGGGGAAAAAACAGGAGGAATTTCCTTTTAAAATCTATACATCCATAAAGAGAAGAATAGAGATGTACAAACTTCAGTTCCTACACTGATACACGCTCGATGAAAGAAGGTCCAGTGCAGTTCTTAGTCCAGCAGCTGCCAGCACAGCAACTAAATCTTTCTGGACCTTGAACCTTTTTTTACTCAGTGTTTTTTTTGCTTTTGCTACTTTTCATTCTACTTGAGTCTTTATTTCAATGAAGTAACAATACTTTTATTAGAGTATGAGTTTAGCATAATCTACCCACCTCTGGATAACAGTGTAAGGGTCTAAACCCAAAATAACACGGCCGTTTCAACATCCCTGTCATAGTTAAGATGATTATATAACCTCATTTAAAAACCTGAGCAAAGAACAGAGTCTAGGGTCAATAGAGCCTATTACCAAACCTTTCACCAAAAAAGTTAACTGAGGTCCTCATGAAAAACATGAGATTTGCGCTTTGCTTTGATTTAATATTGTTTAATATATCATGACTGAAGCTGCAATTAGAGAAATCATTGTGATCTGACACAGATGTTTATAAAACACGGCATTAAACTACTTTAAAATGCTTAATATTTAATGTTTCAGAACTATAACATTTGATTTGCTGAGCTTGCTAGTTAATGCAGCCCCTGTATCGGATTCAGGCTGATAGCAGCAGAAAATGTTGTTTAACGCAAGAACATAAATAAAGAATCTGATTCTATAATAAAATTAGCCTAAAATATCACAGGATTGCTTGTAGAGCAACATAAAGCAGAGTAAAGTGGCCACATGACCACAGGAGTAGCCTTGTTCTTATGCTAATGTAGCCTAACGTTAGCATAAGAACAACAAGAGCTACAATTCCTTGATTTTATCTTATAGTTTCGCACACATTTGCACTGTAAGTAAAATTTCAGGTTTTCTTTCTTTTAAAAATCTTTTTAAAAAGCTGAGCAGTGTTGTATAAGTCATGTTGTTTGTACGGTGTTTGAGCAGTTTGAGCTCCGTGGTACATTTAGCTCTTCATATTTAGTGCTGTGGCTTCACTTAAATAACTTTTTTTAAAGCTTAATGGAGTTTTTCACCAAAAACATCAACCTTACAGTGTGAAGTCTGCTTCTTCATTTTAGCACAGGAGCTACAAGGCTAATGTTAGACGTATATGATAAGCTTCAGTTAGCCACATTAGCCTTTGCAGCTCCAGTGCAAAACTAAGAACTTCATACACCAAACATACATTTGTGGATTTTAAATAGGAATACATTTATATTGATATGAGCCAATAAAAGTGAGCTCTTTTATTTGACTGCGTGGTTCTCCTTCTTATCCACAGACACAGTTTCCAGATGAGATTACTGAGTGTTGTTTTGTGGTTGGACCATCACATTGGGATCATTTTTCATTTTTCTTTGGGAAAACAAATGTTCCTGCCATCGTTCTTTTCACTTGCTGCATGGATCCAATCAGCCACTGCTTCACTGTGATGTCCTGCTGTATCCGGATGTCATCTCAGGCCTCATCACGGCTGGATCGAAGCTTTATCACCTGAACTGTTTTATCTCTGGTGCTTCAGACGCCTGCTGGTGGTTTTAACATGTTTCATGCTTGCGTAATAAAAAACAGCAAGCAATTAGAGCAAATACCCGCACATAGGTAAACTGTATATAGCCATTCTTTCTCATATGTTACAAAAAACTATTATACAATGTCTAATTATTCACTACAAAAACACTGTAAACACAGGTTGTATAAAAGGTTGTATATAGGTGTATAAAAATAAAACGGAAATGAATTCAAAACTATTTATACTATTTTTATGTCGTATGTGTATGAGATGTATCATACTTAAAAGGCCTCTTTGAGGAAAAAACAAGTTTTCCACTTTTTTGAAACATTTACGGAAGCAAAACTAAAAACAGCCCATTTTGGTTTTACTGTTTTTTGTGATGTCACAAAAACACATACACACACATATTATCTAAAGCTACGTTCACATTACAAGCCTCATTGCTCAGATCCGATCTCTCTGACAGGATGGTTCACACTCGTTTATGTAAGTGACTCAAATCTGTCATTAATGTGACGAACTGGCGTCCTGAAATGACCCTCATGAGCTCATCCTACTCAGTAACGTCACGTGAATGAATCATGTGGATCATCAGCACAAACTAATGAACAGAACTCATTAAGGTCGCATGGCTAAGAATCAGATACATATCCGATCTAGGTCCACATATGAAAGTGGCTCATGTCGGATTTGAAAAGATCAGATTTGTGTGTCCACACAGCTCTGAAAACATCAGATCTGAGTCACATTAGGGCAAAAAATCTGATTTGTGCCACATCAGCCTGGTAATGTAAACGTAGCCTAAGCGACTTATCCTTCTGGGTCGTGGGGGGAGCTGGAGCCTATCCCAGCGGTCATTGGGCAGAAGGCAGGAAACACCCTGGATAGACCGCCAGTCAATCACAGGGCAGACAGACAGACACAGATACTCAAACCTAGGGGCAGTTTAGCTTATCCAGTTGGCCTGACTGCATGTCTTTGGACTGTGGGAGGAAACCCACACAGACACAGGGAGGACATGGAAACTCCACACAGAAAGAACCCTGGTGACCCAGCCGGGGAAAGAACCAACACATTTTTACATATTACAGCGGTTTAGCCCCACCCATTCACACTGGTTATAAGCAGTGTTTTGATCTAGACTACTTTTTGAATGAGGCACAATATGTGGCAGCCAATCAGAACAGAACTCATTCAAATATCAGTCTTGAATTCAGTTCTACTCTGTGACGTTCCTGATCATATTAAGCTGAATTCATCAGGTCAAGTAATTTAAAAGACGAAATTGTTGTTTTCCCATTAAATTGTAGCGACTTTTGACCCACCTCTAAATCGTCTTCTGATATTGACATATGATTACATCACCATGCACATGATTCTCACTCACACTGACCTTAAAGGCACAGTAACAAAAACAGCCTGTTTCATTACAAAGGATAAAGAGGGGCTGGAAAATGGTCATGTCATCTGAATTCCTGCTGTTTTACCTTTGTGTGGTTTTGTGTTCCCTAAAGGTCACAGAAAAAAACAGATTTTAATTTTTATTTATTCACGCTTACGCTATGTCAGTAAAACATCTCATTTTTTTTAGGCTAAATAAAGTCCCTGCTGAAAAGAAATATATACACCATTAAAGGTTTTTGTTGGACTAATTCCAGATGTGTTTGATGGTTTCCTAAAGGGATCTAAAGATGTCCTATAAGAAACGAATCGTTTCTAATGGCAACCATTAAGCCAATTCCCATTAGAAAGCAAAACCATCATGTTTTAATCCTAATGGTTCTAATGTGCTGATACAAAACACACATTTTTTAATGAAAATATGTTTAGGAAAAATACAGAGAGACCACGTTTCAGAGAACTATTTCATTTCCCGAGCAGTTTGCGTGTGTATAATAAAGTAAAAACAGAAAAAATTTTAAACTCCTCTCTATGAAACGACACATTAGTTCCTACCGTGCAGCCCGGAAGGAATGAATCGACGCACCGCACCTAAATCCCAAAAACGCACAAAATAAATACTCACAATGCGTCATTTTGTGAGATAGGTTTTCACTTTGTATAATAAAACATTCAAACTCGTCCAGAATATCTGTTAATCCTCGTTTTATACTATACAATCGAGTCTCTCTCGTAGTGTTTGAATGTAAACACAAGTCGCCGCGTCAGAGATTCCGCCCGGACATTTTACTTCCGCTGCACAGTCACAGCTACGGTGTTCCCCCATATAGCAATAGCAACTTTAGCAAAGTTTTTGCTGTTTTTTTCCTACCTCTGAACGCGTTTTTGTGAATTAATTCTCTTTTTTAAAAAGTGTAGAGCCTCCTCTCGGACAGGATGGGGGTGCCTAAGTTTTACCGCTGGATTTCAGAGCGCTATCCGTGTCTGAGTGAAGTGGTGAAGGAGCAGCAGGTCAGAATCTTTGTTTTGGGTTAGAAATCGCCAAAAAGGGGTCAAACCTACATGTTTTACACGTTTAAAAGTCAAAAATATCGCTTTTCACTTGTTTAAAACTGGCAGCTGACTGCGTTTCGACCCAGAACAGTCAATACACTGCACGCCTTAGTGTGCGGTGTCTGTGTGTCTTGGTTTGAAGATCAGGTCGCTTCTTTCAGCTGAGAGTTTAAATATAGAAGGACTTTTATAAATAGTTTCACCTCATCGTGTCATTGAAGTGTCTCATTTTGCTCCCTTCAGCTTTTCTCCTCCCATCAAAACTCTCCTGACCGACATATAGACCCTCTTTGGCGTCCTGGCCTGCTAAATTTGTGGTCTAATTCAGTAGATCCAAAGACCCAGCTGTATTATCTAACCTAACGTAGTTGCTGACCTGAATGCCAGATGTGTTATTTTATCAGTGCTCATTGCTTAGTCTTAGTTTTAGGCTTGTTATTTTGGTAATATCCAAGTTTACACTCACACTGATGCACTAGGACACTTAAATGATTCTCTTAAAGCACTGAATGGGTCAGTGTTTCCCCTCACTCAGCTCTTTAAGTTTAAAGAATGGGTGAGGTCAGCAGATGAGCCAAACACAATGGGTGTGGAGTGGAGAGTGAAGCACTAAATTTAGCTGTAACAAGATTAACTATTTCCATATCATTTGGGTATAAGGTGTGCCATTATAATTGGCTTTGTGCATGAGAAAGGATACTTTTTAAATTGAAGTATTTTATGACGAGATTGCCTTTCAGATACTCAGTCTTGTCTATGAGAGGCAACAATAATAGTTTTTCTGCTTAAATATATTAATTCAGAGTATGGAGGAAAATTGCAAGTGAAAAAGAGGTTCAAACTTGTGTAATCATTTGTTCTCCAGGGCATACTTTGGTTTGTCCATCTGAATCGTAAGGCAAATTATCCAGTAACTGCATGAAATAAATGTAAATTTTTATGTATTTATTTTTAAAAGCTCCCCTCAGATGAACAGATCATGTGTTTTATGATCATACACATATTGCTATATGCTTACAGTTTACTGCTGAAAGCTAAAAATCTTAGATGCTCTTTGTATTATTTTATAAAAATGAATTTTTACAGAGCAGATCACTGAAGAGATGCCATCTGTTTATAGTTTATAGCCCAGATTTGTGGAAAAATGGGTCGACTTTCAGTAGACAAAAAAAACTGTGGTTTTAAATTACATAACCCATCTATTTGACTGGAAAGAAGACAGTTACAGCCTCATACGACCCCCACCTTTTGAATGTAGCTTATGAAATATGAAAGTTATGAAGAATATGACAGTGTGTTTTGGAACCACCGGTGGTCTCAAGGAGCTGAAGAGGTTAATTGTTTGTCATTTTATTATAACAAAATAAGATAGACACTAGAAAGTATTTTAAGATGTTTTATTCAGTATTAGGTTTTAGGAGAACCTCACGAAGTTAGGAAAAGGAAAGTGGTAAACTGTGTATATATATATATATATATATATATATAAATTCACACACACACACACACGTTGTGTGATTACCGGATTGTCAGATGTAGACACCCTCCATCAAACTACATGTTTTCTTAATTTTCTAAGTGAAAATAAGTTAACACAATGTTTGCACAGGTCACGTTTTATGCTTTATTTTTTTTCCAGTATTATTTTTACTAGTAATACTAAACATTGTGAATTTAAATGTGCAGAAGTGTGTTCTCTGTAAAGGATGTTTTCACTTATTTTCACTTAGAAAATCAACAAAATGTCATTTCACCAGGGCGCCCAAACTTTTGCACATGACTATGTCATCAGTAGTAATAATTCAGCCTATGCTAGAAGGAACTAACTGCTTCCATTACGAGAGAAAATGAGAGGTTCTAGCACATTTTTAATACTCTTATATCTCTTTTGTCTCAGATTCCAGAGTTTGACAATCTTTACCTAGACATGAACGGCATCATCCACCAGTGCTCGCACCCCAACGACGAGGACGTACACTTCCGCATCACGGAGGAGAAGATCTTCGCCGACATCTTCCACTATCTAGAGGTGCTGTTCCGCATCATCAAGCCCAGGAAGGTCTTCTTCATGGCGGTGGACGGAGTCGCTCCCAGAGCCAAAATGAACCAGCAGCGCGGCAGAAGATTCAGGTACGACTTTCACTGCTTTGAAAGCTGCTTTGATGAAGCTGAAGGAGAGGTGGAGGTGTAAATCTTCACCTCACAGTGACTTAGTTTGATTGCGATTTGAGATTCAGCGAGTCATGGATTCTCAAACTTCTCCACAATTTGAGAATTATAAGCATCATTCAACCGAACTAAAATCACATTTGGGACTTTTAACTGGTCTTGGGCTTCAGACTAAAATCCTTTTGCTGTGAGTGATCCTAGACCTTAATTATGCGTATTATATTAGATTAAATAATTGAATTCCATTTTGTCGCCTCCAAAACAATCATAACACTACCGAAACATTACCAAATTTTAACAAATTTTGAGGTGTCTTTGAATATTTTTTAATTGTTAGATTCCTCCGCTCAGGGAAGGGGTCTGAAGCACAACACACATTACAAAATGTTCTTCCGCACATGCATGTGCCTGCACTTACACATTTGCACCAGAGAGGTCTTCAGATCCCCAAAACTTACATGGTGTAGCTATAAGATTAAACTGATAGTATTAGGCTACGTTCACATTACAAGCCTCATTGTTCAGATCCAATTTTTTGCTCAAATCCGATCTCTCTGACACTCGTTTAGGTAAGTGATTCAAATCTGTCATTAATGTGACGAACCGGCGTCCTGAAATGACCCTCATGACCTCATCCTACTCAGTAACGTCACGTGAATGAATCACGTGCATCATCAGCACAAACTAACGAGCAGAACGAGCTTCGCTGAGAAGATAATTAACTCTGATCAGCTCTCAGCTTCATTATTAGAGCGAGACGAAGGAGAAAAAGGTGAGGTGCTGCTTTTCCACCGTTTACAGGCTCTAACTTCTGTTCAGTGCTGCTGCCATGGTAACGCTGAATGGCGACACGTGCAGTGGAAAAAAGCACAGGAATTTCTATCTGCATCATGCAGCATCACAGTTAAGGTTGCATGGCCACAAATTAGTTACGTATCCGATCTAGGACCACATATGAAAGTGGCTCAGGTCTGATTTGAAAAGACCAGATTTGTGTCACATTAGGGCAAAAAAAACTGATTTGAGCCACTTCAACCTGGTAATGTGAACGTAGCCAAAATATACTTCTGCATGTGTGTGTACTTGCAATTACACATTTGCACCAGAGAGGTCTCCAAATCCCCAAAACTTACATAGTGTAGCTTTAAGGTTACACAGACAGCATTACTTTATCTGTTTACTTTTTTCATTGTCGTGCCTGCCCTCTTTCCTCCTCTTTAATCCTGAGTGTAATGTCGTCTGTGCTTGTGTGTTAATACACAATGTTCTGTTTCTTCTTGTGTGTGTTTAGGTCTGCGAAAGAAGCAGAGGACAAAATAAAGAAAGCTTTGGAGAAGGGCGAAGTTTTACCCACAGAGGCCAGATTCGACTCTAACTGCATCACTCCGGGTTTGTATGGAGCTATATCAGTTGAAGCCTGGTGTCATAGCATTAATTACAGGTACTCCATTTTCATAATTAATGACAGTCTTCTTTAGCTCATGCTATATGAGGTGACTGACATTAATAATGTAGTAAATTTATTTTTTTTTTACTTAATTTGAAATACCAGCTGCTCTCCACCTTTAGTTAAAAGTTCATGACGACCATGATGATTAGACCAACAGCATTGCCTCAAAATGTCTTGGAACTTGGAAGTCCACTTTTATTAGAAACACCTACCTTGTGCTTCTACCAACTGGCCACTTTATTAGAAACACTGGCGTTGTATTTCCACTCACTGGCCGCTTTATTAGAAACACCTACCTTGTATTTCCACTCACTGGCCACTTTATTAGAAACACCTACCTTGTATTTCCACTCTCTGGCCACTTTGTTAGAAACACCTACCTTGTGCTTCCACTCACTGGCCACTTTATTAGAAACACCTATCTTGTATTTCCACTCGCTGGCCACTTTGTTAGAAACACCTACCTTGTACTTCCATCAAAATCAGGTTTGGACTCAAAATAAACATGGAAAGGCTATTTTTGGGTTTAGGCTAATATTTCTGGCCTGATTAAAGCTCCACTTGGGAGAGTTTCCAATATGAAGGCAGGGAAGTTTATTTAACTGTAGCAGAATGACTCAGTGATCACAGATTCTATATCTACGTACAATGAACTGTTCAGATTAAGAAGCAAAGTAAAAAAATCATATCTTTATGTTTGTTTCTCTGCAGGAACGGAGTTCATGGCCAGGCTGCATGAGCAGCTGAAATATTTTGTGCACAATAAGCTCTCCACAGACCGGATGTGGCAGGGGGTCCGGGTGTATTTATCCGGTCATGAGGTGAGGGTGGTGGAACTGAATGTTGGACTTATGTGTGTGAGAGAGACTCATAATTAATCCAGTTTTATCCTGCAGACTCCTGGAGAAGGAGAGCATAAGATAATGGAGTTTATTCGCTCAGAAATCGCCAGACCAGGCCACGACCCCAACACACGACACTGCCTGTACGGCCTGGACGCTGACCTGGTGTGTATCTGTCTGTGTGAAAGTGTTTGTGTGTGTGTAATATGTACATTTACATCACAGCAGAACTTCTCATTGGTTTCATTGGGGAGAGCTAGAAGTCCTGCACAGATGATTGAGAAACGTGAAGCAGGTTTTGGAATTTTGATCATAATTTGAAAGTGCCTTGTTCTTTACATTGACCAAAAGAAACGGCCCAAAATGACTTGGAAAAACATCTGGTTCCATTGACTTACATTCAAAGTCAAGTAGGTTTTTTCCTTCTCCTGTAAGGTTCTCATTTTGGAAATACAAGGTTTTGTTCCAACAGCAGTGATATGTGATGTGGGTCTCCCTGGAAATTTTCCAAGTTTAAGTTAACACATGCTCTACAGAGAACACACTTTTGCACATATTAATGCACAGTTGCTGTTTATTTGCTGGATTTAACATGCAGAGAAAAAAATAAAATATACATTTATGGCACATTTTATATTTTATGTTTTATTTTTTCCCATATGTTACATTAAATAAATAGTAATTGTGCACTACAATATTCAAAACAAGTGTCATATTTAAGTTTGTTCTCTGTAACTTTCACTCAAGTATGGACTTAACATCAGAGTGGATATCCTTACTCACAACTGTAGCCTAAAACTCTGCATACACTTTTACCCTGGACAGCTCAAAGTCTCATATCTGTGTAGCTCTGCTTTAGAATTTTCTTACTCTTTATTTCTTACTCTTTCTCTCTCTCTCTCCTCCTCTCTCTCTTTCTCTCTCTGTCTCTCTCTGTCTCTCTCTCTCTCTAGATCATGCTTGGTCTTACCAGCCATGAGCCTCACTTCTCTCTTCTCCGAGAAGAGGTACGCTTCGGGGGGAAAAAGTCTCAGAAGAGGTTTGTATTTGTCACAGAGGAGAGTATGTGTCTGTGTGTGATTATTTATGTTTTTACTTCTTCACTCTGGGTAAGTATAATGAAATAAAGAAGTATATGAGGCTGACCACTATATATATATGTGTATATATATATATATATATATATATATATATATATATATATATATATATATATATATATATATATATAATCTCCATTTTTGACATTTTTCAGTTTTTGACATAATTTGGAAAAAAAAAAAAACCTGTTACCCTTCATATTGTATGTAAATGTCATGATGAATGGACTATATATGTATCGCTGCTGTTGGAATGAAACCTCCTATCTAGGAGAAGGAACAGTCCATTCATCGTGAAATTTACACACAATGTAAAGGGCAACAGGCATTTTTAGATTATATTAAAAACTGGAAAATGGCAAAAATGGAGATACAAGGTTTTGTTCTGACAGCAGCGACACAGCCAAATTACATATTTTGTTGATTTTGAAGTGAAAAGAAGTAAACACAACCTCCACATTTCATTTTTTCTCCACAAATGCCTTTGGTGTTTGTGTGATTTGTGAATGTTTCCAAAATGTCTCTGGCTTATCTAGATGTCTTACGTACTTCACACGTTGACTTTTGTGGTGAGGTCTCAGGTAAGGTTTCCTTCTGATGACTCTTCCATGCAGATCATGTTTGTGTGAGCAGCGCTGCAGTAGGATGTTGCACCACCACTCCTGAGAGCTAAACCTTCCTCCAGCTCCTCTGCTCTCATATGAGGATTTTTACTTTGCCTTTCAGATTAGCATAAGAGCAGTTCTGTCTGAGAGTCTTCTTGGCCTTCCAGGCCTTGAGTTTCAGAGTTCCACCTTAACTGCCACTTCTTAATGACATTTCTGACAGTGGAAATTGAGAGCTGGAAATCTTTTTATAGTCTTTTCCTGCTTTGTAGGCTTTAGTTAACTTCATCCTCTTCTGATCCTCAGCCAGAGCTCAGGAGCTCATGGTTGTTGAGAGTTAGCAGGTTTGAAGAGTCAGAGAATTTATTGTCCTCTGGAAATGTCGTCATCATCGTCTGATAATTCCTAATTCAAGATTCAAAAGTTTGTAATATGCACAGAGAATCAGACAGTTACACTGCACAGTAAGTGTGTTAACACTTAATAATCTGATAACTGCAGAAAATCAGGTTGTTTCAGTAACTGGTTCAGTGTGTTTTCATGCTTTTGGGCCATCAGATAATGGGGAAATCATACATCATGAGCGGCTTTTTTATTATTATTTTTTATAAACATCGACTCACTTTAGCTGAAAATATGAACCTACGTCACCTAGACGATGATGAATATTTAAATCCTTCGTTTTGACAAACACGTAGTCAGTTTCAGCATCGCTCCAAAAGTGATTTGTTGCGTCTTGCGCAGGAGAAATGAAAGAGGGTTTACATGCACTGAAAAAACCCATTACTGAGCTCATATCCAGCCTTTTTATCAGATTCCTAGACCTTAACCTGATCTAAGAAATCAGTGTGCTGTTTATATGACTAATCAGATAACTACACAAATCTGATTATGATCGCTTTATGTACATGTAAACACCTCCCACACTACAAGTAACTATACGGACACTATATTAATAATAAGTAGAGAGTAAAAAAGAACACAAAGTTGGAGAAGATTAGGAAAAATGTATATAAAAATGAAGACAATATACAGTATATGAATGTAGACTACAGTCTGAGTGCATCTGTAATTGACCAATTCTAACAGGCATGGACGTATGTACGGTATGTGATACTGGTGCAAACGAATATACTGTGCAAAGATAATTCTTGACCAGCCTGTCCAGTCCTGACAAGTTAATTATGGTCTGATGAGTTAATTAGGTTCTGAGGCTTTGCAATTGAAAGGCCCAATCCCATTTATTTTTACCCCTACCCCTTGTTTTCAATTGTTGCCCCTTGAACTGAGTTACAGGGTAGTGGCTGAAATCTTCCCTCTGAAATGGGACCCTCAAATAAAGAGCATCACTTCATTAACAGCTACCAGCGCTGCTCTGTAGGCGACCCTGCCAGTCTGCAGTGACAGCAGAGGAGGGTAAAGTTCAGCTCCTCACTGCTGGGCTTTAGTTACGTTTAGGGCATCATATGCCTTCAAAGAGGGGGGCAATTTTTTATTATCACCCACCCCTAATTCTTCAGTGATATGAAGTTGAAGTCAGATTCTCCAGCTTCTTGTTTGAATTTTCCCGTTCCACCTTAAATGGTGCAGCAGTTCTGAAGCCTGAGGTGCCAGAATGTAACTGCTGCACTATTTAAGGTGGAACGGGAAATTTAGCTGACTAGCTAAATTATACTGTTTTGTGTCTGTCCTCTTATCCGGTGTCGACCAGAGGAGGATGGGTTCCCCTTTTGAGTCTGGTTCCTCTCAAGGTTTCTTCCTCCTTTTGAGGGAGTTTTTCCTTGCCACTGTCGCCAAGGCTTACTCACTGGGGGCGTGGACCCGGATTCTTTGTAAAGCTGCTTTGTGACAACATCTGTTGTAAAAGACGCTATATAAATAAATTTGACTTGACTTGACTTGACTAGCTACCGAGACATTAGCATACTATTAGCAATTTTTGTGCTTGTTATGAAGAAAAGGACCATAATACACTGAAACGACATTAAACTAAGATAATACAGTGGTTATCGTATTTTTTAACAGAGAAAATTCTCAAGAATTCTCTGTTTCTTGGGCTCTTGTTCAGCCATCTTGCCATTTTTTTTATTTTTTTCTCATAACTCTCTGTTTGGAGTCTCTGAAAAACCTCCGTTTGGAGGGTCCTGTAGCCCTAACACTTCACCCTACCCCTCTATCTCAACAAGAATCGGGACACCCTACCCCTAGACGTGAATACGCAAAATGGAGAGGTAGGGCTAAGCGGTAGGGGCGAGGGGTGAAATGGGATTGGGCCAAAGACTGTTTTGCATGTGCCACAGTTACTGTTTTCTTTTCTTGTACTGTTTGTTCATCACATATATAAAGTAACTGTGGATTTTTTAATAGATAGCTACAACAAAGAGGTTGTTTACTTCTTTTCACTTCAGAAAGCGGTTAAGTTTGTAATTTGGCCAGCTGTGCACAGCTGTATACAACTCTAAGGTGAATTAATCTTTTCTTCCTGCAGAATAACAGCTCCAGAGGAGACGACCTTCCACCTGCTCCATCTCTCCCTCATGAGGGAGTACATCGACTACGAGTTCTCGGCTCTGAGGGTGAGGAGCTTTTAGATCAGGGATTCATTTAGTAAACTGCTGATTAAAACAGGTTACATCTAAAATTAAAAGACTTATAAACCGTCAACTGGAAAACAGTTAAATGACGCAAGTATACATACATTTCAGGACGGTTAGTGTAGAAATTAGATGGTGATGAGTGGCCAACTTCTAGAACCTTAGATTACATTTAAAGGGCCCATACCCTACATTTTCTTGTATTATTTTTTCCCTTGAGGTCCACTGATAACGTTTGTGTAGGTTTATATACTAAAAAGAGCCATAGTTCATTTTTACATGGCCATTTTCCAACCTCTCTTTATCCCTGGGAATTAAACATGCTGTTTTTGTTGCTGTGCCTTTAAGACTGTTATGTAAATGAGCTCTAGTCTGATTGGCTGTGCCTCATTCAAAAAGAAGTCCATGTAGAAACACTCCTTATAATTTTAATGTGAGTGAATAGAGCTAAGCTGCTGTGGGCTGAATCGGTGGACATCACAAATACAAAGGATCCAGAATGGGCTGTTGTGGCAACTTAGTTCCGTATATATGGACTCTATGCGTTGGGGAGTGAACGGTACGTTTTGAAATGTTATACAACAGTCAGTTCCGGCCACGCAAGCTGATTGGTTGAGCAGCGTTCTAACTGTGCTGTTATTTCGCCATAACATCACGTTTTTTTTCACAAACACTGTATCGCTCCTCTAAGATGCTGTTGCTAAGCAACGACTTAGACAGCTGTAGGAGACGCTCAAGCCCTTTGAACGTTTTTACTTCTTACTTTGCCACAAACAGAAAATGGACACTTTTAAGATCATATTTGACCGACAGCCGATTTGGTCAGACTCTGAAGATGAGACGACACTAAATTCCCAAACTGTCATCACCACTGAGCAGCATAACTGAGCTAAACCTAAAATATGCGGCAATTTTACGGCTCAGTCCGATTTGGTCAGACTCTGAAGATGAAACTGCACGTTTGGCGAATGGTGTTGGGTTCAGTGGTGATGACAGTTTGGGAGTTTAGTGTGAGGAGCTGGAGAATAAACTGCCGGCTGTGCAGTAAGTGGGCGGAGCTCGTTACTCTGACGTAGCAACAAGCTGCTTGTTAAGGAACTATAATTTGGTGAAGGAACTGCGAACATTAAAGCATATTAAACGCCGCGTTCACGACCCAGTTTATTAATTTATTACTGTATTTATTTAACTGTTGTATAAAAGCAATAGAACACTCGAAGAGTGTGTTATCGCCAATAACATCACGGCTGTGATGATCTATGGCGACCAAATCACAGCTGTGATGTTATTTTGCAATAACACACTCCCTCTCGGGTTCTATTGCTTAATTACATAATGTTTACATACTTCATCAAACTTTTTGTTTCATAAAAGTGAGGGAATCTCAGTTTTCCATGATATGGGGTCTTTAATATTAAAGGGGCCATGATGCAGAAAAGCAAATTGTTCCTGTTTTAAATAAGAGTTTAATGTATTATGCAAACATTGTAAAAGTTATAAAACCTTCAATACAGTGTCCAGGGGTTTCATACTGGGACATAGATCTACCCTCTTCTAACCCTGAGTTCACCTCATGAAGGCCTTGCTAATTATCTGATGAGCCTCATCACAGTGTATTAAAACTAAGCCATGTTGAATTCGCTGTGATTGTGTTCATGGTTATGATGTCACATTTGCATAGGACCTAAAGCTGGCTTTACACAGTGAAACATTCATGCAACTTTAGCTGCTTGAAACCTACATGAAACTAAATTGCATGGATTTGCATAATGTAAAGCGCCCTGCAATTCACTTGAAGCTCAGTCGCAACAGTTGCAAGCATCTAATAAAGTCTCTCTCTGCTCTGACCTCTCTCTCTCTCTCTCTCTCTCTCTCTCTCTCTCTCTCTCTCTCTCTCTCTCACAGGATAAGATCTCGTTTGAGTACGACCTTGAGCGGATCATAGACGACTGGATCTTGATGGGCTTTTTGGTGGGAAACGACTTCATCCCCCACCTCCCCCACCTGCACATCAACCACGACGCCCTGCCGCTGCTCTACCGCACCTACATCAGCGTCCTGCCCACTCTGGGGGGTGAGAAAAATACAAAAGCGTTTTATATGATATGTTTATTTTGTATCTGTGTTAACTTTCATTCCCTTTCTGTGTGGCTTTATTAGGATACTTGAATGAAAACGGCAATCTTAACCTGGCTCGCTTCGAGAAGTATCTGGAGAAGCTGTCTGAGGTGATATTATAGTGCTTATTGATCAGTTTACAAAAGCAAGCAGCGTTAAAAGGGAATTCTGCCAGTTTTTTTATAACATCTGCAGAACTCAGTGGTTGAGATGTAAACAGAGTCATTCAGAGTGGTTTGGTGTGAAATGGTTCAGATGTCTTTACAGTGGTGGTGATAGGAACCAGGGGTCGCCATGACTACAACACAAATATATATTTTATTTGCTATTCAAAACCACCAGTGAACCTACACGAGTCTTCTGAGTTTATATGGAATGTTGATGATGGGAACATAGTGGAAAATCTGAAATAATGAGTTTTCTTTGGGGACTATTTTGCCTCATAACACCCTGCATATTATGTATACTTCCACCATAAAGGGAGTTTAAGGCCAAAACCTTCTCAAAACTATCATAAGCATTACATCATATACGTTTTAGATTAACCCCCTCACAACTTCCATAAAACAGTGAGTGCGTACACATACACTCAATAATAATAATAATTTGTTATAGTAATTGTAGTAGAATATATATATATATATATATATATATATATATATATATATATATATATATATGTATATGTGTTTCTTGATTTTTATGTATAGCCTTTATTTTTAGCATCGTTACCTTTTTTTTTTTAACTCAAAGCTCACACTGTGAGGTCAAATTCCGTGTTGTTGATTTTGTAAGTTCTGCATCCTCTACTGAGACACTTTTCTGCACATTTTAATGCCGGTCACTGTTAATAAAGGTCTTCTGTTGTGTTCTCTGTTCTCCAGTTTGATCGGGAGCACTTCAGCGAGGTGTTTGTGGATCTGAAGTGGTTCGAGAGTAAAGTGGGCAATAAATATCTGAACGAAGCAGCCGGCCTGGCAGCGGAGGAGGCCGTGAGCAAGAACGGCAGGAAGAGCAAGGTGAGCAAAACAACTTCCTGCTCAGTGAGGTTCAGCAGCCTGAGCTAATTAGAGATTCTCAGACGGTGTACAGCGCGTAGCTGAAAACAGTAGCAGCCACCCTGAAGCCTGAATTCTGTCCGTACTTTTATCAGAAACCACATAAAGTCTAGGTTACTTAACAACTCTGCATTTAAATACGTAAGTTGAGGCAACCTTACTGTCAGTCGTGGACTACGGTGATGTAAAATGCATCTGTCAGTTCCCTCAAACCACTGGACTGGACTGGTCTATCACTCGGAGGTTCATTACTGGAGACCCTTACAACACTCATCCTGCAGACTGGACGAAAAAGTTGGTTGGCCCTCACTAGCAGCTCAGCAGGAAACACACTGGTTTATTCATTTATAAAACTCTCTCTGGCCAAATGCCAGAATATATTACTTCAACGATGTCTGTAAATAATGGTAATTATCAGACTCGCTCCAGTGGTTGGATTGCATGCCAGGTACTGAGAGTTTTTACTGAACTGGGAAAATCTGCCTTTAGTTACAGCACCAGTGAACCGGACCCTCACTACAGGAACCACTACAGCTTAGCTCGCTGGGTCACCCAGTCATTTTAAACTCTTACTCTCTGACCATCTCCACACTGCCTGAGACTGTTTTACCTGATTTTTTTACTATTATTGTCTTTTTTATTCTTATTTTATTATTTATTTGATTGTTTATTTTTTATTATTATTATTATTATTATGATTATTATATTGTTATTTTAGTCATTTTAATTAATTTTTAGCTTACTTTTTGATCTTATTCTCCTTTTGATTTGATTTTGTTAACTTTTACATTTTAGCTACGTTTTAATTATTGTTTTATATTTTCTACTGTATTTTTATGTATTTTTATTATTAATGTTTCATTTTTTATACTTACCTGATTTAAGTCAATTTTTATTAAATTTACTTTTATTATTTGACATGTTCTCATACTCACGGTCCCTTTTTACTGTATCAACTCGGCAACATCGTAAATGAGGGTCACCCTCAATGTTCTCCGAGGTTAAATAAAGGTTGATTGATAAGCTTCCATTACTTGTTAGCTACGTTAGCCTCATAGCTCCAGTGTAAAAACTGAACTAGTGTGTTTAATGTGTAAAGAAACAAACTTCAGACACAAAACATGGCTTGGCTGATCGACTATGTTAGGAGTAAGGAAAACTATTAATATACTATTAATGTAATTTCCAATTTTAAAGGACTGCTGTGCTTTGGACTGTAATGTTTTTTGTAGTGTTGAATTAAACTTGTCTGTTTTGTTCTCAGTCGTTTGAAGATTCTCTCTGTCTGGCTGCTCTGGATGGAGGCAAAGACTCTCGCTGTGCTTCAGGCAGAGGTACACGCAGTTATGACCGTTGGCTCCGGCCACGCAAGCTGATTGGTTGAGAAGTGTTCTAACTGTGCTGATATTTCGCCATAACATCACGGCTTTTTTACAAACACTGTATCACTCCGCTAAGCAACGACTTTGACAGCTGTAGGAGGCGCTCAAGCCATTTGAACGTTTTTACTTCTTACTTTGCCACAAACATAAAATGGACACTTTTAAGATCACATTTGACCGACAGTCGATTTGGTCAGACTCTGAAGACGAGACTACACTAAATTCCCAAACTGTCATCACCACTGAGGAGCTTTTCAGTCGGCAGCTGAGACAGAAGAACAGCTAAACAACCTGGAATCAGCCAGAAATGAACCCAACACCATTCGCCAAACTAAATGGGCTGGAACAAAACAACATTAATACTGATCTGGCAAAAACTGACCAAACATAGCTAAACCTGATATTGCATCAGTTTTATGGGTCTGTCCGATTTGGTCAGACTCTGAAGATCAGACTACACGTTTGGCGAATGGTAACAGCTGCCGACTAAAAAGCTGCTCAGTGGTGATGACAGTTTGGGAATTTAGTGTAAGGAGCTGGAGAACGAACTGCCGGCTGTGCAGCGAGTGGGCGGAGCTCGTTACTCTGACGTAGCAACAAGCTGCTTGTTAAGGAACTATAATTTTTTGAAGGAACTGCGAACATTAAAGCATATTAAACGCCGCGTTCACGGCCCAGTTTATTAATTTATTACTTTATTTATTAAACTGTTGTATAAAAGCAATAGAACACTCGAGGAGTGTGTTATCGCCAATAACATCACGGCTGTGATGATCTACAGAGACCAAATCACAGCCGAGATGTTATTTTGCGATAACACACTCCCTCTCGTGTTCTACTGCTTAAGTAACTCCTGTTCATCACTTCAGGTAGCTTTTCTCAGTTGAGCTGTGAAGGATTCAACATGCTATTTATTATTATTATTATTATTATTATTATCATTATGTGTGAATCAGAATGTCTTAAGGTTAGATCAGAGCTTTAAATCTGTGGAGTACAATAAAGGAAACAGACTACTTAAGGTGTCTCTCATGAATTGATGCAGCATGTATTTCTTATGACATCTGATAAGTTGGAACAACCAAAACAGTCCCATGTTTTAAACACAGTAGTCAAACTATAAATCCAGTGATTTGTGTTCAACATTTCACACACTGTGCTGCACTAAAAATCAATTAATTCTGCTCTCTGTGTAATCAAACATGCATGATATCAGTGTATTTTTATATACTGACAATATCCACAATATGCTTGGAGCAGCATATTATGACATGCTGTGAAGTAATCGATCACGATAGGGATGAATATTATCATATTACCCAGCCTCACGAGGTAGCACTACAGAGACTCTGTACGTAAACCTGACAGAAAGAGAAAGCAGAGAAGCATGAGGTCCTTTCAGTGTAGTAGAGAGCATAAATAAAGAGGAACACCATTGGAAGGTTTGGTGTAAAGACTAGGAGTTGCCAATGCAGTCACAGCTGTGTTGTCAGTTTAGTCTGTGTTAGACTTTGAGACGTTCAGATGTTTTACTCTTTTCTTGCTCTTTTCCATCAAAGCAGCTGAAGCAGCCGAGGAGGACGGAGAGGACGAGGACATGTTCGAAGCGGAGTTCCGACAGTATAAGAGGACGTACTACATGACCAAGATGGGTGTGGAGGTCGTCTCGGAGTGAGTGACTGACCTTTTTAAAATGTTGCAGCACAGATTAGTCCAGAAACTTAGAGAAACTGTGACACACTGTCATCTGAAATTTTATTAAATAAAACTGTCTCACTATATTGGTAGATCATTTTGCTTGTCTTAAGAAATGTGCCTGAAACCAGCAAAATTATCTGCCGGTATAGTGAGAGAATTTTTCTTGATAAAATGACCTAAAACAAGTAAATAATGTCTAGAAATGAGCTAGATAATCTTATAATCAGTGCGCAACCAGCCCAAAATGGGAAATATTTGATGTATCCACTAGATAATTTTACTTACATGGGAAATAGTATTGAAGATTTTTCTGTATGTTTGTTCTTCAGTGAGTTTTTGGCCAGCCAGGCTCGCTGCTATGTGGAAGGTATTCAGTGGATCCTCCATTACTACTACCATGGAGTCCAGTCATGGAGCTGGTAAGAAAGCTGTGCATATTTATCTGCGTTTTCAGATGAATAGAGAGTTATGCTACATTTCAGGTGGTCATCGGAAGGTTATAAGTTCGGTTGCATGTTGAAAGACAGACCGCCACAGAAAAAGAATTCGAGAAGGTCAGGAGAAAATGTACTGAAAGTGCTTTTCCTTCACAGTATTAAAAGTACGTAACTCACATAGAAACACATCAGGTATATTTTATTCACATTCACTGCCAGGTTTATCATTTACCGCAAGCAAGTTGCATTATGCCTCGTAATGTGTGCCATTTAGAATACAAAGTTTCCCACATGTGAAGGTGATTTTATTGACTGGTTGAGTTCAATCTACAAGCAGGGAATTTGGTATTTCCCAGTTTTCAACATTTGCTCAAATGTAGCAGTGATACCTGGTCATATAACAGTGTTGGTCAACACTTCTATATAATTCTTCCATTTTCCATTTTCTTCTTACATAAGAAGAAAATGGAAGATATTATAGAAGGTGCACCTAAGATACTATAGCAACCACCTGCAATGCCATAGCAAACGCCTAGCAACAACTTGGCAACCACCTGGAATATTATAGCAACCACATGCAAAACTATAGCAAACGCCTAGCAGAAACTTAGCAACCACCTGGAATATTATTATAACCACCTGCAATACTATAGCAAACGCCTAGCAGCAACTTAGCAACCACCTGGAATATTATTGCAACCACCTGCAATACTATAGCAAACGCCTAGCAGCAACTTAGCAACCACCTGCAATACTATAGCAAACGCCTACCAGCAACTTAGCAACCACCAGCAATATTATAGCAACCATGTGCAATTCTAGAGTGACCACCTAGCAACAACTTAGCAACCACCTGGAATCTTACAGCAACCACATGCAATGCCATAGCAACCACCTAGCAACAATTTAGCAACCACTTGGAATCTTATAGCAAATACATGCAATGCCATAGCAAATGCCTAGCAACAACTTAGCAACCACCTGAAATCTTATAGCAACCACATGCAATGCTATAGCAACCACCTAGCAACAACTTAGCAACCACCTGGAATAATAGCAACTGCCTAGCAACAACTTAGCAACCACCTGGAATCTTGTAGCAACAAAGTGCAATACTACAGCAACCACCTAGAAACAACTAGAAGGGTCAGTTAGTATGCAGAGAAACAGATGGACTACAGTCTGTAACTGTAGAACTACAAAGTGCCCCTATATGGTCAGTGGAGCTGATAAAATGGACAGTGAGTGTAGAAACAAGGAGGTGATTTTAATGTTATGACTGATCTGTGTATATCTGTATGCGTGCATGTGATGGAAAACATGCATGTGTGTGAGCACTCGAGCTGCCTGAGCTCCACATGCTTGTGTAAAAGTGTCTGATCAGCAGATCAGATCCATTGTTTGGAGCACAAGAAGCTGCTGCTACTCATCTGTGTCTCATCGTGTGCAACATAGCGCGAAAGCCCTGTTTCACAACGACTGAGAACCGGTGTGCAGACTGCAGGTCACACAGCAGCAATGTGTTATTCACATTTATAAGCAGCGCAGTTGGTTTCCTGATACATTAAATCTGCAACGAGAGACTGTCACACAGTAAAAAGTGGCGAAGCTGAAGTCGCTTCTCTTTCGAATTCTCCCGTTCCACCGCATTTACATTCGGCGCCCCAGTTAGAATTTAAGGTGGAACAGGTAAATTTGAACAAGAAGCTGGAGAATAAGAAGCGACTTCAGCCTCGTAAAACAGTCGAACGCTGAGAGATGTTTAACTGATCTACTTCTGAGGAAACGTCTTCTGGCGGAGGTGGAAGAAAAGCGGCTGTAGCTAAATCTTAAAGCAGAGCGAAGTAAGTCTGCGTTTTCGTTTATATTGTTTAGTCTATACTAGGACATTAACACACACTGAGACATACTGGACATGAAATGTTGCGGCTCCCAAGGTGGTTTGATTTTTGTTGAAAGGACAAAATGTTAACATTTGGGCTGTGACTCCTGACCTAACCTGGCTTTAATGCAGAGGGAGCCGGTCGGATTTCTCGCTCATCCATGTGTGTTTTTGTTATGTGCTGCCACAGACTGTCCGGGCGCTGCACTTACCCACTTCCAAGTTCTGTCTTTTGCATTCCGCCAACATTACGTTATAAATTAAATATTTAAAAAATCGATTTTTTACATTTGTGAATCGATTCACAATCGTTCACGTCCGCATCACGATGCATCTAAGAATCGATTTTTTTCCCGCACCTCTACTCAACAGCTCCGCACACCTGCTTCAGTCTGAGTAGTGAGATAGAAATAGTGCAGAACAGTCAATATTTCCTTTTCATTTAAATTGGCACTTTTCTGTGTTTTAAAATTTTCACGATTCAAAAATTTTCTGTTGTTTATTTAGAGAATTAAATGGGGATAAAAGGTGTGTGTGTGTGTGTGTGTGTGTGTGTGTGTGTGTGTGTGTGTATACATATGTAAACAAGCTTAAAAATCACCTTATGGTAATGCAGGTTTGTTGTGACGGTGCCCATTACGGATTTACACATTTTACACCTTTACATTTAAAACACAAGACTGGGAGTGAAAATAATCATTATTATGTAAGCATTTTTATATAGACTAGCAGTTCTGGATAGTCTAGACTTAACGATGTGTTTATCACAGAAACTCATATTGCAATAAAGATGGAAATTTATCATGCAGGCCTGCTGAAAGTTTACAGACACTAAATTTGAATATCATATGAAAACTGAATACAGTATAGCAGTGCAGTTTACACAATAAAACACCGCTATAACTGTGAACTGTGTGTGTGTGTTAGGTATTACCCATACCACTACGCCCCCTTCCTGTCGGACGTGAGAAACGTTGCTGGGTTGAAGTTGACCTTTGACCTAGGGAAGCCCTTCATGCCGTTTGAGCAGCTCCTCGGCGTCCTGCCCGCAGCCAGCAAAGACCTGCTCCCCAAGTGTTACCAGGTAACTCACACAAATACAGACAGATGACAGATTGAAGGAGCCTCCGGACCCCTTTTCCGTAGGGGTCCACCATTATTCCCTGTGCTTAGTCTCAGTCTAACATTGCACATGCGCTCTCTCACTTGTGGAAAACACAGTGACCAGATCAGTACAACAATGAACTAAAAACAGAATATATAAATATACAGTATAAAAGTGGGAACAGAATAACACAATCGGGAGAATGCCATAGTGAGTAAGTCAGTTTTTAGTTTAGACATGTCACTTAAATATATATATTTTTTGTACTTGTGTACATAAATGTGGCACTACTGACACTTTTTTGCCTGTTCCAATGTTTCTGATGTCAGGAAAAAGTAAATATTGCGACATATTGTGTATTGTGAAGTATTACGATTGTCGTATTTTTGCTTTATTGCCTACCGATGATCCTCAGTCACCTGAGGAACAGCTGCTCTTACATATCGCACTAGTGCACGAGCATCACATGCACGTGGATGTGAGTGAAGCTCAATAGTGAACATACTTTCAAAGGTACTTAGATCGTTATCATCTTGATCCAAAACCGAGCTATTCTGGACCTGCTCAGTGTTTTTATACCTGCCACAGAGCTGGCGGGATGTTAATTTCTCAATTGAATCACCTGTCTGTGCAGCTCCTGCACTCGTAATGGTTCTTGACTTGTTTTTGGGGTTTTTCCTTTAATTTCTCAGCCGTCTGCGCATCATGTAATAGTGTTCCTGTTACAGGCTTTATTTGTCTTGTTACATTCTCAGTAAATTATACATGCAGATAGTCCCTCTGAATGTGTTATTTCTGTTTCAGCATCTGATGACGTCCCAGAGTTCCTCCATCATCGAGTACTATCCGCTGGACTTCAAAACGGACCTGAATGGGAAGCAGCAGGAGTGGGAGGCGGTGGTGCTCATCCCCTTCATCGACGAGGTGCAGATTTTGCTTTTGTTTATTTGTTATTTATATAGTTCAGACCATCATGTATTCACAGTATCTGCTATATCCTCCACTTCGTCTCTGGGGTTGTCACTCAAGTCACTGACTTGAATCATTTGACTGAATCATTTGACTCACCTGTGTCACTTGATTTAATTGTTTCACTTGATTCACTTGTGTCACTTGATTTGCCTATCTCTCTTGATTCACATGTCTCTCTTGAGTCATTTGACTCTCTTACATCATTTGACTCACTCAAGTCACTTAAGTCATTTTACTCATTGGAGGTGCTGGAGTCTGTTTTCTCATTTGTGTCACGTGAATCATTTGACTCACTGAAGTCACTTAAGTCATTTTGCTTATTGGAGGCGCTGGAGTCAATGATCTCATTTGTGTCACTTGTCACTTGAGTCATTAGACTGACTTGAGTCACTCTTGCCCCTTGACTCATTTGAGTCAATTGAGGCCCTTGGATCACTTGTCATTTGTCTTTGATGTTTCATTGTAATACCTTTGGTGTTGTGAATTTGAATTAAACTTGATTTTAGAAATAGAGATACATTGTTGTCATTATTATTATTATTATTATTATTATTATTATTATTATGCTTGTGATATGTGTGTTTCAGAAACGGCTGCTGGCAGCCATGGAGCCATGCACAGATCTTTTGAGTAAATCAGAGAAAAGCAGAAACAGACACACAGAGTGTTCACTGTACTGCTACGATAAACAGCTGGATTATCCCTACAGCTCACCACTGCCTGACGTCTTCCCCAACATCGTGCACTGCCACACCAAGTACGCAGTTTTCATTTGCAGCTTTAAAATAACTTTTCACTTATATTGTTAAAAAAGGAGAGTGTATATGAATTTTTAGATTTTTCTGTCATAAATATACACGACATAAAGAAATCTAAAGGAACAGTCCAGTGATATTCAGAGAGAAGCTGATATGTAATGGCATTTTTTTAGGGTGACCCCCATTCCTATGGACGCCTGGCGGGTTTCTCTGGACTATGTCAGCCGCAAGGTTGACCGCAGCTCACTGTATTTCTGTGGCTTTCCCACGCTGCAGCACATCCGCCATAAAGTAAGCCTCATCAGATTGACTCAGATTATCACCAGATTAAACAGGATTATTATGAGATTAACTGAGATTATCTCATTCTCTCTCTCAGTTCTATAAGAAGAAGAACGGCGTGATGGTGTTCCAACAGAGCAGCCGAGGAGAGAACACGATGCTGGAGATTTTACCCTGCCAGCAGGGGGTGCCGGTGAGCTCCATTGCTTCATCCAAACGCAGCAACAGTTAAAGGGTCCATATCATAGATTTCACTTAAAGGGCCCATACAGTTTGTTCCATGTTGTTTTTGAACAAGACACAGTACAGGACAGCCAATCTGAACAGAGCTCATTTACATATATCGGCCCTAAAGGAATAGTAGCAAAAGAAAAAAAAACAATACCAGTGACAAAAAGTGGAATATCAGCCCTTTAAAGCCATAGAGCAGGGGTCGGCTCCATGCGGCTCTTTTTCTGCCCTGTTGTGGCTCCACAGCAGAATCAGATTTGTAGGTAAAAATAAAATAATCCTCCTTTACAGTAAAATAAAGCTCTGCTGATCGTTCAACACAGTTTAACAATAAATGGTCTTAAACTCTGGAGTTAATGTAGAACTGCTAATTCACCCTTTAACCCTGAAGATCAGCGCAGACTGCTGGTCACCACAGCAACACAGACAACAATCTCACCTAGCTAGTAGCTAACGAGAAGGCAAAGAGAGAGATTTAAGAGGAATGTTGATCATTTGGAGATGAATGGACTTATTTGCGTTTATAATCACTCCAGCTGGTTTCCTGATACGTTTAATCTGCAATGAGAAACTGACAAACACTAAAAAGTCAGTTTCTCATTCGCCAGCTTCTTGTTTGAATTTTCCCGTTCCACCTTAAATTGTGCAGCAGTTACATTCTAGCGCCTCAGGCACCATTTAAGGTGGAACGGGAAAATTCAAACAAGAAGCTGGCGAATGAGAAGCGACTTCAGCCTCGTAAAAAGTCAATCATTGAGAGACGTTTTACAAGAAACTGTTGTACTTTTTGCGGAGGTTTCCTGCTGGAGATGCGAGAAAAGCTGCTATAGCTGAGCAAAAGCTTAAAGCAGAGCAGAGTAAGTCTGTGTGTTCATTTATATTTACGTTTTTAGTCTGTACTTTAGCACATACTGAGACGTATTTACAGTCACAATGGAAAATGGACATCAAATTTTGTGGCTCTCAAAGTGGTTCGATTTTTGTTGGAAGGACAAAATGGCTCTTCTTAACATTTGGGTTGTGACTCCTGACCTGGACACATAATATGCACAGTGCTTGTTTTTAAAGCACGAATAATGAACAGTCCAGAAGTGTCTGTGTATGTGTGGCTGTAAATTATGAAGTGTTGATCCAGTAACGCAGGCTGGGTTGGTTCCTCTGTGCAGATGGTGGAGGACGTAGCGGCGCTGGTTTTGGGGAAATCTGTGTTTGTGAGCTGGCCTCATCTGGTGGAGGCGCGAGTGGTGGCTGTTTCTGATGGAGAGACAAAGTAAGATATTAATGAAAATAACCTTCATTAACACCTCTCTCTCTCTCTCTCTCTCTCTCTCTCTCTCTCTCTCTCTCTCTCTCTCTCTCCCTCTCTCCCTCTCTTTTTCTCTCTCTCTCCCTCTCTCCCTCTCTTTTTCTCTCTCTCTCTCTCTCTTACACTCTCCCTCTCCCTCTCTTTTTCTCTCTCTCTCTCTCTCCCTTTGTCTTTCTTTCTCTCTCTCTCTCTCTCTCTCATCTCTTTATCTCTCTCTCATCCTCTCTTTCACATCCTCTCTTTCACATCCTCTCTATTTTTCTCTCTCTCTCTGTCTCTCTCTCTCCCTCTCTTTCTCGCTCTCTCTCTCTCTCTCTCTCTCTCTCTCTCTGTCTCCCTCTGTCTCCCTCTTTTTCTCTCTCTCTCTCTCTCTTACACTCTCCCTCTCCCTCTCTTTTTCTCTCTCTCTCTCTCCCTTTGTCTTTCTTTCTCTCTCTCTCTCTCTCTCTCTCATCCTCTCTTTCACATCCTCTCTATTTTTCTCTCTCTCTCTATTTCTCTCTCTATTTCTCTCTCTCTCTCTGTCTCTCTCTCTCCCTCTCTTTCTCGCGCGCTCTCTCTCTCTCTCTCTCTCTCTGTTCCTCTCTGTCTCTTTCTATCTCTCTCACATCCTCTCTCTCTCTCCATTTCTCTCTCTCTCTATTTCTCTCTGTCGTTGTCTCTCTTTTCTCTCTCTCTGTCTCTTTGTCTCTTACATCCTCTCTCTCATGCTCTCTTCTGTCCTCTCTCTGTTCTTCCTCTTTCTCTCTCTCTCTGTCTTTTCTGCTATGCTTTTCTGCTTCTTTCTCTTTCTTGTCTTTATTTTTCTCTTTTCCTATCCTTTGTTTCTTTCTCTCAACTACCTCTCCCCTCTCTCTCTTTTTTCCTGTTTTGCTCCTTTCTCTCTCTCTCTCTCTCTCTCTTTTTCTTTCTCTCTCTCTCTGTTTCTGTTGCCTTGATTCCAAGTTGATTAATGTAGATAAGGTAGATGACACTGTCAAAGCTTAATTTACTAAATTTGGGAATATTAAAGACTAATAAAGAAAATTTTAAAAGTGTATATGAACGCAATCCTCTCTCTCTCTCTCTCTCTCTCTCTCTCTCTCTCTATTCCCATCCCCCTCTCTCACTCTCAGATTTTTCCTAGAGGAGCCGCCTGGTGTGCAGAAGCTGTATGTGGACAGCACTCCTCCTCCTGTTAAAGTGCAGTATTTGAGTGATAAAGAGCAGAAGGATTGGGTGAAGGAGGTGCAGGGCCTCACAGAATAGTAAGACTGTATTAACCATCACCATCTAATCACGAACACCACTGTTATCTTTATTACTGAACAGTAAGGCCCAGTCATTTCTTATTTTTACCCCTACCCCTTGTTTTCGAGTGTTGCCCCTTGGAACTGAGTTACAAGCTGTAGTGTAGTGAAATCTTCCCTCTCAAATGGGACCCTTAAATAAAAAGAGCATTACTTCATTAACAGCTACTAGCGCTGCTCTGTAGGCAACCCTGCCAGTCTGCAGTGACAGCAGAGGAGGGTAAAGTTCAGCTCCTCACTGCTGGGCTTTAGTTACATTTAGGGCATCATATGACTTCAAAGAGGGGGGCAATTATTTATTATCGCCCACCCCTAATTCTTCAGTGATATGAAGCTGAAATCAGATATTGACCAGCTTCTTGTTAAATTTTTTCCGTTCCACCTTAAATGGAGCAGCAGTTACATTCTGGCGCTTCAGGCATCAGAACTGCTGGACTATTTAAGGTGGAGCGGGAAATTTAGCTAACTAGCTACCGAGACATTAGCACTACTATGCTTGTTATGAAGAAAAGGACCATAATACACTGAAACAGCATTAAACTTAGATAATACAGTGATTATCGTAATTTCTTAACAGAGAAAATTCTCACATTTGGGGGTTTCTTTGGTCTCTTGTTCTCCATCTTACCGATTTTTCTTTTTTTTCCTCATAACTCTCTGTTTGGAGTCTCTGTAAAACCTCCGTTTGGACACTTCGCCCTACCCCTCTGTCTGAACAAGAATCAAGAACCCTTGATTTAATTGTTTCACTTGATTCATTTGTGTCACTTGATTCACATGTCTCTCTTGAGTCATTTGACTCTCTTAAATCATTTGACTCACTCAAGTCATTTTGCTTATTGGAGGTACTGGAGTCAGTGATCTCATTTGTGTCACATGTCACTTGAGTCATTAGACTGACTTGAGTCACTCTTGTCTCTTGACTCATTTGAGTCAATTAAGGCCCTTGGATCACTTGTCATTTGTTTAGTCTTTGATGTTTCATTGTAATACCTTTTGGTGTTGTGAATTTGAATTAAACTTGATTTTAGAAAGGCACTATAGATAAGATACGTTGTTGTTGTTGTTCTTCTTCTTCTTTTTCTTCTTCTTCTTCTTCTTCTTCTTCTTATTATTATTATTATTAATTAATTAATGTTTCTTTGGTCTCTTGTTTAACCATCTTGCCGGTTTTTCTTCTTTCCTCATAACACTCTGCTTGGAGTCTCTGAAAAACCTCTGTTTGGAGGGCCATGTAGCCCCAACACTTCGCCCCACCCCTCTATCGCAACAAGAATCGGGACACCCTACCCCTAGACGTAAAAACGCAAAACAGAGGGATTAGGGCTACGTGGTGGGGGCGAGGGGTGCAATAGGATTGGGCCTAAGACTGTATTTACCATCACTGTCTAATCACCTAAGTTAAGGTTTCTGGGTATTAAATAATTAAACTCGCCCAGATTCATCCCTGCTAATTGACGTTTTTATGTTGCCATTATTAGACTTGTAGTTTTCACCTTTGGCACGGTGTGTGACCTACACTCTGACCGCTGATCCTCACTTTTTTGTGCAGCCACAATAAGCGTAAAGGTGTCGTAATCAACGAGACGGACATCCTGCTGTACACTCAGCAGCTGACCGGCAGGAAGTATACGATCAGTCAGAATGGCAGTGTCCTTCTGGAGAAGCAGTGGGCCAAACAGGTTCTGCCGTTCCCATACCAAACCATTGTGAAGGTAAGCTTACCTTAAAGGGCAGTGCCACCAAATGTTTAAAATTTCTGTACACAAGTGTATATTTATTCTATATTATATTAAGATATTTGTGACTGTAATAAACACCTTATAACTAGTCAATAAGCAGGTAGTACACATAAAAAAGGGCAACAGTAACCCGCTGCTTAAGAAGTAGTGAGTCATCATCCATATGTTAAACCGTTTTTTAACCGGCATTAAACCGTTCAGCTTCAATGTATGTTCATGTTCATTTGATAGAGCAGCTCATGCTTTTTATGTGTTTTGACTGCTTATTAATTATTGCTAAGGTGTTTAAGATGCAATTAATAGCCATTAATGAGCTAATTTTCCATTTAAACCCTTTATAAAACCTTTATGCAAATGAGCAATACAGAGCATGGGTTTCAGTGCGGTTAGTTTTCCTGTTAATGCTGCTCTGCTGTTGGTCATTCTGTGAGTGATTGTGCTGTTTTTTCTTTCCTTCAGGACATCAAGGCCTTCGACTCCTCTCTGGCTCGTTTCAAAACCCTAGAGGAGCTGTTTCCTGTGGCATCTACTGTGTTTATGGTGGGGAACCCATATTACGGAGCCATGGGAGAGGTGAGTGCTGCTGAAGAGGCTTTTACCAAGTCATTCAGAGTGGTTTGGTGTGAAATGGTTCAGATTTCTTTACAGTGGTGGTGATAGGAACCAGGGGTCGCCATGACTACAACACAGATATAGACATTTTATTTACTATTCAAAACCACCAGTGAACCTACACGAGTCTTCTGAGTTTATATGGAATGTTGATGATGGAAAATAGTGGAAACACCCTGCGTATTATGTATCCCTCCACCATAAATGGATTTTAAGGCCAAAATCTTCTCAAAACTGTCATAAATAAGGTCTCAGTCATCAGGCAGTGAATTCATAACCATTTCATGTAGCAACTTTCTGTGAGGGAGCTTTTAGAGGTGGACGTCTGGTTCCTATCACCACCACTGTGAACAGTTCTGACTCAGTAAGTTTTTCTACACTCTTAAAAAAGATGGTGCTTCAAGGGTTCTTTAATAAAGAAAATGGTTCTATATAGAGCCATGAACACTCAAAGAACCCTTTGCATGATTAAAGGATTCTTCGGATTGATGGAGAATGTGCATGAATGTGCCATAGACGGTTCTATATAGAACCCAAAAGCGTTTTTCTATTCCAAGCTTGACACCGTAACAACCCTTTTGGGTGCTATATATAACCATTTTCAAAAAGATTCTATATAGAACCCTCTACAGCACATTCTTCATCAATCTGAAGAACACTTGCATGATGCAAAGAACACTTTAATCATGCAAAGGGTTCTTTGAGTGTTTATGGCTCTTTGTAGAACCGTTTTCTTTTTTAAAAGTATAGCAGGGAGCGTTTCACACCAAACCACTCTGAATGACTTTGTTTACATTTTAACCATTTTATCATGCTGAAAATTAGAAAATTGGGTGGTATTCCTCTTTATGCAATGGCTGCAGTAACCTTAGCAAATTGTTGATGTACTTTTTTTTTTTTTTTCCCTCCCTTTAGGTGCAAGATTCCAGTGATGTCATCAACGAGGGACGAGTCCGGGTGGTCTTCACCATGCCGTGTGAACCTCAACTCGATGCCTTAATTCAGAACCAGCATGTGAGTCCTACCTCTATATGAAATACTTATGTGTTTATTTACACCGACCAGGCATAACATTATGACCCTCCTTGTTTCTACGCTCGTTGTGAGTTTTTAAACACTGTGTCCACTCACTGTCCACTCTATTAGACACTCCTACCTTGTCAGTCCACCTTGTAGATGTAAAGTCAGAGACGATAGCTCATCTGCTGCTGCATAGTTTGTGTTGGTCATCCTCTAGTCCTTCATCAGTGGTCACAGGACGCAGCCCACAGGACGCTGCTGGCTGGATATTTTTGGTTGGTGGACTATTCTCAGTCCAGCAGCGACACTGAGCTGTTTAAAATCTCCAGCAGCACTGCTGTGTCTGATCCACTCGTACCAGCACAACACACACTAACACACCACCACCACATCAGTGTTACTGCAGTGCTGAGAATGATCCACCACCCAAATAGTATCTGCGATGTGAGGGTCCATGGGGGTCCTGACCACTGAAGAACAGGGTAAAAGGGGGCTAACAAAGTATGCAGAGAAACAGATGGACTACAGTCTGGAACTGTAGAACTACAAAGTGCACCTATATAGTAAGTGGAGCTGATAAAATGGACAATGAGCGTAGAAACAAGGAGGTGGTCATAATGTTATGCCTGATCAGTGTATTGTTATTCATTCATATATTGCAAATGAGGGCAGCTGTTTTGTTAATGTGTAATGGTTGAGATTGTTTTGCCCATACTCTGACAGAAAAACAGAGCAGAGGAAACCATTACAGATTTATTTTCTTCATAAGCACCAAATCATTTAACCTCCCAGCTTAAAGCATAAAAGGAAACTCCAGTAACTGTAGAAAATACAGAGGCAGCAGTGAATAAAATGAATGAATGAGTGAGCAATAACAGTATATTTTCTTCATAATACGTAATATTTACTTTGTTTTTTGAAACCCTTCAGAAATACTCCGTGAAGTACAGCCCCGGATACGTCCTCGCCTCCCGCCTCGGCATCACCAGCTACCTGGTCTCCAGGTTCTCTGGCAGCATTTTCATTGGCAGAGGCTCCAAGAAAAAGTTAGTGCTGCTTTTTCTGGTTCTGTTTTGTTTAAGATCTTTTGCTGTGGGACTGTGATGTGGTGGTCATAACATGTTATTGTATCTGTTGCTTCTGTAAAGTGACCTTGGAAATTAGAAAGGTGATATGTTGTTGTTGTAACGATAATAATAATAATGATAGTCATAATAGTAATTGTTATTATTGTTAATCAGTAAAACTTTTCCTTAAGCAAACAGAAAAAATTACAAAAGCATAATTTACTATTGTACAACATAAAAATAAGCACTCATAGCAGCTTGCATCTGAAATGTAAGCACATTTTTTTGCGCTGTAAGGCTGAACCATGTCACACATGCTGACTGCTGATGGCGCCCCCTTGTGGAGAATTTTAGCCAGCGGCGCATGAGTGAGTTTCATGAGCTTTAATCTAAAAACAGTCAGGATTTACTGAACAGCTTTTTCTGTTCAGGTTTACAGTGAGGCTACAAACACAGATAAATGTGTTTTTATTTTCAATTAAAGTATGTGTTTATATTTAATTTCTTTAAAAGCTTCTTATGATGATGATGATTTTACACCCTCAGAGTGAACGGTCATCATGTTTTAAGAATTTTTACAGGCTTGTAGTTCAGAGTAGTTTTTGAGCTTTGAGTGTTGTAATTGGCTGTTAAGCTGAGTGGTTAAGTCACTCGTTCTCTGCGTGGGAGAGCACAGTTTTACCTCAGTGCAGGGAGCTCTTGTTGGGCTTCTAGACTTCTGCATTCTCGCCAGTCCGAAAACTCATGAAAACTCATATCACAATAATGATAAATGATATTTATTGTGCAGCCATTATTATTATTAGTAGTAGTAGTAGTAGTAGTATTACTGTTATTATTACTACTATTACTCTGCTCATTCTTTTTCAAACCTGAATTGTAGGTTTTATACAGATCATTTTACATTCATCATCATTAGAATGGAAATGAACTGCGTCTCTTGAGGGTACTTTGGTCAGACTGCATAGATCCCATGTGTCAAACACAAGGTGGGCCAAATCAGGCCCACCACACAATTTTATCCGGTCCGCAAGTAATTTAATTCTCTATTAATATTAGCCCGTTTCACAGTGAGATGCACTACAGTCCCCAGCATGCACTGCAACGTAATGTGCTCCGACTCTCCTTTCCCAACAACAATCTGTGGGACAGTTCTACACAATTCCACATCAGCCATATTACCAAAATGCATTTCAGCTGCTGTTCAACCAACATAAAAACCTAAAGTCAGTCTTAATGAACTTGCAGCAAAGGAAAGGATGCCAAGTGTCTGGCTCAAGCAAACAGGTAGGTTTAAAAGACTGAGCTCCTGGGGCACTTAAATTTTGAATATTTCAAGTATTCATGTAATATTTCAAGGTCTAATACAAGTGTCTGTATTTTACTGCTGAGGTTTTTTAAAATTTTGCATAAACTGGTCAGTTCGGGTTACAGCACAACATTAATTAAAAATGAAATAAAAACATTTTTTTCCTCTGGCCCACGGATTTGTTGAGGTTTTTTAATATGGCCCTTTTACTGGTTGAGTTTGACACCCCTGGTTCAAATGTTCTAACTCGTTCTCCGTTCCTCTTTGTTCCTCTGCAGTCCTCATGGAGAGCAGAGGGCAAACGTGGGTCTGAATCTGAAGTTCAACAAGAAGAACGAGGAGGTTCCCGGCTACACCAAGCGAACGGAGAAGGAGTGGCTGTACTCGGCCGCTGTGGAGGAGCTGCTGGCTGAGTATCTGGAGAGATTTTCTGAGGTGTTTGACTTCGTGTCCAGAAACAGCCATGATGACGTCTTCTACGAGGATGATATCTGGCCTGGAGAGGATGAGAACGGGTACCTCACTCTTGCATCACTCTCCACAAATTTAGCTTTCCCCCCCAGTGTTTAAAAAAGAGAGAGAAAATGGTCATGTAAAAATGAATTGGCTATTTTTGGCACATAAAATCCACATAAATGTGTAAGTGGGAAGTGGGGAAATATAAAATGCAAGCAAACTGTAGGACATGGGCCCTTTAAAGTGTAGTGGAAAAAATGGGTTATTAGGTTTTTCGGTGAACTGTCCCTTTAAGTGTCAATGTATTTATTCTACTGTGATAATATAGCAGAGCGCACTGTGTCAAGACAAAAGATCTGATAAGTGTAATGTTTTCTCTCTCAGAGCGGAGAAGGTTCAGGAGATTCAGGCCTGGCTGAAAACTCATCCCGTCAGCTCCTCCTCCAGAGCGTCATGTGACCTGCAGATCCTGGATGCAGGCATTGTGGAGAAGATCGAGGAAGAGCTGGAGAAATGCAAGGTGAGGATTCTAACTCGCTTACTCAGCAGTGTTTAAAGGGCCCAAATGGTGCTAAACCAAACGTTCATCTCCTTTTATTTTTGAAGGGATCTGCCAATCAGAATGGAGCTCATTTACATATATCAGTCTTATGCTGTGTCCAGAGGAGGATGGGTTCCCTTTTTGAGTCTTGGTTCCTCTCAAGGTTTCTTCCTCTTACTCTTAGGGAGTTTTTCTTGCCACTGTCGCCATTGGCGACACTCATGGGGGCTTGGACCCAGATTTTTCTGTAAAGCTGCTTTGCGACAACACCTGTTGTAAAAAGCGCTATATAAATAAACTTTGACATGAGCGGAGCATTTCGGCAAGAATTAAATTTTCCCGACCGTCGACCACAGCGGTGCAGTAAACCAGATGCTGACTTTTTTGGGAGCCATGGATGCCAAACGTCTCGTTGTTGAACTACAGACAAGCGAAATATTACACAAAATACAACCCCATTTCCAAAAAAGTTGGGATGCTGTGCAAAATGCAGATAAAAACAAAATACAATGATATGCAAATCATTTAAACCCTATATTTAATTGAAAACAGTACAAAGACAACATATCAAATGATGAAAGTGGGAAATTTTGTTTTTTGAAAAATAAATGCCTATTTTGAACTTGATGCCAGCAACACGTTCCAAAACAGTTGGGACGGGGGCAACAAAAGGCTAGTAAAGTTGTGTAATGCTTGAAAAAACACCTTGTGGTTGATTGGTGACAGGTCAATAACATGATTGGGTATAAAAAAGCATCTCAAGAATAACATTTCTCAATGTAAATAGCAAAGAACTTTTGCTTTTCATCATCTACGGTACATAATAATAATAACATTAAACGATTCAGAGAATCTGGAGAAATCTCTGTACGTAAGGGACAAGGCCAAAAAACAGTATTTGCTGGCCGTGATCTTTGGGCCCTCAGGCAGCACTGCATTAAAAACAGACATGATTCTGTAGTAGAAATCACTGCATGGGCTCAGAAACACTTCCGAAAACCACTGTCTGTGAACACAGTTCATCACTGCATCCACAAATGCAGGTTAAAACCCTAAAACGCAAGGAAGAAACCACATATAAACAGGATCCAGAAATGCTGCCACCTTCTCTGGGCCCAAGCTCCTTTAAAATGGACTGAGGGGACGTGGAAAAGTGTCCTGTGGTCCAACGAATCAAAATTTGAAATTCTGTTTGGAAATCATGGACACTGTGTCCTCCGGGCTAAAGACCACTCAGCTTGTTATCAGTGCACAGTTCAAAAGCCAGTATTCATGATGGTCTAGGGGTGCATTAGTGCACATGGCACTGGCACATCTGTGAAGGCACCATTAATGCTGAATGATATATACATGTTTTGGCAACATATGCTGCCATCCAGACAACGTCTTTTTCAGGGAAGGCCTTGTTTATTTCAGCAAGACAATGTCAAACCACATTCTGCATGTATCACAACAGCATTGCTCATTATTAAAAGAGTCTGGGTGCTAAACTGACCTGAAAGCGGACTGGGAAAAATTATTTATGACTGTTTTTGGCACATAAAACCACACGTATTGTACATGGACCCCAGAGAAAAAAATAACACAGGAAAAATTCAGAAAATGGGCCCTTAAAACACACCAGTCTGTATTTTATATATTATTTTAAAAATTATTAAGCATGTTCTCCTGCTTTGGTGGGACAGTAACGTTATGTTCTAATTCTAATTCCGGTTCTAATCTAAATCTATGTTCACCCTCTGATTAACAGGCAAAGAAGAGCAGCAAGAAAGTCAGAGTCACCGTGAAGCCTCATCTGCTGTTCAGGGTAAGCATGTTACTGAGGAATGTCTAAGTAATAAAATGACCATTGGACAATAAAACAAAGCAGTACTTTATAAGCAGTGCTGTTGGACACGACACCTACAAATTGTAATGTTAAAATACTTCATTTATAATTGTAGAACATCTTTCATACATGAAAATGCAGCTTAAAGTGTGCCACAGTATGTTTAAATAAAGCAGTAAAACAGTGTAAATAAAAGAGAAAATGAAAGAAACATTTATTATTATTATTATTATTATTATTATTGTGACAGTAGGCTGTGATTACGTATCAAAACAGCAGTCACATAATTGCATGAATATTTTAGTACTTTTTTATTAACATAGCATTTATGTAGAATTCAGTTGGTCACACTTCTGTATATTCATTAACAGCTTAGATCGATTTGATCAGATTTCAGAGCCTAATCCGTTGTTTAACGTGTCTCGGAGCTGTTATGGATTAAATTGTGCCCTCTTTGTTTGTCCTTTACAGTGTGTGACTGATATTGAGATCATTGCATGTTTATATCTTTGTGTGCTTGTAGCCGTTGGAGCAACAGCACGGTGTCGTTCCTGACCCGGACGCTGAGTATCACCTGTTTGACCGAGTCGTCAACGTCAGAGAGAGTTTCTCTGTTCCACTCGGCCTCAGAGGGACGATAATCGGCATCAAAGGAGGTACGACACACTCATAAACATGGCAGTCTTTTCACAAGGTTTGTTTTTTTACTTCAGGCCCTTCAAAGCCAGCAGAGGTGTGGATGTGATGTCATCAAATGCATTAGAGTTCATACTGGGCACATAATGGGAGCTGGAACACATTCTGGGTGATGAGCCCAGCTGTCAGTCAGTGAAGCTTCATGATGGCTCCTGTAATGCTGGTGAAGATGAAGCTGATCGACTGGCGTTCGTTGGCAGTCGTGATTGTTTACCTCTGGATGAGCCGTGAAGCTCTGTCCTTTTACACATGTGGGTCGGTTTAGGAGCTGATCTGTTCAGACTGATGTCGCATACAGATCACATTTAACAGATAATGTGAACAACCAAACAAAAAAATCGGATTTGGTGAGAAAATCAGATTTGGGCCAATTTTACCTGCTGTGTGGCCAAATTCAGCCTCTTGTTTAGTAATCTGAAAGTGGCAGTTCAGTTAATGCTGCTGTACCTCGTTATACCTCTGACACTAATATTGTCTGATATTGTTTGTGTTCTCAGCTGAGCGAGATGCAGAAGTGCTATATGAAGTTCTGTTTGATGAGGAGTTTGCAGGAGGACTCACTCTCAGGTACAGCATATACAGAGCACACAGCAGAGGCAGGGGTTCTTAACCTCGGGGGTCATGATGTGGTTCCAGGGGGGTCGTATGAGTGGCAGTATGAGGAGATTTTATATGTATTAATCCTTAATAATTACAGAAAGAAGAGCCAGTATTGATCCACTCAGCACTGATGGCTTCACACAGCTGAAAAACACAGACCAGCTAGTTTGTTTTTAATATGAGACCAAATATTCTCTATAGGGTTTAAATCTGGACTCTGACCAGCCAGAACTATTTATATATATTTCACTTTTTGTATCTTCATTTTTGGCAATAGGTCAGTAACATGATTCATGATTGGGTATAAAATCTTTCAAAACACATCTCAGAGAGTCTTTCAGAAGTAAAGATGAGGAGGGTTCACCACTCTGTGAAAGACTGCACAATCAAATAGTGCAACAATTTAAGAATAACATTTCTCAACGTAAAATGGCAAAGAACTTTTGCTTTTCATCATCTATGATACATAATAACATTTAAAAGATTTAGAGAATCTGGAGAAACCTCTATATGCAAAGGACAAGGCTAAAAACCAGTATTTGCTGGCCGTGATCTTTGGGCCCTCAGGCAGCACTGCATTAAAAACAGACGTGATTCTGTAGAGGAAATCACTGCATAGGCTCAGAAACACTTCTGAAAACCACTGTCTGTGAAAACAGTTCATCACTGCATCCACAAATGCAAGTTAAAACCCTAAATGCAAAGAAGAAATCAAATATAAACAGGATCCAGAAATGCTGCCACCTTCTCTGGGCCTGAGCTCATTTAAAATGGACTGAGGGGAAGTGGGGAAGAGGGGAAGTGGTCCGACAAATCAACATTTGAAATTCTTTTTGGAAATCATGGACACTGTGTCCTCCGGGCTAAAGACCACTCAGCTTGTTATCAGTGCACAGTTCAAAAGCCAGTATTCATGATGGTCTAGGGGGGCATTAGTGCACATGACATAGGTGACGTGCACATCTGTGAAGGCACCATTAATGTTGAATGATATATACATGGCACTAATGCTGCCATCCAGACAACGTCTTTTTCAGGGAAGGCCTTGTTTATTCCGGCAAGACGATGCCAAACCACATTCTGCACGTATTGCAACAGCATTGCTCCGTATTTCACAGAGTCCAGGTGCTAAACTGACAATGTGGTCTGGGAAAAATTATTTATGACTGTTTTGGTACATAAAACCACACATATTGTACATGGACCTCAGAGAAAAAATAACACCTGAGCCTGAGCCTAACTGTTAACCGTTAGAAAACAAGAGGGTGAGCTGTGGGGTCTTCTGTTTGAAAAATACTGAACAGTGAAATTCAGTCTGTATATTGTCACTTATCACTCACAGCTGCTAAAACAAACTAGTTAACCATTTGCTGAACCATACATTCCCTCCAAAACCACCTCAGATCTGGACTGCTCGTACTCGCCTGACTTTTGCTCCACACCTGTAAAGAAATCAGCAGTGCAGCAGTCTGTGACTGCGGCTTTACATGAATTATGAATTTATATTGGCTGAGCTCGTCACTGAGCAGGGGAACTGATTGAACTACAAGACTGACTGAGTGCTAAACTTGAAGCACAGGGCTAAGGATTTGTAGTTTGTCTTGAAGTGCCTGCTAAGGAACGCAGGTCCATTCATCCCTTTAAGTGACTATATTTACTATTTGATTATTCTTCTTTAATTTCTGTAATGTGAATGCTGGTGTGTGTGGGGGGGCGCGCGAGGGCCGGGGGAGGAGACGGAGGGGGTCGCGCTCTGAAAAGGTTAAGGACCCATAGCATAAAGTAATATTGAATTTGTATAATGTTCCACTTTGCTCCAAACCAGAGAACACTGTATACCTACTGTTATCTGTAAACATGGGCAAAAGTACTTTACATGCCTTAAAACAGTCATTCTGTCCATGTTGATAGATAACAGTGAGTCACACAGTGTCAGAAACCACATGATGAAGACCATCAGAGATACTGAACAACACACGGTTTGAGACAAGTGTGATGATCTAGTCATGCAGTTAGCACTATGCTAATTGGTGTGCATAAGCTTCCATGACTTGTTAGCTACATTAGCCATATAGCTTTATAAAAGAAGCTTCAGACACCAAACGGGTCTTAGCTGACCGCATTTGGGACGAGAGGGGTAAATGTGATGTTTTTTAAATTAGCTATCGCTTTATTACTGTCCTAACTTAATTTGTTATTTGATTTCTAATTTAATGTATAATTTCTTCTGTTATTTTATTCATGTTTTTAATTTCTGTTTTTTTTTAACTTTGTATTTTCGTATTTGCAAAGCATATTGTATGACCAATAAGCATATTAAATGAGCAATAAGCATATTAAATGAGCAATAAGCATATTGAATGTGTGTGTGTGTGTGTGTGTGTGTGTAGGTGCTCTCCAGGGCGGGGCTACAGGCTGCCCCCGTGTGCCTTAATAAACCTGAGTCACGGAAGCCGTCAGGAGCAGAGCTCCCACAAACTCACTGCCATCGTCAAACCCCAACCCACCTCCACTCAGCGCACCCACAGGAACCAGCTGGAGGGCCTAAATCACTCTCCCCGTTCACCGTTCATACCTGCACAGGTAACACAAGCGATTCTCCCACTAACCCCAATGCTTATATGCATACGAGGAGTTAGAACTGAACTGAGTTTGGACCAGCAAACTGAACACCGGATGTTACGTAAAATGAGTTTTACACCACTGCTATAGGAAGTTGATTGATTATGTCTGCAAACATCCAGAAGCGGGAGCTCTCACTGGTTTCACTCATCGATGAAACAGCAGTTTCTTGAGTTTCATTTCTTTTATTACCATTTATTGATCACCCTGTTTCAGTACTGCAGTGTGTATATACTATTGACCCGAGTGTGTGTGTGTGTGTGTGTGTGTGTGTGTGTACAAAATAAGTTGCTGCTATTTCAGGTATTTGTGTGTTTGTTAAACAGCAGAACGGCCGGCAAAGTTTGGCTCTCAGGGCGTCCGACACTCAGGGAAACAGAAACTCTCCTTATAAAGCCCTCAACCAGAAACACACACACAAGGTAACGCACAGCAGAGAGTTAACCACATTATTCATTAATAACTGGCTGTTGAATATAAGAACGTTTGTATATTTAATATACAAATAACTATGTATATTAAATATGTATATTGAATATGCAGATGTTAAAAACAAAAACACGTATCTTCACTTTTTAGCTTTTGATATACAGCAGCTGCTCCTTACAATGTGTAAAATTATCATACTAATAGATTTTATTTATAATATTTTATTTTTAATTTATTCATGTAGGTAAAAAGTGCCACAAAGATAAACTCAGTACAACGAGAAAAGCGTGACATAAAGTACATAACAAAATAAACTAATAATTGTAATAAGAAATTAAAAAAATACGTGTTGTATACTGAATATACAAATACACAGGATGAGGACAGTAAGCACTTTGCAAAGTGATTGATACATTTTTAATATTTAAATTACAAGTATTTTACAGGAATAAATTCAGCATATCTTTGGACAGTTTTCATTTATGCCAGAGGGGGGTGACAAAGCTTTCCACACAGAGTCAGAGTTTTATAGGCTTAAAAACAAACACTAACAGCATCTTTCAACGTCAGACTTGATGGTTGCTCCTGTGGTTTGTTAGCTCGTTTTAACGCACCGAGCGTCTAGCTGAAGCAGATCATGCAGCTTCTGTGAGTCAGGATGGAGTTTTAGCGTCCGGGCGAAAGTTTCAGCGCATTAAAAATCACGTTGGCTTTTTTCATCTGTGAAAATCTGCACAACAGCTAAACATTACACCATACATGAGAAAGTGGATGAACTCTACCTGTTGATTTCATGGCTGTTGTTGAAAATTACTGATAAACTGAGCAGTGATCCCAGAGCTGCAGGTTACTGTACGTTGTAAATGTGAGTGTGAGGTAATGCTGTGTGTTTTCAGGGCTCTGGTAAGGAGGAGGATTTCAGTAATGTCTGGCAGTCTCTGCAGAGTTCAGGGCTCCCTCAGAAACCACCAGCTCACTGGCAGAACCACGTAAGTAACTATGCATGTTCCTCCTCTCCACACCCGAATTATCTGGAAGCCTACATTACATTTCTGCTTAAATGCTGAATTACAGATTTTTATATATAATTTATTCGTCCCACAATGGGAAATTTCACCTCCGCATTTAATCCATCTGTACTTTGAAACACTGCATATACACTAGTGAACACACACAAACTAGAGGGCAGATAGCACACTTGCCCGGAGTGGTGGGTAGCCCTATCCACGGCGCCCGGAAACATCTGGGGGTTAGGTGCCTCGCTCAAGGGTACTTCAGTCACATACTGTCGGCTCAGGGGATCAAGCAATTTATTTATTTTAAGTTATATATAAGTGTGTGTTTGTGTGTGTGTATATATATATATATATATATATATATATATATATATATATATATATATATATATATATATATATATATATATATATATGTATGTATGTGTGTATGTACATATATGTACGTGTGTGTGTGTGTGTATATATATATATATATATAGACCCGTCCAGGGTGTATCCTGCCTTCCGCCCAATGACAACTGGGATAGGCTCCAGCACCCCACTGCGACCCAGAAGGATAAGCGATTTAGATGATGGATGGATGGATGGATTTATGTATATGTGTATATGTATGTGTGTGTATATATATATTCCATGGTTCCATTGACATACAATAAAATTAAAGAATGTTTTTGCCCTCTCCTGTAAAGGTCGCTGTCCAAAAAAAAAAAAACAAGTATCTCCAAAATAAAGTAAAGTAACTTCACAGGAGAGAGCAAAAACATTCTTTAATTTCAGTGTAAAGATATTTTACTTCAAGTAATTTTGGAGCGTTTCTATCGGTCCATTCATCATGAAATTTACAGACGATACCAAGGACAGCCACCCTGTTCAAACGATGCAGAAAACTAAAAATCAACAAAAATGGGGATACTTTTTTTTTTTTTTTTTGACAGTGGCGAGTGACGACAGCAAAAATGTAAAGGATGAATGTACAGAAAGACTGTACATGTGACAATACCTTCAAATTCATCATCATGGATTCAAAGTTTTGAATGAATCAGAATTTATTCCTGTAAAATCAGAGCATGTGTTTATCACCAGAGGCTCCTAATGGTTGAATCTTATTCTCGTCTAATCTTTGTGTTTTTTTTGTAACAGGCTAAAGGCTCAGCTGGACAGCAGAAGCAGAATGAAGGCCAGCAGCAGAGCCAAAACCCAGACAGCAAACCTGTACGTTACACACATCACCACTCAACCCAGCGTTTATTACACAGCTTATTACTACAGCCTGATATGTACTGCCCTCTGACATCTCTCTACACCGCGCTAGGGCTACACAGTGCATCATGAGTATGTTATTAATCATTATCACAATTGACCTTCACAATACTGAAAGTCGCAGAAGGCTGCAAGATGCAAATGAGCTCTCATATCTCATGAATCAAGGTCTTCATGTAATCCAACAAAAGTAAAGCAAGTCAGGCTTAAACTGTCATATTATTGATTCTCCAATGGGCTTTAGTATATAATATCAGTATATAATAGAAAACAGGTATTTTGCCGGTCAGTTCTCTCACACAGCACTGGAGTCTTAACTTTTAAACCCTGAGCTAATTTTATGTAATATTTTCACGTTTTGGTCAAGTATTTACGTTAGACCTTAACACACACTGTGTATTGTTGCTTTAGGGAGACATTAGGCTACTCAGGTGTGCCATTATTTGAGATGTAAATGCTAACATAATGTTTGTCTTTTTGAATTTGGCCGTTTTTTGCTCAAAAATGTTCAGATATCAGAAATGTTGACAGTGCCTCTGGGCTGAAAACAGAAGACTTTTTTTGTGGTGAGGCTCCTTTCTGAGGTTCCTTTCTCCATTAACCTGACTTGCTGTTCAGAAACCTATAAGCTAATTTTGTTCCTGCCATAGTTTGGTAGTTTTTGGTGTTGCCTATTAGCTATATGGGTCTGTAGTTCCTGTGTAGAGATCCTTTTTATAATAATATGAAAAATAAATTAGCGATGAGCCGATCCACATTTTTTTCAGTTCTGATCCGTTTCCAATACACAGCTGCCGATACTGATACCGATTCTGATACAATAGCTCTTTTTACTTAATATTATCATTGTTGTTGTTGGTATTGTGTTTAAAAGTTGAGTTTAAGATGTTTAATCTCCCGATCACTAAGCACGTCTGTAATGGAGGCTTCTGCTGAACTGCTGATGTGTGACCCTCTGCACTTTTTTACCTGACGCTCTGCACTCTGTAGTGCATATGTTTCCAAGTTCGCCCAGTGAGACTTATGAGAGACACTGGACTCACATCTGAGGTCCAGATATCAGTTGTGAAGCTAACCGCGCTGCTGTGATGGCACTCGGATAGAGCCGTCTCTGAATCTCTGAAATGTGCTATCTGGATGGGAGATGACTCCTGGGCTCTAAGAGCTCCAACTGACAATTTCCACTACAGGTAGCGGTTGGTCATCGAGTATAATATAGTTCAGCAACTTCTCTGTGATCCCTTCAGCCTTTGGATTGTGTGCTGGAAGTTTATTGCGCTTCTGGAGGGCATTAGTGAGAGTTGTCTTCCTGTCTGTTAGCGTGAACTCCTGGTATGCTTTCAGGTGAAACCTCTGCAGGTGATTAACTTGGTTTTACTGTACGACACAGCCGTACTTCCACCTCTCGGCATGCTGACTTTACACACTTTACAAGTAGCTGTCCTGCTTTTCGGCGTTTCCAGACTAAAATATCTCCAAACAAACAGTGTGTTAGTCAAACCGAGAGCTAATGTTATTCGCTCACTCAGTTACAGACTGAAGTTGTCGCGTGTTCGTGGTAAGCTGTGGAAGGGAATCTGGATCGAACGTGTCTCATGTTACGCTAAGTTACCTTACGGCATGTTCATGGTCCTGCACAAACTGCGGACTGGAATTGGGCCTGTCCGTCCAGTATCCGACGAGTGAATGACGTCAATATCGGACCCGATACCGTTATAGAATCGGATCGGTCCCATCTCTAAAATAAATTAATACAGATCGACCCATGGGATTGATGGATGGATGGATGGATGAGGGGAAATTTAGGTGATACAGTAGCAGGAAATCATTCATATATCGAATAGACACACAGTCACACACACCGTACATATTTTTACATATTTACCTGAACACATACAGAGTAAAGACTTCAGGCCAAATACTTGCAGTGCAGAAGGCAATATAATAACACTAATGCATAACTATAACAGATTCATGTAATATTTGAGGTCAACTCAGCAGGTCATAGTACACAATAATCATATTGTTATGGAGAAAGATAAAAGATGGTTGGTGCAAACTCTTATTTTTAGTTTACATTGTTATTTTTTGGGTATATTTTTTTCTTTAGGTATTAAATATGCTCTGAAATAATAAAGCAGTGTTGTTTTTTCAGGGTCCGGTTGGCAACATTAGACTTCTGAAGAGGAGTGAAGATCTAAACGCTGTTTTGCCACAAAAGCCTTCAAACCAGGTATTTCTGTCTGAGCTGGGACAGTAATGCAAATATAGACAAATTATTTTCATCTGAAGTCTTTTCATGTATCAGTTATGATCCTGACGCTATTACCATCTTATATTTTACACACTTCAGAAACACTGCCTGCTTTTCATAAACGTTTAGGGCGGTCGCTGTTGTTTATATGCGTAGCTACAGTTGAAACCTACTGATTATTAATCGACAATAAACAATAATAAACCTTGCAGAGCCTTCCGGAGATTCCTAAGTATTTTACTGGGGAAAAAACACTGTGGTGATAAATGCACAAATGTACTGTCCGTATATCAAGAAAAGAATTTTTTTATTTAAGAATTTTTAAAAATTAAGTTTGAGTAATTGTAACGGTCCTGTTCTGAACTAGACACAACAGTGAAACTCATGAATGTGAAATTGTCTCTGAATGTCCTCCTTTCAGGTCAGTTCGGAGTTTGAGGAGCTGATAGCGAGTCTGAAGATCTCTAAGGAACCAGAACCTGCCCAGAAGGAGCCCAGAGAGCAGACAGGAGAGCCGCTTTCTCCTCAGTCCTTTGCACAGGTCAGCACAGTGTTCTCACTCGCTTTTCTCAACCATCACTGAGTTTATTTACATGCACTTAAAGGGCTCACTATACGATTCTGGAGAACGTTTGTTGATATTTGAACTCAACAGCAAAACAAATACTCCCCTCCCTTCAGTGCTCCTTCAGAAGCTCCATTCCCCAAATTAATGGACGTGCATTGCTGAGTTGAACAACGCTTTTTTAGATCTTTGTGGCCACAAACTCTTCACAACGTCGTACAGAGAAATACCATGATATAACATTAGAGTGAACAATAACACAACAAGTACTGTAACTAATGTTAGCTGGGTTATGGGTTAGCAAGCTGTCGCTACAGTTACTGCTATGAAGCTGACCAGCTGCTGTCACAAACATTTGCAAATGGGACAAAACAGTACTGACCTGTTGATTCCGTGAAACAGCAAAAATAAGTTAATGTTACCCACATGTCCAGCAGGAGCGACCTCCTCATCCCTTTTCATGCCTTTTAACTGTAAATGAAGCTGAAGTCAGATTCTTGTTCGAATTTTCCCATTCCACCTTAAAAGGTGCACTTACAATGCTGTGTGGGCGGTCACTGTTTGGGGTGGGCAAAACAAAACGTGGGGAGGAGCGATGTTTTCACAGTGTTGGGCTAACGTGCACACATGGCCGACCCGGCTATGAGAACAAAAACAGAGAAGCTTAGGTTACGCACATTTATTTTTATATATATATGGGAATCTGATTATGATCGGATTATTAAGCGCATGTAAAAACACTTTGTTTGTACAGTTAAAGAAATGAAGGAGCTCCTGAGTGAATCAGCTGTTTAAGCATTCGTTACCTAGTGATGCCACAGCCATCTGTAAGTCATGTCCTTGTTTAATGGTGATTTTTGGTGTTTTCTGTTTCCTGTTTGTGTTATTCTGAGCAGAGGGGAACTCTGATGCTGAAGGAGATGCTGAAGATTGACGGTTCAGGAACTGCTGGCCCCGCCCTTGACTCCGCCCCTCTCAACACAGCCCAGAATTCCAGCTACCCCGGCGTCCAGCAGCAGGGTAGGAGACGATCCTCTAAAAAACTGGGTATGGAAAAGTCATACTAATGTGCTTCACAATCATTCGTATTGTGCAGTCATGGGAACACACTCAGAGTGTCACACCTGCCTTGTTTGGTGTGGACTAATCAACCTTTTTATTTAGCTCAGTTTGTTTTGACAGGTGTGAACACTTCACCTGGACTCAGGTCCTCACCAAACAACTGAATGGTGGTCCACCAAAAATCTCAGGCCTCGCTCTGCTTTCAAGCGAACCCTGGTTGTCATCTACTATGGCTTTCTGTGGTTAAGCTTTAATTTAACATAATAAGGACAAGACATATAATTGCACATAAACTAATATATCATAAAAACCTTGTATCTCCATTTTTGTTGTTTTTCAGTTTATGACATACTTTTAAAAAGGTCTGTTGCTCTTTACATTGTGTGTAAATTTCATGATGAATGGACCAAAACAAACGACCCAAAATGACTTGGAAAAAAGTCTGGTTCCATTGACTTACATTAAAAGTAAAGTATGTTTTTTCCTTCTCCTGTAAAGTTACCATTTTGGTGATACAAGGTTTTGTTCTGACAACAGCGTCATGTACGTTTATGTGCAAATACATGTTTTGCTACTGTATCACTGCAGTTTCCCTTCGGGATCAGTAAAGTTCTATCTATCTATTTAAAATGCTGAGCGACAATTTAGCTGACCAGTAATTGTCATTATTATTGCAGTTAACAATTTTTAATTGTCTTTTTGTTAATCAAATGGAATTATTAAAGCCGTCAAACTAACAAATTAGGAATCTAAACATGGCATCCTAGCTGTGTGTACTCGGTCACATGTCTACCGTTATACAGACTCGTTTGTAGTCCAGCGAAGTTAAATTTGTTCTTGATTCTTGTTCTTGTTATTGTGTCATAATTGTGACTGTAATAATGTAATAATTGTGTGAACTGCAGCTGAACGACTCCGCTGGTGTTTTTACCTTCATTAAAAACTAATGTTTCAAATATTTACTACTATCCACCTGAGCCACATCTCGCCACCTCCTTTGTTCTCCTCCCCTTTGACCCTCCACACCTTTGCTCCCTCCATCCCCTCCTTTGACCTCCTCTCCTTTGAGTCACCCTCCTTTATTCCTGCCTCCTTTGCTGTCCTCCCCTTTGCTCCTCCACCTTTATTTTTTCCTCCTTTACTCCTCTCTCTTTTGTTTCCTTGTCCTTTACCCCCCTCCTTTGCTCTTCTCCCCTTTGCTGTCCTTCCCTTTGCTTCCCCTCCTTTGTTTCCTCCTCCTTTACTCCCCCCCCTTGCTGTTTTTCCCTTTTCTCCCCTTCCTTTGTTTCCTCATCCTTTGCACTCCTCCCCTTTGATCCCCCTACTTTATTCCCTCCTCCTTTACTCCTCCCTCCTTTACTCTGTCCTCCTTTGCTCTCCTTCCCTTTGCTTCCCCCTTTTGCTCTCCTCAATTTTGGCCCCTTTCCTGCTCCACCTACTGTACTCCCCCTTCCTTTGCTCTCCTCCCCTTTGATCTCACTCCCTTGCCCCCCCAACCCTTTTGCTCCTTTGCTCTCCCCCTCCTTGCCCTCCACTACTTTGGCTCCCCTCATTTGCTTTGCTTCCCCTCCTTCGCTCCTGCCTCCTTTCCTCTGCCCTTCTCTCTTCCTTTGCTCTCTCCTCCTTTGCTCCCGCCTCCTTTGACCTGCACGTAAAGGAGCCATGCTGCTGTTCTGTTAAGGTTTAATAACATTTACTATTTCTAAAAAGTACCGAATGTAAAATAACTAAATTTCTGAGATTTTTAGCCCCCTCCTGCAGCCCCCCAGTTTGAGAACTTTTGTGCATGTAGTGTGTATTGTTTTTCTACCACAGCCGCAAGGATGAACACCCCCCAGGGCGAAGCCCCCGGCCCCCCACTCGCAGCACAGCCACCACTGCTGCCCAGCATGGCCGCTGACCTGGGTCGAGTCTGCGCAGGGCTAAACATGGGTCCTCCAGAGTTCACCTTCCTGCGCAACAGACAGGTCAGCACGCTCTGTTCATAACATCTCAAATTCCATGAATCTGTCCAAAGCTTTATTAATGTTCCAAAAAAAACCTAAAACAATAGAGACCGCTGTCCCGCACACCAGCTCTGATTTTCCTGCTAAATGTTCTGCATTACAAAGCCTCCTATTCACTCACTGATGTTGAAATCTAAAGTGATAGATTTGCAAAAAATCAGATTTAATCCAGTTTCACCTCAAATGTACCCCAAATGTAGTCAATCAGTCGAGACATGTTTGATATCTGATGTTTGTTTCTTTAGTTTTAGCACTGGAGCTACGAAGCTAATACCTAACAAGTAATGGTTACCTCAAACTGTCACCTCAAACTGTGTGTTGGTGTTCAGTGTCTCTAATAGACTTGATTATGTGGTTTCTGACACTGTATGACTCACTGTGATCTGTAAACATGGACTAAATTGAGGCTTCAGTGTGGACACCACTGTTTTCAGATATGTGGGCTGCACGATAGGAAATCTGTAAATATATACACACTGATTGGCCATAATAGTAAAACCACCTCGTTTCTACACTCACTGTCCATTTTATCAGCTCCACTGACCATATGATTTCACTCTGTAGTTCCACAGTTACAGACTGTAGTCCATCTGTTTGTCTGCGTACTTTGTTACCCTGTTCTTCAGTGGTCAGGACCCCCATAGACCCCCACAGAGCAGGTACTATTTGTGTGGTGGATCATTCTCAGCACTGCAGTAACACTGACGTGGTGGTGGTGTGTTAGTGTGTGTTGTGCTGGTCTGAGTGGATCAGACACAGCAGTGCTGCTGGAGTTTTTAAAACACCTCAGTGTCACTGCTGGACTGGGAACCAAAAATATCCAGTCAACCCCGTCCTGTGGGCAGCGTCCTGTGACCACTGATGAAGGACTAGAGGATGACCAACACAAACTGTGCAGCAGCAGATGAGCTATCGTCTCTGACTTTACATCTACAAGGTGGACTGAAAAGGTAGGAGTGTCTAATAGAGTGGACAGTGAGTGGACACAGTGTTTAAAAACTCCAGCAGCACTGCTGTGTCTGATCCACTCGTATTAGCACAACACACACTATCACACCACCACCACGTCAGTGACACTGCAGTGCTGACAATGAGAACCATCACCTGAATAATACCTGCTCTGTGGGGGTCCTGTGGGGATCCTGTGGGGGTCCTGTGGGGGTCCTGACCACTGAAGAACAGGGTAACAAAGTATGCAGAGAAACAGATGGACTACAGTCTGTAACTGTAGAACTACAGAGTGCACCTATATGGTCAGTGGAGTTGATAAAATGGACAGCAGTGTACTTAATGAAGTATTGCTTTAAAGTTTGACCTTCTCTTTGTGCTGCAGGGTCTGATGGTGTGTCAGGTGAAGCTGTCCAATGGCCTCCTTGTGCACGGCCCTCAGTGCCAGTCTGAATGTGAAGCCAAAGAGAAAGCGGCGCTCTTTGCCCTTCAGCGCCTGGTAACTCTCCCTCTCTGCTCTCAGAGGTTATACATGCTGTATGAGTCAGTAGGAAAAAACTATCCGCTCTGCTTTACACGGAAGACGTTCCTGACGCTCAGCCAGGGATATTTATGATATCAGCTGTAATATCATGTGAATGTGTCCGTGTGGATATTTCTGAAGGTGTCCAAATTATTGGAAACAGAAATATTAGCCAAGTACATTTCAGATACAAGGGTTCTGTTAAGTTCTGCCTACAAAAAGACAAAAATAATAATAAGCACTGGTGGTTTAAAAATGCGTCAGTTCCACTGCATCAGTGTTAGAATCTGTCAAGTGATGAGTAGAATTGATTATACAGGGTGATTCAAAAAGATTCATCTGATTTCAAAATGATTTATTTGACTTGTAAATCATTACAGAACAGTTTATTATGTAATTGTACAAGTGCTCAGTATGAACCTCCTCCAGCTGTATGGACAACATCAACGCCATAGTCAGATTCATCCCATACTGGATTGAGAATGCAGAACGCTTTCTGCTCAGGGGTCTCATCTCCTCTCAGACTGAGGGGAGCCATCTTCCACTGACAGTCACAAACTCTATGACCCCCTCTTTCAGTTGGATCGTGATTGGTTCCTAGGCGCCTCAAGGTTGTAAAAATACTTTGAAATCAGATTAATCTTTTTGAATCACTCTGTAGTAATATTCAATGAAGTATGCTCACATAATGTAGTAAGAGGTCAGATTTTAAAGTGATAGTTTGGCAAAAAGAGCTATGAGGCTAATGTAGCTAGCAAGTAATAGAAGCTTATACTCCACCAATTAGCATGCTGCTAACTGCAAGCCTAAATAGGTTAAGTGATCTCTAATCTCAGTTAAACTACTGCTTTGAAAAAATGGATCTTCTAGGCATATTAGTGTTTTCAATGTATTTAAAAAAAAAAATATTTTTTTAACATAACAAAATAATTTAATCGAGTTGTGGTAAAATCATTTCACCAGATTTATACTGCTAATGAACAAAATGTAATAAGTCATAAAATGGACATATATCTCACACCAAACCACTCTGAATTACCCTGTTTACATCTTAACCATATGTTCGAATTTTGAAAACTAGGTGAAGTTCCCCTTTAAGTAGAGCTGTACTGAGTATGCAGTGTACATAACAGTTAATGTGTGCAGATTTAAAGTCGAGTGCATCACATTTTCTGTAGTATATATTATTTACTGATGTGCTCTTTGGCTCCTCTGCTCTTCGCCAGACGTCTGTGGGCTCTTTCCCTCTTCCTCCTGCGCTCTTCTCTGGAATGCAGCCCATGAGGCCGATGGCTCCTCATCCCTCCATGTTCGCGCAGCCTGGAGGTGAGTGTTAAAGAGCTGTTTGAGTGAACTCCTGATTTTAATCAGTGTTTTTTTTTTTTGTTTTTTATGTTTTTTTGCTCACCTACTTTTTATGAAGCTGGGTCATTATAGTTGTATGTAAAGGTTTGTGCGCCCTGGTCCGTGTTGATTTTCTAAATAAGTTGTCTTCTACAGTGACACACTTGTGTACATTTAATACACAATTTTTGATGTTTATTTGCTGAATTTAAAATATTAGGGGAAGAAGCATTTGCAATATATAGTTTATTTTATTAAAAAAAAATCTTTTTTATTATTATTTTTAAAAAACTGTTAAAATTATATTTTGTGTTGTCTCTCCGAGTACGTGGTAACTTTACTTTTTATTCTATTTATTTGCTGAATTTTACATATTTGGGGGAAAAAAGCATTTGCAAATGTTATGGTATATGGTTATGGTAATGTCATGGTACATATATATATATATATTTTATTTTTACTTATTATTTTTTATTATTTGACTTTTTTTTTAAAGTTTTACATTTTAATTTGAGCTTTTCGTTTTTTAGTTTCACTTTTAGTTTTTAGCTCTATGATGCAAGCGGTGAGGGGAGTTTTTATTTTATTTTTGTTTTTAGGATAAACAGTTCTGTGAAAACTACAGAATCATATTCCAAAACACAGTGAAGTTCTGACTCTGTATGTACTGACAAGAACTTAACTCACATGACAGTTTCCTAATTTCTATGAACACCTGCGCCAGCACGTCTACACGCTTGTGAAGATCTGCTTAGCTGCTTTGAACTTTTCAGAAGCATATTTTCCCCAGTATTTGGAGGCCGTATCGTGTGGTGTTTTGTCTCGATGACCTCCTGTTTCTCACATTGGTACGTATTTTCTCCAGGTGGTCTTTTGATGCCCCCTCAAGGCTATGGTCCTCTGCCCTGGGGTATGCAGCTCGCCCCGCAGGCGGCGCAGCCTTTCTATGGAGGAACGTTCCCTGGAGCACGAGCCCCCCCGCCCACCGCCCCCATCGGCTCGCACAACCAGTTCATCCCCCTACAGGCAAGAGCTTTAATTACACCGACAGATCAAAGCCAGATATCTGCATTACATTAGATTACATTATATTACATAATCAGTTTGTGTTTTTAAGGTTTTATGTCACCTAAAACAAGCTAATGACGTCTCTAACTCGGGTTCTAGTGCGAGAGTAATTGTTTTATTTATTATCCTGCTGTACTAAAGCGATAGTTTGGTAAACTGTATCCAGTCTTCACTCGATCAGCTAAGACATGTTTGGTGAAATTTGCCTCCTTAGCATTGGAGCTACGAGTAAAGGACAAATGAGGAAAGGCAGGTTTATTTATGTAGTGCGTTTCATACATAAAGGCAGTTCAGTGTACTTCAAATAAATAAGCAAGCAAGCAAGCAAAGTTTATTTATGTAGTGCTTTTTACAACAGGTGTTGTCACAAAGCAGCTTTACAAAGCAATCAGCATTACAGAAAGAAATCCGGGTCCAAGCCCCCATGAGCGTCGCCAGTGGCGACAGTGGCAAGGAAAAATTCCGTAAGAGAAACAGGAACAAACCTTCAGAGGAACCCATCCTTCTCTGGTCGACACCGGATAGTAAAACATTGTTAGTATAAAGTATTATAGTACAAAAACAGGTGGAGCAAATGATTAATTTGATTAGTTTATGCAGCAGCAGCATCAGTGGGGTCAGGTCGTGAGGGTGAGGTTGCACGGCAAAATAAAAGCAAAAATAAAGAAAAAAGTGCTTAAAATAAGACAAACAATAAAAATAGTGCTAAAAATAGCTTAAATAAATAAAACACACAAGATAGAAGTTAAGATAAAGTACAAAGTACAAAATATCAAGAAATTAAAGACAAAGGGCTGAAGTGTTATTAAAATGAGCTTATTAAAGGTAAAGTGCAGTTTGAATAAAGCGCAAGTTATAAACATTAATCAGAGGCAACCTGGATGTGCGAATGGCTACATTTGGAGCTCACCTTTAGCTATGCTAGCTTACTTCAGTCCATAGATAACCGTGAATCATACAGTATCAGAAACCACTTATACTCTAGTACTGTAAAGTTGGGGGGGTAGTTTAAATTAGTTTTTTTAACCAGACTATCGCTTTAAACGTTGCTCTCTCAATGCATCCAGTACTGGGTACTGTACACTGTATACTGCATGCAGAAAATAGTGTGTAAAGTTGTTTATCTGGGCAGTGAGAGAGAGAGAGAGAGAGAGAGAGAGACAGTGAGAGAGAGAGAGAGAGAGAGACAGTGAGAGAGAGAGAGAGAGACAGACAGTGAGAGAGAGATAGAGAGAGAGACAGTGAGAGATAGAGATAGAGACTGTGAGAGAGATAGAGACAGAGACTGTGAGAGAGATAGAGACAGAGAGAGAGAGAGAGATAGAGAGAGAGAGAGAGAGAGAGATAGAGACAGAGAGAATGAGAGAGAGAGAGACAGAGATAGAGAGAGAGAGACAGTGAGAGAGAGAGATAGAGACAGAGACAGTGAGAGAGAGAGAGAGATAGAGATAGACAGACAGTGAGAGAGACAGAGAAAGAGACAGTGAGAGAGAGAGACAGAGACAGTGAGAGAGAGACAGTGAGGGAGAGAGACACAGAGAGAGAGAGATAGAGACAGAGACAGTGAGAGAGACAGTGAAAGATAAATAATCCTTTATTAGTCCCACAACAGGGAAATTCAGTGTTACAACAGCAAAGGGAGAGCAAGGCACTCAAGAAAAGAGTAACAAGAAGAGAATTAACAATCAAATACCAAAGAATATAAACAAAAATATAAACTCTTATAAAACATTAACTCTTCTAAACTGAGCATTTATTTGTTAAAAAAAAACATTGGAATTGTGATTGTTGTGTGTGTGAGTTACTTTATTCATTTCCTGCCCTTTTATCAAGGAATGTGGGTGTTTACAATCAACATCCAGCAATCAATCCTTCATTAAATTAAATCAGGTGATTGAATTGAACAATTGGAGAATGTTTGCTTCCATCTAATGTTCATAACTTTACTAAAAACAAAGTGTTGCCTTTTCCAGTTGTCTTTATTTGTTCTAATGTTATTTACGGTTTCACTGGCAAAATCACAGTCAAGTCCAGACGAACAGTTTTTAGCAGTTTTTTTCAGCACTGTATGCTTGGTATTGTAATCTCAGTTTACTGTATAATTCATTACAGTTTTGTTTACGTTCCTGCTTTCCTTCCTCCAGGTGACTAAGAAGCGAATTTCGGTCCGAAAGAACCAGGAAGTAAAGCAGGAGTGCGCGAACGCCACCCGTTCCCAAGGCAACGAAACATCCTATTCAGCCTCAGCAGTCCCCCAGACCGCCCCCAAAAGCCCCCCGCCCACCAGCACCCAGGATTCTGCAGATAAGCCCACACCCACCACCCCGAAAACGCCCCGACAAAACCCCGCCCCCCACACGCCGGGCTCCGCCTCCAAGCGCAAACAGAGAAAACTTGCCGTCAACTTCGAGGCGGCCAAAGTGACGGACTGAGACCCTTTACAGCGCCGTCTGTCTCTTTATACGTCTATCTGATGTTTTATTATTGATATTTTCCTTTTTTAGATATGATCGTAATTCAAATTTGGGTGAAAAAACAAACTTAAACTCTTTAAAACACAAAAAAAGATAGAGAAAGAGAAACACAGAATTCTGTGTTTCCATCATGGTTGTAAGACAGATTGTATAAAGGCTGTTTAGCTTTTTGGTTGGCTGGAGTCCAGTGGTGAAGCAATTCAAGTCTTTTAAGCTTAATTTCTTTATTTTCGGCACAGAAAATGATCACGTCGGATGATTTTACATTCGCTTCGGGAGCGTTTAGTTTCGTCCAGTACCAAAAAGCACTTTTATTCAAATCACCGCTTATTTTACAGTGCTGGCTTTTTAAACATTTCATCGTTAATACTAATTTTTTGTAACTAAACAGTGAAAAACATGTATCTACATAATTTGACACACAGATATTTGATACTCCAGTTTATTTTGAATTATAATTATTATTATTGCGCATAGAGTAGTGTTACGTTCCGGCACGGTACTCACACCTGATTCAAGAAATTAGTTTATTATGTTAGTAAACATGTACAAAAGCCCCATTTCCCACATATTGACTGGTGACTTCTGTTTTTGTACTGAAACTATAGCCTGGGATTAAAGGAATATTCCAGTATTTTTCCACCTGATGTCTATCAGGATGCATCTTTAGTGTATGGTTACATTACCATATATTAATTTCAAGACTTGCTTATAATAGAAGCCACAGGGCAGTTAAAGTATCAGTTTTCAGCACCTGCTTCAGCGTCTGCCCATGGACTTCTATTGTAAGCGCCGTTTGAGTCGAAAAGTTTTCTGCTCTATTCTAAGTTCAGAACAACAGATCAAAAATATTCTCCATGGTGATCAACAGTGCGCTAAAGACACAGCAAATAGAGATAATGTTGAAAAATACTGAAGTGGTCCTTTAACCTAGATAAACCCCGAGACAGACTGGTCTAACAGGTTTCCTCAGTCTGAGTTCAGTTTCCCAAAGGCACTGTAGCACAGCGTAGTTGTGAGAGTCTGAATGGGCTCACGTTTAAGTTCGTTTTAACACTGTTCTGCTTTTAGGCTCCATTTCTGTTGCTGATTCGCTGCCTGCGTTCGTCTACAGGACATTTGGATCTTGTCCATGGGTCAAAGTCACAGTCAGGCAGTTTTTCTTTAACTCCTTTCACTTATTCTTTCAGTGGAAGAGCTTAAGTTCAGTTTTTAAAATGAACTTTGCATATTTAAATCCATGGATTTTATGTACTGCCATTTTAAAAATGGATTGATTTTCAAATTCTGATTCACAATTTCAGCCCCTTTTCTGCTGTAAAGCTTCTGTCCCCTTCTGTTTTGTGCTAAATTGTCACCACGCGTCCTCCAGTGTCCGTTTTAATGTTGGAAGTAAAGTTGTGTGCAGTGTTATTTTGAAATGAACTCGGTAGCTAATTTAAAGACGTTTAAAGTACCAAAAAAATTCACAAATGAAAACTGCGCCTCCCGGTTCGGGACGTGCTGTAAATAGACATTTAATAAAACTTTTGTTATCATGTCTTATGCCTCTCTTGTGTTTTTTTTACAGTCTAGAGAAAGATTTTGTTTTTTTTGTTTTTTTGGATAAGGATTTTTTTTTTTCCCTCTATTTTTTGCTGCAAACACACAAACTGCGTTCCAAAGCCGAGGTAGTGCGGGTCCGTGGTAGGACTGTCCTATAAAGACTCCTCCTTAGTAGCCTATTGGCCACACAAATAGAGCAGCCCTGTCGAGGCTGCGTGGTGACATCAGAGCCGGTTTATGAGAAGCCTGGCCACTTCCTGTTTCCCCTGTTATATCAAAAACGATGACCTCTAAACAGCAGAGGGCGCCCTGGAGCTAAACAGCTAAAAACGAAAAGTTAGAATAGTTTCTAATCACTCGCCCAGAACTTTCCTTTAATTTTAAAAGTAGAAGGATGGATTTCACTAAAAAAAAAGCAAAGAAAACTCACCTGTATGTTTCCTTTTTTTCGACAGGGTTTAGGGCAGCAGGACGCTAACATTACTGCTACTGAGTGCTGATTGGTTGGCGAGTGGAGCAGCTCATTGGCTGTTTGCGCTCACTGACGTCATGAATGCCGTTTCAAACTCCTATAGCTCGAGTTTAAAAGCTCTTAAAAATATAACAGTGGTGTTAAAATGTTTTATGCTGGTCTGAGTTCAGGAAATTAATATACTATTTTATATTAAAAATGTTGAATCATTTATAAACTATGATTTTGCCATTCATTTTAGACTGGCTCAGGAGCGCCCTCTAGCGTTTGAGAAATTCGGAAGACAATAAAGAGTGGTAATTCTTAAATACGATATATTTACATAATATAACAACATTTTCTTGGTGCTGTTTTTTTTCCTTTGCATCGTTCTTGCGCAGAGAACTGTGGGTAACCGAACGCTGGGAAGGATACCCCTGATGCGTCCTCAAAAACACTCTGAACGTAGGCTGCATTTCTAGGCTGTATACGAAGGGTCCTCCACTTTGGAACAGGCTTCTATGACATAGCAGCTGAGAAATGCAGCCTGGGCTTTGGAACGCAGCTACAAACTCCTGTTTCCTATCAGCATTACTGTGATTTCTGCTATTTAGAGGAGGTGGACGATATGGCAGTGTTATCCTTATCATGATAAATTACATCACGATACACATTTCTTATATGAAAGGCATTATTTTTACTTTTAATGAACTTTTCAATAAAACAGATTGGTGTAAACATTGTTAAAGTTTCCTAATATACCCTTCACTCCTTCCATAGATCCACCTATTCAGCCTACAGCATTCACAGTGAAGTTATAAGGAGTGTTTCAGCCCAGACTGCTTTTTGAATCAGGCACAATGCAGGGCAACCAGTCAGAACAAAGCTCATTTACATATGTCAGTGCTAAAGGCACAGGAACAAAAACAGCCTGTTTAAATGTAAGTCATAATAATGATATTCTAGATAATGATAGTCACTGCTGGACTGAGAATCGTCCTCCAACCAAAAATATCCAGCCAACAGCGTCCTGTGACCACTGATGAGGGACTAGAGGATGACCAACACAAACTGTGCAGCAGCAGATGAGCTACAGTCTCTGACTTTACATCTACAGGGTGGACCAACAAGGTAGGAGTGTCTAATAGAGTGGACAGTGAGTGGACACAGTGTTTAAAAACTCCAGCAGCACTGCTGTGTCTGATCCACTCAGACCAGCACAACACACACTAACACGCCACCACCACGTCAGTGTTACTGCAGTGCTGAGAATGATCCACCACCCAAATAGTACCTGCTCTGTGGGGGTCCTGACCACTGAAGAACAGGATAAAGTATGCAGAGAAACAGATGGACTACAGTCTGTAATTGCAGAACTACAGAGTGAAACTATATGGTCAGTGGAGCTGATAAAATGGACAGTGAGTTTAGAAAGAAGGAGGAGGACTGAATGAAGATTGATATATATGGACTGAACTGTGAACTGGATTGAAAGTGATTCATTCAATGTTATGAAGATTCACTCATCTGTGGCTACACCTCATTAATCAGCCACCTTCAGGTCCTTCTGTGCAAGGGATTACTGTGTGTACATACTGGCCACTTTATCAGAAACCCCTCCGTTTAAGTTCCGCCTGGTGTTTGTTGATGCTCAGTTTCTGTTAACAACCCCAACACTTTGTGACCACAGAGCTGCTCTTGGCTGAATATAATTGGGTGGTGCCCCTCTCAGCCTAGCAGTGACCGTGACGTGTGAAAGCCTCATATCAGAGTGTGTTTTAGAAAAGGCACTTCTCATTTTATATATTAATTCCATATATATGGAATGAACATATATGCCATATATGGAGTAAACTTTGATATATATATATATATATATATATATATATATATATATATATATATATATATATATATATATAATCTCAAAGTTTACTCCATATATGGCATATATGTTCATTCCATGCATAACAATGTGCCTCATTCTCCAATATCTCCCTAAGTTTGTTCTTAAATGTGTTTTTGAGAAAGGGCCTAAGAAAAAGTCTACATCAGATTCATGACGTGTTCTTAAAGCGCAGAACTGTTCTCACCTTTGTGCTCTTGAGTGTGTGTAGACTCTGTTCTTACCTAAGAACAAATCCCACATAAGAGAACATCGGTGAGTCAGAGTCTTCGTCAAAACTACATATGCGGGTGGTGAATGAGGCCCAATGTTCATTCTATATACACTGTATGGACAAACATATTGGGACACCTACAGGACCTTTTATGACTCCCTTTCTAAATCCATAAGCATTAATATGGAGTTGGTCCCCCTTTGCAGCTCTAACAGCTTCCACTCTTCTGGGAAGCTTTCTAAAAGATGTTGGAGAGTGTCTGTGGGAATTTTTGCCCATTCATCCAGAAGAGCATTTGTGAGGTCAGACACTGATGTTGGACGAGAGGGCCTGGCTCACAATCTCTGTTCTAGGTTATCCCAAAGGTGTCTGACGTGGTTGAGGTCAGGGCTCTGTGAGGGCCAGTCAAGCTCTTCCACACCAAACTCACCCAGTCAGGCCTTTATGGAGCTGCTTTGTGCACTGGGACTCAGTCATGCTGGAACAGAAAAGGTTCTTCCCCAAACTGTTCCACAAAGTTGGAAGCATGTAATTGTCCAAAATGTCTTGGTCTGCTGAAGCATTAAGGTTCCCCTTCACTGGAACTAAGGGTTCTAGACCAACCCCTGAAAAACAGCCCCATATCATCATCCCTCCTCCACCAAACTTTACAGCTGGCACAGTGCAGTCAGGCAGGTAACGTTCTCCTGGCATCCGCCAAACCCAGACTCGTCCATCAGACTGACAGATGGAGTAGTTTGATTTGTTACTCCATAGAATGCGTTTCCACTGTTGTTAATTATTTCCTGTTTGGCTCACAACATGTTCTCTGGAGTGATGGAGCTCCATCCAATACCTTTGGGATGAGTTGGAGTGATCCAGAACTGACCATCCAACACCAGTACCGGACCTCACTAATGCTCCATCAAATCCTCACAGCAATGTTCCAGCATCTACACTCTACAAAGATGGTTCTTCAAGGGTTCTTTAATAAAGACACTGAAGGAACGATTTGCATGCTTTGCATGGTGAAATGGTTCTTCAGATTTATGGGGAATGTGTTGTATATGTTCTGTGTAGAACCTTTTTGAAAAGTCTTTACACAGTTCTATGTAACCAAGTGATATTTTGATAGATTTAAAATTTCGGATGTACATTAATGTGGTTAACTGGATTGAACTGTGCACTGCTATGGACATCTGTCCTGTAATAAAGCCCAGTTTTAACTCTACCTTCACTGCTCCGATCTGCTGAACAGGCGTTAGAGCTGAACTCTGCAGATTATGTCCAATAGAGATGACGTGGCCGTTTCTTATCAGGCTTTAGCTGATGGCTGCAGGTTTCAAGGTATGTACACTGTCAAGTACAGAACGTCCAGCAGTGGTCTTCACTCTTCGCTCATCATTCTTTATCTGAAGGTTTTCAGCCTGTGTTCCTCCAAACTGAAGCTGAAACTTTTCACTGTGGGTGAAGGCTGAGCGATACGGAACCAAGAGAGCATCACGATACTTGGAGAAATTTTCATTATATTTAGGGTTGAAGTTGGAGCAGATAAAATGCACCAGTGACACTTTTAAAAATGGTTTAAAAATGATAAGTATTCTTAGATGATGGCAAGAATGATGATGATTTTTATTATTTATTTGACTGGGACAATTCAGATAAATATTGTTGTATAAAATGCAACAGATGTAATGCATGTAAGCACTCAAACTATGGGTAATTTGCAGTGGTGGACAGTAACTAAGTAAATGTAATTTGTTGCTGTACTTAAGTAGTTTTTTTTCATGTATCTGTACTTTACTGAAGTTTTTCCATTTTGGGCGACTTTTTACTTTCACTTCACTACATTTCAAGGTCAAATATCTCACTTTTTACTCCACTACATTTTGTGAAATCCATCGTTCCTTTTGTCTTATGTGTGTATAAAAATGTAACATTTAAAAACTAAAGAAGAGTGAAGCAGCACACCAGTCAGGGCTCACCACACACTTTGTTTTGATCTTGTTTTGACCTGTTGGACATACCGACCCAGTGCAAGCAGACAGTTCAACGTCAGTGCAGCAGCGTAAAATTTTGGGAGAGTCTATTCAACATAAGTGATGAACTAACCTAACTTTGTGTAAATAGACCACAGTATAGAAATATGTACACATATGCAGTTGTGACTGACGTGTCTTTATTCTGAATTCATACAAACACTTTTCATTTTATAGTAAATTAGTTTTGGCTAGTTTATGTTTATGAACAGAGACCTACAGATGCAGTTTAGTAAAGGAAGCTCATTTGTGAATCTGAGTTTAAAGTTTTTATTCAACTTAAACTTGTAACTAAGTTCAAATAAATCTTAAACTGAAACTTTGCTTGTTTGTAAAAAGTGATTTCAGAGCCACTCAGTTCTTCCTGATGGAAACTGTTTGCCTTCAGTGTTCAACTGTTTGCTTATGATAATTTTAATAACCATCAGCGTTACTAATTAATGACATTCTATTAAAAGGCTGGTTTACCAAGAGAGACACTGGAGTTAAGTGTTAATGAGTTAATGAAGCAGAGTCTTGTTACAAAAATGATAACAGGACATTAGAGTCATTATTAATCTTTTAGTACTTTCACTTTCGATTCCATTTTAAGGCAGATACTTTTGTACTTTTACTCAAGTGGAGGTCTAAAGGGAGGAACTTCTACTTTTACTGCAGTAATATTTTACCTTGGGTATCTCTACTTTAACTCAAGTACATGGTTTGTGTACTTCGTCCACCACTGGTGATTTGCAGCCCAGTCTCTGGTTAGAGTCCTGGGGTCACTAAAGGTCAAGCTGAGTACAAGATGGAGCAGACTTTTAAGTAGGAATGCATCTGCATTCAGCCAGGCCAGCTTCAGTGAGCTAATTAGTTAGCTAAGATGGTAACTGTAATATAAGCTGGCAAATTTAAAATGCAACTTTCAAATATTAAATATCAACTTTGAGAACAATCGCTTTGTCTGGCCTGCTAGAACCAGTATAGCTGGTAACCAGCAAATACCAGCATATGTTGTGTTTTGGATGCTGGTTTAGCGGTGCACTGTAGCTTTAAGGCGCGGCCACGCCCACTAATCGACTGATGTCTGACGTCGCCGTGAGTACAATTCACATCCCTGGGTGGGACTTCGAACTTCTGCGTTTCGTAGGGGTGTGTGAGGTTAGGTCAGATAACAGTTCTCGTAGTTATGAGTTATGAAAAGTGATCGATAGCGAGTCGCCGACGGGAGGATCAATACTGTTGATCTCACTGAGGAAAAAGTCAAACCCGGCGCGGTTAGGACTGGCGTTAACTTTTGCGTGAGTGACGGAATGAAGTTAAAAGTGACATACGCAGTGCTGAGCCCGTGTTTTAATAGCCGACAAGCCGGACAGTGACTGTTTATGTCTGGTAATTTAGCCGAAAGGTTCCGGTTTCTGTTCAGGGAGTGTGGACGAGGTGGGCGCGACGTTCCCCGCTTTCGAAAGAAGTGGACTCATCCGCGCCGCCCAGAGCCAATCAGGCTTCGCCACTGCCTCCCGCGTGCCGAAGCCCTTAAAGAAACAGGCCGAGTGAGACTCGGAGGTCTGACAGACTTGCTTTCCTTTTTGTTTGTTTTATACGAAATAGGCACACAGAGCTTATCAGACCTGGCTTGTTTAGTCGGATTAGCTTCCTGGCCAGCTATCCAGCGGTCATGACTGCAGATTGGAGGAGTTTGTGTTGAGAAAGAGCGCCTTTCGCCGCTATGGGGACGCAGAGGAACGGCTTCACTAAGAGGGAGAGCTGCGTGCTCTCAGTGGATGTGGGCACAACGTCCATCAGGTGTCATGTGTATGATAAGAAAGCCAATATCAGAGGATCCTGCACCAAAAAGGTAACCTTACACCATTACTGACAACACAGAGCATAGAGAGTGAGATTAATATCCGTCATTGATCACCCTGGGGGAAACGCTTCATGTGACAGCTCTCAAATTTCCCCCCTAAAACTCTCACCAGACCTTAGTAATAGAAAATGAACCTAAAGGGGAACTCCACTAACTTTTCAACATTTTTCAAAAGGAAATGATTCACTATGCCTAATTTAGTGGCTGAGGTGTGAGCAGAGTGATTCAGAGTGGTCTGGTGTGAAACGGTTGATTGTAGAGACTCAGATTTCTTTACAGTGGTGGTGATAGGAACCAGGGGTCACTATGTCTACAGCACAACACAGCCATTTCATGTACTACCCGAAACCACCAGTGAACCTACACGTGTCTTCTGAGTTGTTAAAGAGGGTAAAATAGTGACAAGTCTGTAAAAATAGTTTTTTTTTCTGGAGACTAGTTCTCTCTACAGTGCACTGCATGTACCCCTCCATCATGAATTGATTTAAAAATATATGTTTTAGGACCAAAATATTCTCAAAACTATCATAAAACAGTGTCTCAGACATCAGGCAGTGAATTCATAACCATTTCATGTAGTAACTTTCTGTGAGGGGGCTTTTAGAGGTGGACGTCTGGTTCCTATCACCACCACTGTGAACGGTTCTGACTCTGTAAGTTTCTCTAGAACGGAGCGTTTCACACCAAACCACTCTGCATGACTCTGTTTACATTTTAACCACTTAATTATGCAGAAAATTTAAAAAAATGGGTGGAATTCTCCTTCAAATTCTGCAGCTGTTGCATTGTTGTGGCTGAGAGTTTCTCCTGTTTTAGTAGTGTGAGGATTGAAGACTGACAGTTATATCAGTCAATATGAAAAATATGTAAGTAATACATAAGGATGGGCGATATGGGGAAAAATAGTATATCACGATACTTAAGGGAACATGATACGCGATACGTATCAGAACATTTTGTAGCTAGTCATGTACATTTAAAACTGGCATTAAAAACTATGAGCTAGGAATAATTGAATTGTAGTGTTCTTTAAGCACTGACTGTATACAAGGTATATTCAGAAATGCATATTGTGTATCACAATAACACAATTTGCCACAATAACGCTAAAATATAACCATATTGCCCTTATCTAATTATGAATATAATATTCCATGATTATTATTATATGATATTATCGATTATCATTATTATTATAGTGAATTTTCAGATCAGTCAGGCCCTAATGGGGAAGGTATACACTTTTGTTTTTATTTTATTGATCTTACACATGTTTTCATTGCTGTTTGAGTGACTTGTGCGCTGTTCCAGCTGTCCCTGCTGTACCCCGAGCCGGGCCGGGTGGAGATGGATCCTGAGGAGCTGTGGCAGGGATTTGTTACGGTGGTGAAAGGAGCTGTACAAGGTTAGAATACTGTATACGTTCATCCTGCATTACTGGCACAGCAGCTTCACATTAGACTTGTATACTTATACAACACTGGTATGCCAGGAAGTGAATGGATGTAGACGTATGAGCGCCCAAATTCCATGCATTTATTGATTTTCTTAGTGTAAATATGTTAGCATATCCTCTGCAGAGACACACTTCTGCACATTTTAGTGCACAGTTACTGTTTGTTTGCTGAATTTAACGTAGAATTAGAAAAATAAAACATAAAATGTGGTCTGTTCAAAAGTTATGGCGCAGTTGAAGTTGTGTTTTTTTTCTCAGTAATAAGCAGTGATTGAGCACTAAAATTTGCAGGTAAATGCCATGTTTAAGTTTCTTCCCACAAGAGGGAACTGTCACCGTCACTGTCGTGTCAAAGTGCTAAAACTTCCATGCTATGCAAGAAAATCAACTAGTTTTAAACTCTGAATAAATAAAAAAGTAAACATAAACACCAATAATACAGCTTCAAGAACTCAGATTTGGTTCCTGACTTCCCGCTGCTCTCTGGCTGTTGCAAGGACTTGTTCAATTCCGTCAGCTAATATAATTTAATGAGGGATTGATTAGATAAAGCAGGTATTGGAAGGTAACTGTAAATGCTGGACTTCCTAGAGCAGAGATTTGCAATGGTTAAACAAACACATTTACCTATATAAAATCACTACAAAGGCTACTACCAGGCTGAAGTGGCACTAATCTGCTTTTTTGCCCTAATGTGACTCAGATCTGATGTTTTCAGGGCTGTGTGGACACAAATCTGATCTTTTCAAATCTGACCTGACCCACTTTCATATGTGGTCTTAGATCGGATACGTATCCTATTCGTGGCCATGCAACCTTAATGTGATGCTCAGATCAGAATTCATGTGCTTTTTTCCCACTGTTCGTGCGCCATCATTCAGCGTTACCATGGCAGCAGCGCCGAACAGAAGTTAAAGCCTGTAAACGGTGGAAAAGCAGCTCATCTCACCTTTTTCTCCTTCGTCTCGCTCTAATAATGAAGCTGAGAGCTGATCAGAGTTAATTATCTTCTCAGCGAAGCTCGTTCTGCTCGTTAGTTTGTGCTGACGATGCACGTGATTCATTCACAGAATGTTACTGAGTAGGATGAGCTCATGAGGGTCATTTCAGGATGCCGGTTCATCTCATTAATGACAGATTTGAGTCACTTACCTAAACGAGTGTGAACCATCGTGTCAGAGAAAGAGATCTGAGAAAATCATATTTAAGCAGTGAGGCTTGTAATGTGAACATAGCCTTACTGTATAAATATATTTTGTCCAGTTGTACACAAGTACAGTATACAGTTTGAGCACCTCTGGTCAGATACTAGCTTGAGTGCGTAGTTTCTATTTATTTGCTGAGTTGAACTTATTGGGGGGGAGAAATTAAAAAAAAAAAACTTTTGCACGTCACCTTTTATCTTTTATTTCTTTCTCCTAAAATGTTAAATTCAGCAGAGAAACATGAATTGTGCATTAAAACATGAAGTGTGTTCTCTGTAGAGGATGTGTGAATTTATTTAGAAAATTAACAACAACACCGAATTTGACCTGGGGTGCACAAACTTTTGCACAAGACTGTGTTTATTCTAATATTGATGTTTTTTTTCTGAAAGAATGCACTCTTACAGTCCAGATGAACAGCTTCACAGATGATTTTCTGAGTACTGTGTGTTTTTTCTGTTTGTGCTCTGAAAGTCTTTTTCTCTCGTTCCTTTAGATTCAGGCTTACAGATGTGCCAGATGGAAGCTCTCGGGATCTCCACTCAGAGAGCCACTTTCACCACCTGGGACAGGTAAGAGCACATATGAGGTGAATTAAAGTAGTAGCGCACTGTGGGGCTGTGAGTTACAGAGATTTTCCCACTGTTACTATGTGAGTAAAATCACTGTAGCACAGCGTAAAGTTACTCATGTGAATTGCTGCTGTTACAAAACAGCCACAAAATAAATGATAATACACCACTTTTCAATAATCAATTAATTACAAATAATATTCACAACATAAACAATTTTTTTATCACAAAATGTAATTGCAGTTGTGAACTCTGACTATTAGAGCTAGGCCTTCAATTTGGACCATAAATGTCAAAACGCGGTCATAATCACCTCTACAATAATGTTTATTTCTGCTAGCGCCTCTATGGGATTCTATTAGTATGTTAGGGCCAAACTAGCTGTGACTCACATTGACATTTTTCAGCCATTCTAGATTGAAGGGGGAGTCCACCGGTTTTTGTATACCTTGCCTATGGGGCCTGACTGATATGGAAATTTAGTGATTTCAAGGGGTTAAAAAAATGACTATAATAATAATAACGATAGTCAATAATGTCATATAACATTAATGATGTAATTTTTATGTTTATAATTAGAGATGAGCAATATCATTATCGTTATTGTCACAAATTGTGTTATTGTGATTCACAGTATGCGTTTCTGAATATATCTTGTGTACAGTCAGTGCTTAAAGAACACTGACCAACTACATTACATTATGTTACATTAAAAAGCAAATATAATTATTCCTAGTTCATAGTTTTTAATGCCAGTTTCAAATGTGACATGACTAGCTACATGATGTCCTGATGCGTATCATGTTCCTTTAAGTATCGTGATATACCATTATTTCCATAACGCCCATCCTTATTTATTATATTATATATTATATTAGATATATAATTTTTCATATTGACTAATATAACTGTCAGTCTTCAATCCTCACACTTTTTAAAATCAAACAGCAGAAACTCTCAGCCAGAGCAATGTAATAGCTGCAGAATATAAAGGGGAATTCCACTAATTTTTCAAAGTTTCTGCTTAATTAAGTGGTTAAGATGCAAACAGAGTCGTTCAGAGCGGTTTGGTGTGAAACGCTCCGTTCTAGAGAAACTTACTGAATCAGAACTGTTCACAGTGGTGGTGATAGGAACCAGACGTCCACCTCTAAAAGCTCCCTCACAGAAATTTATTACGTGAAATGGTTATGAATTCACTGCCTGATGTCTGAGACTCTGTTTTACAATAGATTTGTGTAAGTTTCAGCTTAAAATATATTTAAATACATTTATTTTAAATACCTCATGGTGGAAGTGTACATGCGGGGCATTGTAAGGCAAAATAGTCCCAAAAAAAAAAGTTATTTTTGTTCAGATTTAGGACTATTTTGCCATCATAACACTACATATAAAGCTCATAAAGAATGTCGGTTCACTGGTGGTTTTGGATAATAAATAAAATGTCTATATTTGTGTTGTAGTCATGGCGACCCCTGGTTCCTATCACCACCTCTGTAGTGAAGTCAAGGTTTATTACAACGGACATTGTTGCAAAGCAGCTTTACAGAAGAATCCAAGCCCAAGCCAGTGGCGACAGTGGCAATAAAGCTCCCTAAGAGCAAGAGGAAGAAACCTTGAGAGGAACCAAGACTCAAAAGGGGAACCCATCCTTCTCTGGTCAACACCAGATAGCAAACAATAACAATAGAGCATTATGAACAGAGAGTAGTTTTAACATTAGTGTAAAATATTACAATTAGCTGGACTAACTGCAGCTCGTTAAGACTTTTGCTGGAACATCCAGACAGCAGTGCACTACAGTAGTCCAGCCTTGAGGTAATAAATGCATGAACAAGCTTTTCTGCATCCGGAGATGCAGGAAAGCTATTCTAGTAATATTGGTTATATGTGCATCGAAGGACAGATCGGGATCAATCGTGACACCAAGGTTTTTTTTTTTTTTTACAAATGTACCTGATGCAGCTGAGAAACTTCTTTCTAGGAGCTAAGCTTGTTTCTAGCAGCAATTGGGCCAAGAAGAAGAACCTGTTTTGTCTGAGTTAAGCAGGAGGAAGTTACTTGACATTCAGTCTTTTATGTCTTTTATACAGTCCTCAATCTTGTTAAGTTGAAGTTTATCATCTGGTTTAGCTGTTGTATATAACTGTGTGTCATTGGCGTAGCAGTGGAAATTGATCCCATGTTTACCAATAATGATACCCAGTGGTGGCATATAGAATGTTAATAATAGAGGCCCTAAAACAGAGCCTTGTGGAACACCATACTTTACTTTTGTAAGAACAGATGAGTGAGGTAAGATCTAAACCAGTAAAGAGCTGTTCCTTTTACTCCCACAAGGACTAACAGGAATAGCTCTTCTTGTCAGTGAAATCTGATAATAGAGATTTCAGTGTAAAGAAATCTGAGTCTCTACAATCAACCATTTCACACCAAAATCCACTGAATGACACTGAATGTTTACATCTCAGACCCTGAATTATGCCCAAGCTCAGAAAAATCCTTGGAACTCCTCTTTAAATACAGACATGTGAATGTTTTTAAGACGCCAAATATGAACATCCGTGTTAATAGCAAGCTAACGCTCCTTCACACTGATTATTACTGTATACATCATTTAATTTAAAGCCAAAAGTGCCACACTGAACAAAGCTTGCTGTTTTGTTTAGGGTATTTTTGTCTGCTTACGTGACTTATGATGTCAGTTTAGTGCTCACATTTAGCAATATTCATATCAATAACCCACTCGTAAATCAGAGGATCACGTTGATTTATCAGTCTACTCAGGCTTAGGAGAGATCAGTTACACTGAGATTAATAACTGATCACATTGATTTATCAGTCTACTCAGGCTTTAGCAGAGCATATATAATGTGAATAATAGAGGTCCTAAAACAGAGCCTTGTGGAACACCATACTGTACTTTTGTAAGAACAGATGATTCACCATTTACAATCACAAACTGACAGCGGTCAGTGAGGTAAGATCTAAACCAGTAAGAGCTGTTCCTTTTACTCCCACAAGGACTAACAGGAATAGCTCTTCTAAAGAAATCTGAGTCTCTACAATCAACCATTTCACACCAAACCACACTCAGTGACTCTGTTTACAACTCAGACTGTGAATTACATCCGTGTTAATAGCAAGCTAACGCTCCTTCACACTGATTATTACTGTATACATCATTTAATGTAAAGCAAAAACTGCCAAACTGGACAAAACTTGCGGTTTTGTTTTGGGTATTTTTGTGTACTTATGATGTCAGTTTAGTGCGTAGCAGTGTTGGCTCACATTTAGCAATATTCATATCAGTAACTCGCTCGTAAATCAGAGGATGCAGCGACATTCAGAGGAAGAACGGGTGCAATAGCAGCCATTCTTAAAAATCCCATTCATTTTTGCCATTGAGAAATCTAGATTAGGCCCAGAGTTTGTAATGCGGGGGTGAGTTTTGGGTCTGAGAGTCTGTGTTGTGGTCTGCAGGCACACGGGAAAGACGTTTCATAACTTCATCAGCTGGCAGGACCTGAGGGCGGCTGAGATGGTCAGATCCTGGAACAGTTCCTGCACCATGAAGGTGAGCACACTTTTCTTTTAGTACCAGAAAGTCATTCTAATGACAATAAAAGGAACACCGCTGCATCTGTAGTGCACAGTTATCCCCAAATTTGAAAAAAGAACAGAAAACTCACTCAAGCAGGACTGTTTATTATATAATATCACATATTATGTTTATTATGTAATAACACATATTATAACATAGCAGGTGATATCACGTAGTAATATATATATAACACATCATATCACGTATGTAATAATACATGATATCACATGGCACATGTAAAAACACTATTTAAACTATGCATCATTTCACACACTGAGCTGCACTGATTCTAATTAAACAGGACTAATTATGCTTTTATTATCAAACATGCAGTTAAAGTGTTTTTAAGTACTGATGATATCCACCATATGTTCCGAAAAGCATATTGTGATATTGTGATAAATAATTCATAGTAGATACTGAATACATAGTAAATACTGAATAATTCATAGTAGATACTGAATAATTCATAGTAGATACGCCATAATTCATAGTGGATACTCCATAATTCATAGTAGATACTCAATAATTCATACTGAATAATTCATAGTAGATACTCAATAATTCATAGTAGATGCTGAATAATTCATACTGAATAAATAGTAAATACTAAATAATTCATAGCAGATACTGAATAATTCATAGTAGATACTGAATACATAGTAAATACTGAATAATTCATAGTAGATACTGAATAATTCATAGTAGATACTCAATAATTCATACTGAATAATTAGTAGATACTCCATAATTCATAGTAGATACTCAATAATTCATACTGAATAATTCATAGTAGGTACTGAATAATTCATAGCAGATACTGAATAATTCATAGTAGATACTGAATACATAGTAAATACTGAATAATTCATAGTAGATACTCAATAATTCATAGTAGATACTCAATAATTCATACTGAATAATTAGTAGATACTCCATAATTCATAGTAGATACTCAATAATTCATACTGAATAATTCATAGTAGATACTGAATAATTCATAGTAGATACTGAATAATTCAGAATGGGTTCTGAGTAATTCATAGGTGGAATCAATGAAAACATTTTATCACAGTTTCATTTGACAGCACTTCATCACACCGGTCTGTCCGCTTTCACTGCTTGGCAGTTGCTTGAAGGAAATAACAGTTTTGTTGCAACAGCCACTTCCTCTAAATATAAAGACCAGTACTGATCTGAACTGACTGGAATTCAGGCCTGCGGCTGGTGGTGGAGTGTTTTAGGGTGAAATTCCTCTCAGAAGGTGAACAGCACTGACTCTGTTGGCAACACTGCCTTCAGTTTGTTCTGTAATCTGGCGGGTCGCAGAGCTCAGTCTGGATTATTACAGAACTCTGCTAAGCAAAAAAACAATTACATAAGACAAGAAATCACCCAGTAATAGACCTTTCATTGTGAAACTGGTCTGTCTATCATATAGTAGCAGTGATAGGGGTGTGTTGTTTTTAATATATTAGAGCCGAAGTTCTACTGACTGAGGAAAACAGGGCTAAACTACAGGAGCAACAAAACACTCCTGATTTCGCCAAGTGCTTTTTATAAAACATCCATGTTTCATGCTTAATTTTTTTCTAAAAGCTGAAAGACCAAAACCATTAATTTTTGGTTCCTACATACAAGTACATACATATATGTAATACATATCGAATATCACACACACACGCATCATCTGAACCGCTTATCCTTCTGGGTCGCGGTGGGGTGCTGAAGCCTATCCCAGCTGTCATTTGGGCAGAGGGCAGGATACACATACATATACAGGTTGCCAGTCCATCGCAGGGCAGACAGACAGGCAGACGGACAGACACATATGGAATATGTGGAATATTATTAGTGTTATTATTATTATTATTATTGCATATTTATTTAACATACATGATATAGTAAATTTGAAAAAAATATGTATATTATCCAATTGCATGTTATCTTGATTTTCTTGTGAAAACAAGTTATCACATCATCTACAGAGAGCACACTTAAATATGGCATTAAACAAGAGGAAAAAACTAAAACATAAAGTATATAATAGAAAATGTGCCGTGACCTTTGCACAGAAAAAGTTGATTTTTTGTGTTAAACTCAGCGTATAAACAGTACTTAAACATATGCAGAAGTGTGTTCTCTGTGGACGATGTATTAACTTTAAAAAAAAAAAAAAAATTCAAAATAAACAAAAATGTAATTTGACCAGGGGTGCCCAAACTTTTGCATATGACTTCATATAATAAGTATCAGACATTATTATCATTACATATAGATGCTTGTGTTTCGTTGCTGTAGGACAAAAACCTTGTGAAGGATAAAAAATCTGAAGTTTGTTTAATAAGATTTTATCCAAACGAATTTGGAGCAGTTCTGTTGGTCACTTCATCATCACACTTTCACACAGTGTAAAGCTCGCCTGTTGTTGACACAATATGTTGAAAAATGATAAAAATAGAGAGAGTAGGTTTGATGTATGAGTGACCCCGGGTGCTGATAAGTGATAAAAACGAGCTGTGTTTGTGTGTGACAGGCTGTTCATGGAGTGATGAAGATGCTGCACTTCCTGACCCGTCAGAAGCGCTTTTTGGCCGCCAGCCTGGTCGTGTTCACCCCTCAGCACGTCTCGCTGCGGCTGGCCTGGGCGCTACGCAACATCCCTCAGGTACCGCAGGACAGATCAGAGACCGGACGCGTGGTTTTCCGATGTATAATCTGCTGCAGAGACGAGATAAACTGTGATTTATGCTGCAGCTGAAAAGTGCTGTACCTGCGTTACTGTATCTGATAACAACACGTCATCTTCACCACACCTGCATCGTTCAGCAGTAACAACCACCACTATTGTGGTCGTCATACGTCATAATTTTAGATAACATTTACAACGGTTACTAACTGTGTTGGCTGCAGTTGCTAAGGAACAACAGGGGCTGCTTTACTCTGAGCTGCTGGAACTACTTTTTTGTGTTTTATGTTAGAAACTTGTATTTAAAGTCCCTGTTAACGTGGTTTCAAATGTTGAAATTTTGTTCTAATGCTAACAAAATTAGCATTTACCAGTGTTACATTCAAGAAATCTTTGAAAATTGATACCATTTAATGGTAGATACATGCTTACTTCTTTACTATTAAAACAAAAATTTAAATAAAACCATGCTGACAGGGACTTTAAGTACAAGTTTTAATAGTAAAGGTATACCATGAAATAAATTTTATCTGTGTTTTATTAAAGAACTGTATATAAATTAATACGATTTATGGTAGATACATACTTATTCCTTTGCATTTCTTTACTATTAAAACAAAAATACTGTGTTAAAGAAATACACATTAATGCAATTGAATGGTGTGTAAATACTCCTGAGCTGCTGCTCAGAGCTGTGTGGGCGTGTCAGATCGCATAATGATTGACAGTGGCGTCTCCCTGGCAAAGTACACAACCATGTCAGTGTTGACCGACGCTACCAGTCAGTCTTCAGCCGTACACGTTTGAGAGGAAGGGCAAGGAAATAGACCACTTTGCTCTTCTCGACCGCTCTCTATATGATAAGTAAAAAAGTGCAAAAACTGATTATTTAAAATTCTTGCATAATTAAATGGTTAAAATGTGAACAGAGTCGTTCAGAGTGGTTTGGTGTGAAACGCTCTGTTCTGGAGAAACTTGCCGAGTCAGAACTGTTCACAGTGGTGGTGATAGGAACCAGACGTCCACCTCTAAAAGCTCCCTCACAGAAAGTTACTACATGAAATGGTTATGAATTCACTGCCTGATGTCTGAGACACTGTTTATGATAGATTTGATTAGATTTTGGCTTTAAAATCCTTTCTTGGTGGAGGGATACATGCTGAGGCAAAATAGTTCCCAAAGAAAACTTATTATTTCAGATTTTCCACTATTTTCCCATCATCAACATTCCATATAAACTCAGAAGACTCGTGTAGGTTCACTGGTGGTTTTAGATAGTAAATAAAATGCCTATATTTGTGTTGTAGTCATGGTGACCCCTGGTTTCTATCACCACCACTGTAAAGACATCTGAACCATTTCACACCAAACCACTCTGAATGACTCTGTGTGTTAGGGTGAATAATAAAATCACGGCAGGGATGATCTTCACCGCAACGCACCACCTCCTGTTTTACTGCTTAGAAATAAAGTCCAATAATAATCACACCATTTCAAATTCTCTTTCTCTCTGCAGCTTCGGCAGGCTGTCGATGAAGAAACCTGTCTTTTTGGGACCATAGACACTTGGCTGCTTTATAAACTCACAAAAGGTAAATTAGCTTCACTGCTGTTTGTCTGGACCTGCAGCTGTACCTGCTGCATTACTAAATTGTGGTAAAGCAGTAAAAGAGTAAAAAACGTAGAAGTCTCTGTTTGTGAAATTGTTACCTTTCATACAACCGTGCAGGTTGATAAGTGTTCCACTCATGTTTACTCTAAGCCACTACTAAATATCAAAGGACAGGTTCACCAATTTTTCAAATTTTCTGCATAACTCAGTGTGTGAGCTGTAAACAGAGTGATTCAGAGTGGTTTGGTGTGAAATGGTTCAGATGTCTTTACAGTGGTGGTGATAGGAACCAGGGGTCGCCATGACTACAACACAAATATAGACATTTTATTTACTATCCAGAACCACCAGTGAACCTACACGAGTCTTCTGAGTTTATATGGAATGTTGATGATGGTGTAAAAAAAAAAAAAAATTATTTTGGGACTATTTTGCCTCACATGCCCTGTATGTACATCTCAGACATCAGGCAGTGAATTCATAACCATTTCATGTAGTAACTTTCTGTGAGGGAGCTTTTAGAGGTGGACGTCTGGTTCCTATCACCATCACTGTGAACAACTCTGACTCTGTAAGTCTCTCTAGAACAGAGCGTTTCACACCAAACCGCTCTGAATGACTCTGTTTACACCTTTACTTTTTATAATGCAGAAATTTTGAAAAAACTGGTGCAATTCCCTTTTAATTATAGCACCTAAGCCTAGAATTAAACCTTAAAATCATTTGTCTGGGCGACAACTCATGCTTACAAAAACAGCATAAATCATTAGAATAAGTGCAAAGTATTTATTTTTTATTTAACAAAGTAGTTTGTTATGAGACGTAGTTGACTTTTTGGACAATTGAAGAACACAGGTCAGGCCATGGACTGAGAATAGTCCACCAACCAAAAATATCCAGCCAACAGTGTCCTGTGGGCAGCGTCCTGTGACCACTGATGAAGGACTAGAGGATGAGTGGACTGTGTCCTGTCACTGTCCACTCTTAGACACTCCTACCTTGTCAGTCCACCTTGTAGATGTAAAGTCAGAGACGATAGCTCATCTGCTGCTGCACAGTTTGTGTTGGTCATCCTCTAGTCTTTCATTAGTGGACACAGGACGCTGTTGGCTGGATATTTTAGGTTGGTGAACTATTCTCAGTCCAGCAGTGACACTGAGGTGTTTTAAAAACTCCAGCAGGACTGCTGTGTCTGATTCACTCAGACCAGCGCAACACACACTAACACACCACCACCACGTCAGTGTTACTGCAGTGCTGAGAATGATCCACCACCCAAATAGTACCTGCTCTGTGATGGTCCATGGGGGTCCTGACCACTGAAGAACAGGGTAAAGGGGGGCTAACAAAGTATGCAGAGAAACAGATGGACTACAGTCTGTAACTGTAGAACTACAAAGTGCACCTATATAGTAAGTGGAGCTGATAAAATGGACAATGAGCGTAGAAACAAGGAGGTGGTCATAATGTTATGCCTGATCGGTGTATAATGGTGTTTAATGTATTGATTTGTGTGTCTCTGCAGGTTCTGTTCATGCTACAGATTACTCTAACGCCAGCTCGACGGCAATATTTGATTCATATCAGGTAACTCAAAGGGTTTATATTCTATACTGTATTGTTTGTTATTGCAGATTAACTGACCCTTATTAGTCCCACAACGGGGAAATTTCACCTCTGCATTTTAACCCATCCGTGCAGTGAAACACCACATACACACTAGTGAACACACACGCTAGGGGGCAGTGAGCACACTTGCCCGGAGCGGTGGGCAGCCCTATCCGCAGCGCCCGGGGAGCAGTTGGGGGTTGGGTGTCTTGCTCAAGGGCACTTCAGTCACGTGCTGTCGGCTCGAACCGGTGACCTTCCGGCTGGTTCCCTAACCTCCAGCCCACGACTGCCCCCACATAGTGTAGTCCACAGTAATGAGTGGCAACCTCTGGATCTGATTGAGAGCTGATGTAGTCATAGTTTAATGGATGTCTTAGAGCAACGTAAACAGAAACTTTACCCACAACCTGCAGCAGTGAGGAGCGTTTATCTGAATGTCTGCAGTGTGGAACTGTTTTACGGTGGAAAATGAACTGTAATATCTGCAGCTCCAGGGTTTCCACAGTGTTTGAGCCGAGTTTCTTCCAAATACTGGCATGTAAAATGTGAGCGAGAGGCAAGTGAGTAAGCTGTGCAGGTGTGTGGTCCGAACTCAGTGTGTGTGTGTGTGTGTGTGTGTGTGTGTGTTTCAGATGTGCTGGAGTGGGTTTCTGTGTTCTCTCCTTTCTCTACCTCTCTCTATCCTCCCCAGAGTGCACAACACCAGGTAAACCCACCATCTCCCTCCGATTCAGCCACTCACTACACAGTGCAGAATGCTTTATTAATCCTCACTTTCTCTCTTTTAGCCACAATTTCGGCTCGTCTGATCCCTCCATCTTTGGGGTTCCTATTCCAATCATGTCACTTGTGAGTATTTATTTATTTATTTATTTATTTATTTATTTATTTGGACCCTAACAGTTCATGTAAGAATGTGTACATGAAGCTGAGAAGAAAAATACACACACAGCATCAGCACAGAGCTCATTTATAATGGACTTAAACCACTGGAGGGATTTTATTCTAATTTTCAGTTTCCAACTGAAAGTTTAAGGTCAGTTATGCTCGCAGTATGATTTTATGGTGGCTCTGATTGTGTAGATGGCCGATCAGCAGGCGGCGATGTTCGGGGAGTGCTGCTTTGACACAGGCGACGTTAAAATCACCATGGGAACGGGCACCTTCATGGACATCAACACAGGAAACAAACCGCACACCTCAGTGGCCGGTACACGTTCCAAACACCCAAACACAGAGAAACACTGTTCGCTCAGAAACACAGTACAGTAAATACAGTAAATGAAGTTCATTCACCACCACATCCCACTTAAACTAGACTATAAACATGAACTACATATAAATATAAATATAAATATAAATGTAAATCAGTTATGTTAAATTAAAATCAACCTCTATTAAAATTAAGCTATGTGGTCAATAGTTGCAAATAACAGCATTGTATATAAATAGCAGTAAATATGTTACTTAATTTTAATAGTGGCAGTGTAAATATAACTAGTATAAGTTGTGTAAATAAATAGCAGAATAATATTATTACGTAAGAAATATATAGCAAAATAATGCTGTCCTATATAAATAGTATAAATCTCTCTTTTTCTCACGCTTTGATTTGACTTCTTTTCTCTTTCTTTTCATCAATCTTTTATTCACTCTCTCACTTTTTTCTTCTTTACTTCATTTGATCTTGTTGTCTCTCTCTCGCTCTCACTCTTTCTCTCTCTGTATGTTTCTCCTCTCTCTCTTTCTTTCTTTATTTCTTTCTCTCTCTCTCTCTCTCTCTTTCTCTCTCTCTCTCTCTCCCTCCCTCTCTCTCTATGTATGTCTCTATCTCTCTCTCCCTCCCTCTCTATCTCTCCCCCTCTCTCTCTCTCTCTCTCTCTCCCTCTCTCTCTCTCTCTCTCTCTCTTTCTCTCTCTCTCTCTGTCTCTCTCCTTCTCTCTCCCTCTCTCCCTCTCTCTCTCTCTCCCCCTCTCTCCCTCTCTCTCTCTTTTTCTCTCTCTTTCTCTCTCTCTCTGTCTGTCTCTCTCTCTATATATATGTCTCTCTCTCTCCCTCTCTCTCTCTCTCCCTCTCTCCCTCTCTCTCTCTCTTTCTCTCTCGCTCTGTCTCTCTCTCTCTCTATATATATGTCTCTCTCTCTCTCTCTCTCTCTCTCTCCCTCTCTCTCTCTCTCTCTCTCTCTGTAGGTTTGTATCCTCTGGTTGGGTGGAAGATCGGTTCCGAGGTTGTATATCTTGCTGAGGGAAATGCTGCTGGAACAGGAACCGCAATTAAATGGGCTCAGGAGATCGGTGAGCTAGAACACAGAACCGTTCCTCTGCTGCTCTACTAAAGTGATAGTTCAGCAACAAAATAAATTTTACCCACTGTCCTAAAACACAAAAGCTAGGTGGTTGTTGTGGTTCTTCTTCTTCTTCTGATCATTATTATTATTATTATTATTATTATTATTATTTGTAGTAGTAGTTTTTAGCTACGTCAGTCTTGTAGCTCCAGTGCTAAATTCAATGTTGTAAAGAAGATGTCTGATTGATTACAGTAATGTGATGAACCTCAGTACTTTTGCCATCGTCTCTAACAGAGCTGTTCTCAGACGTGAAGGAGACGGAGTCCATGGCCAACAGTGTGAAGGACTCTGACGGCGTGTGCTTCGTGCCCTCGTTCAGTGGCCTGCAGGTGGGTTTCTCCTCAGTGTTCAGTATATTAAGTCATTTCCAGCTCTGACACGTCAGATTGAACTCAGCTTCCTGAGCCGACGTGACTCAGCTGTGCTGGAGGAGAGAATGAAGAGCTCTTTCGCAGTTCAGGGCTCTTAGTGTCAGTCAGGTGGAGTCAGAGAAGAATCCAGACATATGAGGTTTCTGGGCTCTTTCATAATGTTTAATATATTCGTACTCCGCTGTAAACTGCGGCGCAGGGTGAAGTGTGTGCAGCTGCATGTGTTTATAGTTACAGCTGTTAGTCAGATAAAACATTTGACAAAGAATTTAACCTTCGTCTTAAAGATATCTTTTAATTATCATTAATCAGTGTTGCATTTGACAGCAATAATGGTCCGTAACCATAATTATATTATAGTTTTGAAAGATGCAAAAACTAAATTCTTACAGGATCATATAGTTTACAGCAACAGATAAAAGCCATTAAGACTTAATATGCAACATCTACTATTTATTATTCAGGACCTACTATGAATTATTCAGCATCTACCTTGAATTATTCAGGATCTACTTTCAATTAATCAGGATCTACTATGAATTATTCAGAATCTACTATGAATTATTCAGGGTCTGCTGTGAATTATTTAGTATCTCTGATTAATTATTCAGGATCTACAATGAATTATTCAGGATCTACTATGAATTATTCAGGATCTGCTGTGAATTATTCAGGATCTACTATCAATTAATCAGGATCTACTATGAATTATTCAGGATCTACTATGAATTATTTAGTATCTCTGTTTAATTATTCAGGATCTACTATGAATTATTCAGTGTTTACTATGAATTATTTAGTATCTCTGATTAATTATTCAGGATCTACAATGAATTGTTCAGTTTTTTATGTATCATTGTGCATCCCAAGCTAACACCCTCGATAACTCTGAAAGTCATAATAGTGATATTAGTTGTAAACAACTGTAAAGCTGCTCTGTGTTTGTTTGTGTTGTAATATAGTTTTATTGTTTTGATTTTCCTGCTTGCTCTTCAGTGCAGGAAGTTTTTTGTAAGTCCTGGATTCTGTTTTTGATTCATTTTACTTTGCAGTGTGGAACTTTATTGCAGTGAGATTTTACTGCACTTCCCTTTGCGCGTGTTAAAGCATTTGTGTGTGTGTGTGTGTGTGTGTGTGTGTGTGTGTGTGTGTGTGTGTGTGTGTGTGTGTGTGTGTGTGTCAGGCTCCACTAAACGATCCCAAAGCATGCGCTGCTTTCATGGGCCTGAAACCCTCCACCACCAAGAGCCACCTGGTCAGAGCGATTCTGGAGTCCATCGCGTTCAGGTGAGTTTGGGGAACAGCGTGTTTTGTATGGGAGCCCAATCCTTTCCTTGTTTCTGGCTGTAAAGTCAAAATATTTACTGATTGTCTTGGAAATAATTTCTCTCTTTAAATATTGACTTGGTATCTCATAGTAATGACTTATTATCCCAGAGTAATTACATACTTTCCTGGAATTTATAAACTCATTTATTTTCACATAGTTTCTGAAAATCTTATCTAAATACATCAGTTTTTGAGAAATAAGTCAGTATTTGTATATTTGCTGATGTACAAAGAGAAAGTGGAAAAAACACAGGTGTTCTGTAAAGCGTGTCCCTCATAACAGCCGGAATGAAGAACACCGAGCACGGACTGTTAGAACATCCTGCAGTATTAATTATGCTTTATGTCATATTTCAGGAATAAGCAACTGTTTGATGTGATGCTTCGAGAAACTCGCATTCCCATCATGAAAATAAGGTACTTTTACTGGGCTTTCGTCATGATATGGGAACATAAGATATCAAATACATAACAAGTTATTTATACTGTTATATAATGTGTGAATGTGTCGTTTGTGTAAATGTGCCTGTATTTGTACATCAGTCCATCCATCCATCCATCCATCCATCCATACTGTCAGTCAGTCAGTCAGTCCATCCATACTGTCAGTCAGTCTATCCATCCATCCATACAGTCGGTCAGTCAGTCCATCCATCCATACAGTCAGTCAGTCCATCCTTCCATCCATAAAGTCAGTCAGTCCATCCATCCATCCATACAGTCAGTCAGTCCATCCATCCATCCATCCATACAGTCGGTCAGTCAGTCCATCCATCCATACAGTCAGTCAGTCCATCCTTCCATCCATACAGTCAGTCAGTCAGTCCATCCATCCATACAGTCAGTCAGTCCATCCATCCATCCATCCAGTTAGTCCATCCATCCATACAGTCAGTCAGTCCATCCATCCATCCATACAGTCAGTCAGTCTATCCATCCATCCATACAGTCAGTCAGTCAGTCCATCCATCCATACAGTCAGTCAGTCTATCCATCCATCCATACAGTCAGTCAGTCCATCCATCCATACAGTCAGTCAGTCAGTCTATCCATCCATCCATACAGTCAGTCAGTCCATCCATCCATACAGTCAGTCAGTCAGTCAGTCCATCCATCCATACAGTCAGTCAGTCTATCTATCCATCCATCCATACTGTCAGTCAGTCAGTCCATCCATCCATACAGTCAGTCTATCCATCCATCCATACAGTCAGTCTATCCATCCATCCATACAGTCAGTCTATCCATCCATCCATACAGTCAGTCAGTCCATCCATACAGTCAGTCAGTCAGTCCATCCATCCATACTGTCAGTCAGTCAGTCCATCCATACTGTCAGTCAGTCAGTCCATCCATCCATACTGTCAGTCAGTCCATCCATCCATCCATACAGTCAGTCAGTCTATCCATCCATCCATACAGTCAGTCAGTCAGTCAGTCTATCCATCCATAGTCAGTCAGTCTATCCATCCATCCATACTGTCAGTCAGTCAGTCCATCCATCCATACAGTCAGTCTATCCATCCATCCATACAGTCAGTCTATCCATCCATCCATACAGTCAGTCAGTCCATCCATACAGTCAGTCAGTCCATCCATCCATACAGTCAGTCAGTCTATCCATCCATCCATACAGTCAGTCAGTCTATCCATCCATCCATACAGTCAAGTCAGTCCATCCATCCATCCATCCATCCATACTGTCAGTCAGTCAGTCCATCCATCCATACTGTCAGTCAGTCAGTCTATCCATCCATCCATACTGTCAGTCAGTCAGTCAGTCTATCCATCCATAGTCAGTCAGTCTATCCATCCATCCATACTGTCAGTCAGTCAGTCCATCCATCCATACAGTCAGTCTATCCATCCATCCATACAGTCAGTCTATCCATCCATCCATACAGTCAGTCTGTCCATCCATCCATACAGTCAGTCAGTCCATCCATACAGTCAGTCAGTCAGTCCATCCATCCATACAGTCAGTCAGTCAGTCCATCCATCCATACAGTCAGTCAGTCTATCCATCCATCCATCCATACTGTCAGTCAGTCAGTCCATCCATCCATACAGTCAGTCAGTCTATCCATCCATCCATACTGTCAGTCAGTCAGTCCATCCATCCATACAGTCAGTCAGTCCATCCATCCATACAGTCAGTCAGTCCATCCATCCATACAGTCAGTCTATCCATCCATCCATACAGTCAGTCAGTCCATCCATACAGTCAGTCAGTCAGTCAGTCCATCCATACAGTCAGTCTGTCCATCCATACAGTCAGTCAGTCCATCCATCCATCCATCCATCCATACAGTCAGTCCATCCATCCATCCATACGGTCAGTCAGTCCATCCATCCATACAGTCAGTCAGTCAGTCAGTCAGTCAGTCCATCCATCCATCCATCCATACAGTCAGTCAGTCCATCCATCCATCCATCCATACAGTCAGTCAGTCAGTCCATCCATCCATCCATACAGTCAGTCAGTCCATCCAATCAGTCCATCCATTCATCCATCCATTCAAGTCCATCTATCCATCCATCCATCTAATCAGTATATCCATCCATCCATATATCCATCCAGCCAGCCATCCATCCATCCTTCCAGTCCGTCCATCTATCCATCCACCCATCCATCCATCTCTCTGAGTGGTGAATTGCAGTGTAGACCTGCTGACAGTTCATTAAAGCGTTCACTTCCTGTGTAAAACAGCTGCTTGTTTGTGTGTTGTTGATGTTTACAGGGCAGACGGCGGCGTCTGTACGAATGATTTCATCATGCAGTTGACCACAGACCTGCTGGGACGAAAGATCTCGCGGCCCGCTCATTTCGACATGTCCTGTCTGGGGGCTGCGTTCGTGGCTGGTTTAGGAGTGGGTAAGAAAAGATTCATACAGATAAAGTCATAGATTTAAGAACCAGTAAAGCTGCATTTTAAAAAAAACTATCAAAAACTGTGAATACAGTGATTTTTATTCGATATTTGGCACTAAATCCAGTTAAACGGGGCTAATTTTCCTCTCTGTATAATGAAAGAGGCAGCTGGTCAGTTTTATATGAGTACTGACGATATACACAATATATTCCCCAGCCTTACTTTGCTGAGCGAACGGATGAGTGAACGCTGGTTAAAACTTTAACATTAGCCTTGTTAGGTTTGCTTAAAGCAGCTAATATTGGACACATAAGAGAAACACAGTTAAAAGCACCTACATAAATTTCTACATCAGTATAGTAGTGTACTTTTTCTGAACTGTCTGTATTCTGTTTTGTTTTTATTCTAAGTTTCATGTTTATTGTACTGTATTGTCTGCACTGTGTTTATTGTATTGTCTCGCCCTTGTGTTCCTGTGTTGGTCCTGAAGGAATGTTTTTGTTTCACTGTGTACTTGTATAGAGCTTAGATGACAATAAAGCCTCTTGAACTTATGCTTTACCCTGCGGATCACATGGATTAACCAGTGTCGCAGTGTTCAGCAGCAGAAATGATACAAACAATATTTTTCACAGATCCTTATGAAGAACAGTATCAGCTGTGATGGACCAGTTAATAAAAGCAGTTATTTTAATAATATAGGCTTAATAAAAGCACAGAAAAACATTATTAACTGCTGTTTTATTTCGGTTTTTCCTAGTAGCTCACCACCCCACTAAAATCACCAGCTCTAACATGGTCACCCCGTTGAAAACGTTCTGCCTGGGAGCCCCTGCATTTCTGTTATTTTCACTGGGTAACTATTTCTGTTCTCTCTGTTCTTTCCAGGTTACTGGAAGAGTAAAGAGGAGCTGAAGAAGCTGCAGACGACCGACCGTCTCTTTGCACCTCAGAGTGGAAAAGGCGGCGGCTGTAAGGACGGAGTTTATAAACCTGTGCTGCAGAGCTGGGAGGAGGCCCTGCAGAGGTCCATGCACTGGTACAGCCAGCCTTAATGATCTGATACACTGGAGTTTCCAGTTTATTGAGTCCACCTCGCTTGTATCTGCGCTTATTGGCCATTTTATCAGAAACCCCTTCCCTACAGATGCACTTTGTAGGTTAACAGTTACAGGCTGTAGCCCATCTGTTAGTACCCCATTCATCAATGGAAGGGGGCCACCACAGGACCACTGTTGAAAAGATATTATTTGGACGGTGGGCCATTCTCATGGTATGCTGCGAGTTTATCAAGCATGGTGGCATGGTTAATTATACAATTTCCAGTCAAAATGTCACTTAAAGGCAGGTTATTCATTGTTAGCACCAGGAAACAAAAACAGAAACATATTTTGTAATAGAAAGTTGCATATAAGCCTTAATGACTAAATATAATCTCAAAGTTTCCTTTCTTTTTCAGAAGACTAAGTTCAGTCGTAGAAGAGGTTTTGCATTTTTTGCTTTATCTAATCTCCTCAAAAATATCTTCAATAACTTGTACCTGATGGATAACGTTGCATGTCGCTGCTGTCAGAACAAAACTTTGTATCTCCAAAATGGTGACTTTACAGGAGAAGGAAAAAACCTACTTTACTTTTAATGTAAGTCAATGGAACCAGACGTTTCTCCATGTAATTTTGGGCCGTTTCTTTTAGTCCGTTCATCATGAAATTTACACACAATATAAAGGACAACAGGCGATTTCAAAATATGTCAAAAACTGAAAAACAACAAAAATGGAGATACGAGCTTTTGTTCTGACCACAGCGATATGACTGTATATGGTAGGTGTTTCCAATAAAATGGCCAAAGAGCATAGATAAAAAGTAGGCGGGGCTACTAAGTGGAAGCTCGGCATACAGGCAGTATAGTTAACTGGACATAAATGACCGGAATCGACCTGGAATCAGCCAGTTTGAAGAAGAAGAGAACTCATCAAACACAAATCAGTCATCTTCTCATCGTCTGTCCAGTCAAATACCCACGGAGACGCGAATAAGGATTTAGCGAGGACGCCTTTTCTGGTTTCCATAGCAACAGCCGACAGCATCAAGTCACTCTTTTCATGCCACGGTGAAATTTTTACCAAATCCAGACGGTGTGGGAATCAAGATGGTTTGGAAATCAAGACTAAACAGGGTAAGACAGGTTGAGCCTGGTCCTAGGCCTGAAACAGAGGAACTGTTGTGCACCAAGGTGGCACATTGTCACCTTACGTGATCGACTGGTGTTCACTGTGCTGCGTTCTCGAGGAATTCCTCTGCGTCTTCACTGAGAACGACGGTACCAGCTACTTGGTGAATTTATCCCACATCAAACAAAACTGCATTCAAAGAAACAATCATATTCCTTCCTGCAGTATTTCCATATAAACTCTGCTGCCTTAGCTGAACCTGCTAAATGCTGCTTATTTCTCTGCTGGGCTTCACTGGATTTGAGTACTATTGACAGCTGACATTGAAAACAGGTCCATAGTGGTCATTAGACATTGCCCTTTTGCTCACGGAAGTTAAAGAGCAACTTTTAAGTAAAGTTTACAAGTTTAAAGGGGGGAAAATACATGCAAGCTGTGATTAAGCACAACATTTTTTTTCATACCTTTTATTTTTTAATAAGAAAAAAATCTCACTGAGATTTTAAATCTCTTTTACAGGACAGTCCAAGACAGGCAGCAACACATGACAAATTGTTCCCACAAAACAAATAATACAAACATAAAACCGTTTAAGACACTCACAAACAGTGTACAAATAAATAATTACTGTTTATTTGCAAAGTTTAAAATATTGGTAAAAAACATAATGTAATTTATGTTTTATGTTTTTCCAATATATTAAACAAAAAATAAATAGAATTTGTGCACAATTTGTAAACTTTGGCATATATGACATATATTAGACCTAAAAACGTTTGTTTTGTTTTTTAATTTTGAGGTAATGCAAGCCTAACCTAAGTGCAATTACGTTTTTAGGCCTAAATGCATTTAATTTAAGTGTGTTTTTATTTTCATGTCTTGTAAGTTGGACCTAAATCTTACTTTTTGCAAAAAAATAGTTTTTCTGGAAAACCACCACAGCAAACTCTGAGCAAAATGACGACATCGTGTTCTTAACTGTTCAAATATTTATAGTTTTATAGCCTCGTCTGCTAATATGATAAACGTAGCAGAGCGGCTGTGAGGATTCACAAGTAGGCCATCAGGACTTTGTTCACCGTTCAGACAGAACAGCGTACAGAGGCCACGCCCACTCTATTAATGTTTATCTCTGACTAGTAAACACAGCGTGCTGAGGAATAGGATCTGTAGATGTTTAGTGAGGATGTTTATGACCGGCTGACCTTAAACGGCCTTTGGATAGAAAATAATCTGACTGGACCAGCTGTGCACTGCGCTGCTTATGAATTGGATGGATGGATGATCTGATTGGATGGATGGATGGATGGATGGATGATCTGATTGGAAGGATGGATGGATGGATGATCTGATTAGATGGATAGATGGATGGATGGATGATCTGATTGGAAGGATGGATGGATGGATGGATGGATGATCTGATTAGATGGATGGATGATCTGATTGGACGGATGGATGGACGGATGGATGGATGATCTGATTGGAAGGATGGATGGATGGATGGATGGATGATCTGATTAGATGGATGGATGGATGGATGGATGGATGGATGGATGGATGGATGATCTGATTGGAAGGATGGATGGATGGATGGATGATCTGATTGGAGGGATGGATGGACGGATGGATGGATGATCTGATTGGAAGGATGGATGGATGGATGGATGATCTGATTAGATGGATGGATGGATGGATGGATGGATGATCTGATTAGATGGATGGATGATCTGACTGGATTGACAGATGGATGGATGGATGGATGATCTGATTGGATGGATGGATGATCTGATTGGATGGATGGATGGATGATCTGATTGGATGGATGGATGATCTGATTGGATGGATGGATGGATGGATGGATGGATGGGTGATCTGATTGGATGGATGGATGGATGATCTGATTGGATGGATGGATGATCTGATTGGATGGATGGATGATCTGATTGGATGGACGGATGGATGGATGGATGATCTGATTGGATGGACGGATGGATGGATGGATGCTTTATTGATCCTGAAGGAAGTTTAGCAGCCAGTATGAGTCACACAACCCAGGACAGCACTAATAATAAGGGGAAACAATATGAAAAGAAGAAGAAATACAGAAAACCCATCTACAGACATATATACGAATAGAAATAAACAAAAATCTGCAATATGATCTACAACCCGAGATGAAAAACGCAGTGCAATAACAGCATATAATGACAATACTGAATAAATATATGCATATATTTAATTATTATTAATTAATTAATTATAATGAAGAATTGGGATACATGTGAATCTTCCTTTAAGTGAAACTGAGAGCGGCGACTCTGATAAACAGCACAAGGCGCTGAAACAACATTCTTAACTTTCAGTTTATCACGCTTTGGTTTTATTTAACTTTCTTTACATCAGTAACAGTGGCTAACGTTAACTGTCTGGCTAACTAACTTAATTACGTGTTTACGTTTCAGCTGTGTGCATAGGGTCGGTTGCTAGGTAACAGACACGACAGTTGATTGTCGACTTCAGTCGAGTAAGTTAAGATTTCCTAACTTTGGATAAGAAAAGATCCTGTAAGATAAGATTCCTAAATTAAGATCAGATTTGCTTCTGTAATACGAATTTGTGAAAAATCTTGACCTGTCAGATCTTAAGTTAAAACAAAAAGATGAGAATTTTCTGTAATACGGCCCCGGTCTGCGGCAACTGACCTGCGGACAGGACCCTGTCTAATTGTCTAACTGAATTTATTTTAATTAGCTGTGCGTCTGTTTGTCTATTATAAATATTTAATAAAAATATTTTCACAAAAAAAAAATCAAGTGAAATGATCTCACTGTATCAGTAGATAATTTAACTTGTTTTTAGCGTATTCCTTACAAGCAAAATGATCTGCAAATGCATTGAGATCATTTACTTGATAAACTCACTTAAAACAAGTAAAAAGTGTCAAGAAATAAGTTAAATAGTCTTATAATATTCAACAACCACCCCAAAATGATAAATATGAGACAGATTGACGAGATTTCAGATCATTTGACTTGACAAGATGCAGCCTTTCAGCTTTTATCAGGCGTAAACCGGCATATAAAGGAGGAGAACGCATGTCTGAGCTGCTCAGTTTTGCCTGTGGTGAAAATGTGAATTTCTTCTTTAAAATGTTTCGGCAGGTTAGTGTTTTTAGGAACGTAACAGAATTACACTTAGTGTATTATAGTGTGTGATTAATATTGTGATCAGTGTTGTTTACATAGTGGGGGAGTGTGATGAACTGCTGATTCTCTCTAATTGTTTTGTTTAACTTTTTTTTTTTTTGGCTTACATCTCCTAAGTGAGCGATTCCTTCATCATTGCATTGACACGTGAGCAGTTTACAGTGTTCCCAGTTCACTTTTTTTTAAGTTTTTAATCAATTTACTAGTTTTTTTTTTTCAGAATTTTAGTGCTAAAGTTGGTGCTGAAATTCCAGCTCAGCTGTAGTTCAGTGATGTGGATGGAGATGTGAGTTACTAGCAGGTTTTAAAGGGCTTTTTAATGAATGTTAAGCCATAAATGTATTGTTTATAGGATTATGAGCCAGATTTGTGGACATTAAGCCTAATCTCTGACTAAAGCGCTGTGGTTTAGTCTGTGGGCTTAATCTGGGTAATAATTATGAAGTTATATGTAATCTATAAACCATGAACTGACAATTTAGTCTCAAACTCATTTTTATCTGGTTCATATTTACAGTCATAATTGCGTTTTTCATCTACAGACCGCGAAGACTGTGAGCCTGTAAAAGGGCACGTTTTTAAATAATAATAATAATTCTTTTAGGGACCCTGAGTAAGAGTGACGGATCAAAAAGGCGTAGCACTGTGGCGCTAATGCAGAGAAAACCACGTATCTCCAAAATAATCTCTCAGGTCGGGGTGGGAAAGACATTAATATATTTTTTACATGTATTGTTTATTCTGTATTTTACATATTGTACATACTTTTGCATAGTTTTGAGCTCAGCGAACAAAACCGCAGTGTTTAGAGTTAGATTTACATGAAAGCCAGCTTTATGTATTTGAAACATATTTTTAAAATGTCCAAAATGGAGATATGTGGTACTTTGTAAAGTGACGTCACACCTGAATGCCTTTATCAGCGTAACACTGCTTTAGAGTCGAGTTTAAAAGTGTTTAATATTGATAATTATGCCATAGGAAGTGCCTTTTAGAGAATTTAGAATTTCTAATTGTCATTTTATGTAGAAAAAAATAATATTCATCAATTGTTTTGTCTTATTTTATTTTATTGCTGGCATGTTTTGTGTAGTTTGGAAATTTTGCATGTAAAACAAGCAGGAAGAGTTGTTTAACTTAAAGTACACTCTTAAAGGGGAGTACCACTAACTTAAAAAAAAAGAACTGCATAATTAAATGGTTAAAATGTAAACAGAGTCGTTCAGAGTGGTTTGGTGTGAAACACTCCTTTCTAGAGAAACTTACAGAGTCAGAATTGTTCACAGTGGTGGTGATAAGAACCAGACGTCCCTAAAAGCTCCCTCACAGAAAGTTACTACATGAAATGGTTATGAATTCACTGCCTGATGACTGAAACACTGTTTTATGATAGTTTAAGGAGATTTTGGCCTTAAACTCCATTCATGGTGGAGGGATACATGCTAAGGCAAAATAGTCCCCAAAGAAAACTTATTATTTCAGATTTTCCACTATTTTCCCATCATCAACATTCCATATAAACTCAGAAGACTCGTGTAGGTTCACTGGTGGTTTTGGATAGTAAATAAAATGTCTATATTTGTGTTGTAGTCATGGCGACCCCTGGTTCCTATCACCACCACTGTAAAGACATCTGAACCATTTCACACCAAACCACTCTGAATGACTCTGTTTACAGCTCACACACTGAGTTATGCAGAACATTTTGAAAAATCTGAGGGATTTCTGATTTATTTAAACAGATTGGGTTAGTCTTAGTCTGAATGATGCCACAAATGGTGATACTGCACTGAAAGCTTCAAAGTTCACATATTTTTAACCTTCATAATCTTTACGTAATCACAATGTGACCCTTGACCATTTGTACCTTAGCTATGTTTTGGAAAAAATCCCAAAGGTTTTAAGTTCAAGTCCAATGACAGTCGTGGACACAAACTGGAGTTTTAAAGCAGTGTGCCTTCCTACCGTTCGTCAAACTGCCCGGCCTTTTTTTGTCCTTTTTCGTGCAAAAAAATAAGGGAGTACTCTGGAATTTTTCAACCTAATCTCCATCTGCTTCCCCTGTACCGTACAGTCATTTAGAACAGAGGCTAATTTCAAAACATTTCCCTGGACTTAGGAAAGAGCAGAAAACCTGTTGACTCAAAACAAGTTGCTTCAGCGTCTGCCCACTGGGTTCCATTACAGCTGACTCGAGTCAAGGGGTTTTCTGTTCTTTTCTAAGCTCAGGGACCCATGTTGAAATGACTGTCTGTGCTAACTGACCATGTGATACACATGCAGGAGATATAGGTTAAGTGGGTGAATGATGAAGTATTCCTTTAACAGTTGCTTTGAACACTTTGCTGATACTGATCGGGGCCTAACCAAGTTTTATTGCACTCTCTGACTGTGAACACTAAAACCAATTGTAGCTCAGTCAAAGCTGTGTGATTTTAGGCAGGATTATGATATCGTTTCATTGGAGAGAAACATAATTGGCTAAGATTTGTTCCTTTTGGATGTACAGTAACAGAATTGCTAAATAAAATGTGTATAAATTACCTGTTGTGTGTTCATTTTATTAAGATGGAACGAAACAGTGTCACAAATATGAGAAAGGATAGTGTGAGCATAAAATTATAGTAATAAATACAACCCCATTTCCAAAAAAGTTGGGACGCTGTGAAAAATGTAAATAAAAACAAAATGCAATTATGTGCAAATCATTTAAACCCTATTTCTAAATAGCCTAAATTTCATTGAAAATGCTTCAAAGACAACATATCAAATGTTGAAACTGAGAAATTTTATTGTTTTTTGAAAAATATTTGCCCATTTTGAATTTGATGCCAACAACACGTTCCAAAAATGTTGGGACGGGGGCAACAAAAACTTTTTTAAACTGGTGAAGTTGTGTAATGCTAAAGAAAACATCTGGTGGTTAATTGGCAGGTCAGTAACATGATTGGGTATAAAAAAAGTATCTCAGAGAGGCGGAGTCTTTCAGAAGTAAAGTTGAGGAGGGGTTCACCACTGTGAAAGACTGCATGATCAGATACAACAATTCAAGAATAACATTTCTCAACGTAAAAACTTTTGTTTTTCCTCATCTACGGTCCATAATATGATTAAAACATTCAGATAATCTGGAAGAAACCATATATAAACAGGATCCAAAAATGCTGCCACCTTCTCTGGGCCCGAGCTCATTTAAAATGGACTGAGGGGAAGTGGAAAAGTGTCCTGTGGTCCAACGAATCAAAATTTGAAATTGTTTTTGGAAATTATCCTCTGGGCTAAAGACCACTCAGATGGTTATTAGTGCACAGTTCAAAAACCAGTATTCGTGATGGTCTAGGGGGGCATTAGTGCACATGGCATGGGTGACGTGCACATCTGTGAAGGCACCATTAATGCTGAATGATATATACATGTTTTTGCAACATATGCTGCCATCCAGACGACGTCTTTTTCAGGGAAGGCCTTGTTTATTTCAGCAAGACGATGTAAAACCACATTCCGCATGCATTACAACAGCATGGCTAGTAACCTGTCCAGACCTGTCACCACTGATAACATTTGGCACATTATAAAATGAAAAATGCGAAAAAGGAGACCCCGAACTGTTGAGCAGCAAGAATGGAAAACATTTCACTTTCTAAACTACAGCAGTGTCTCCTCAGTTCCCAAACGCTTACAGAGTGTTGATAAAAGAAGAGGTGATGAAGCACAGTGGTAAACAGGCCCCCGTCCCAACTTTTTTGGAATGTGTTGTTGGCATTATGAGAATGCCGACCTGTAATGTATTGGCGAGTCTGTTGAACAGCCATGTAGTGAACGGTAAGCATGTCACATAAAAAAATGCTGGATAAATATGGTCTATGTAATCTGCTGATCAGCCATATAGTTGGCTGTAAGCATTTCAGAAAAAAGGATGATGGTAAATATTGAAATTGATATGGTGTTCAAATATGAACATTAGCCTCAGACATCAGACTGTACAACTGCTCTAATTCATCTGTTCCTCATGCATTATCGCACATCTATGTATCTTCTGCACTGACTTTATTACTGTACCCTTTTACACTTCACTGTATTTTACAGCAGGACTGCACTGGGTACTTTATAACACTGCACCTGTGAACTACATCGTCTGAAGATTACTGTTAATAAGATGTAATGACACTTGATAATAACACTGGAACGCTAACTATAACAGGAACTGTCACTCCAATACCCAAGCTATACTCAATTGAGCTGCACTCTTAAAATAGATGGTTCTTCAAAGGTTCTTTAGTAAAGAAAATGAGCACTCAAAGAACCATTTGCATGATCAAAATTCTTTGCACCATGAAAGGGCTCTTAAGAACGTGCTGTAGATGGTTCTATATAGCATCCAAAAGGGTTCTTTTGTTGTTACGATGTCAAGCTTGTAATAATTGAAGAATCCTTTTCAAGATGGTTCTTTATAGAACCATCTATAGCACATTCTCCATCAACCTGAAGAACGCTTTGATGATGCAAAAGGTTCTATGAGTGTTTATAGTTCTTTGTAGCACCAAGTTTTTTGCTAAAGAACCCCTGAAGAACCTGTTTTAAGAGTATATAGTTTTATTTATATATATATATATATATATATAAATTATCTAAATATGTATACATATATATATATACACCGATCAGGCATAACATTATGACCACCTGCTTGTTTCTACACTTATTGCCCATTTTATCAGCTCCACTTACTATATAGGTGCACTTTGTAGTTCTACAGTTACAGACTGTAGTCCATCTGTTTCTCTGCATACTTTGTTAGCCCCATTTTACCCTGTTCTTCAGTGGTCAGGACCCCCATGGACCCTCACAGAGCAGGTACTATTTGGGTGGTGGATCATTCTCAGCACTGCAGTAACACTGATGTGGTGGTGGTGTGTTAGTGTGTGTTGCGCTGGTCTGAGTGGATCAGACACAGCAGTGCTGCTGGAGTTTTTAAACACCTCAGTGTCACTGCTGGACTGAGAATAGTCCACCAACCAAAAATATCCAGCCAACAGCGTCCTGTGGGCAGCGTCCTATGACCACCAATGAAGGACTAGAGGATGATTAGCTCATACTGTACAGCAAGAGATGAGCTATACATCTACAAGGTGGACTGACGAGGTAGGAGTGTCTAATAGAGTGGACAGTGAGTGGACACAGTGTTTAAAAACTCCAGCAATGGAATGTACAACTGTGGTTTTAAGGTCTGAATGTGAACCTTAAATAAGTGTTTTCAGGTGAAAAGTTTGTATTTGTACCTTTTCATAACCGAATGTTTTAAAACAGAACAGTAAAATAAAAGCCTGGAGACGAGACGGGGTGTGTGGAGTCAGTACAGCTTAGAACATATCATTTCAGTGGATTATGGTTCAGTTATGTTCCGTGACTGAAGGTATTGAGATGTACCCTTGAGGGTTCCACCCCAGTGACAAGAGGGGAACTGCCACAGAGACAGTTTGCACCTTTCTGAAAGTGAAATGTGAGGGGTTTGTGTCTTCTTTCAACACCTGTGTTTCTGTGACAATTCCCACTGTGATAAGTGAAGATGCTCTATTATTAATGTAGGGGATTTTAAGTTTTGTCTCCTAGAAGATATTCTCTGGACTGGAGTCTCATCACCAGGCCCATTTCCAAGAAATGTTTAGGATTATTTTCCAAAAAGGCAAAATTCTTTTGACATTGAGATTGTGAAGTCCTATAAGTACCTGGGTGTTCACCTCAACAACAAGCTGGACTGGACTGACAACACAGCTGCCCTCTACAGGAAAGGCCAGAGCAGGCTACATCTCCTGAGGAGACTCAGGTCCTTTGGCGTGCAGGGGGCCCTTCTCAGGACCTTCTTCGACGCTGTGGTGGCATCAGCCATTTTTTATGGAGTGGTGTGCTGGGGCAGCAGCATCTCCATTGCTGACAGGAAGAGACTGAATAAGATCAGGAAGTCCAGCTCTGTCCTGGGATGTCCTCTTGACCCAGTTGAGGTGGTGGGGGACAGGAGAATGAGGACTAAGCTAACAAACATGCTGAAGAACCTGTCCCACCCCATGCACCGCTCTCTGACAGCACTGAGCAGCTCCTTCAGTGCCCGGCTGCGGCACCCGCGGCGCGTGAAGGAGAGATACCGCAGGTCCTTCCTCCCAGCCGCTGTCAGACTCTATAACAGTCACGGCACTGAGTAGACAGTAGTTTACAATTACTTTCCATGTGCAAGAACTCTCAACATCACTGCCACAGCACTTTACTGTGTGCAATATCTCAACCCACCATGCGTAGTATATTCACTGCGGATCACTGTCAATATGTTTACCACCATTATGTGCAATTATGTCAAGTGCAATATTTCTCCATTTATTTACTGTTTATTTATTTGCTATTTTATTCACTGTGCAATACTCACTACAATACATACATTTCTACATTTCTAAATTTAAATTTAATACTTTGTATATTTTTCTTATAATCTTTGTACATATACATATATATCTTTATACTTTTATTGTTTATTCTATTTTATATATTGTTTGTATATTTCCTGCTGCTCTGTCTTCTGTGCTGCTGTAACACCGCAAATTTCCCCGTTGTGGGATTAATAAAGGATTAACTTATCTTATCTTATCTTATCTTATCTTATCCAGTCATGCATGAAAATATGTACCAGTTCCTTGTTTACAATTCCAACACAAATTATCCTTCAACACTTCCATTCCATAAAGCCGTGTCAGAGTAAAGTAATATCTGTGTAACACTTTATATATTGAATTAATTTGGCAGTTACTTTCTTAAGTGTCTCCCATTATTAGACATTGTTACCCCCTGTCTTTGTGTCTTTGTCAATAACATGCTACACATTTTCTTATTGTATTTCATTATTTTTACATTACTTATCTAATATTTTACATTAGTCTTATCTTAATATTTTATTGTTAATATAGAAATTATATTATGGCATTATCTCAATCAGCAGTACTAAAATTATTATGCTGTTAAATATTGGTAATAATAATACTGATTACCCCATTGATCCACCTTACTGGAAGCAATTTCAGCCAGCAGATGTTAAATATGCAAGCGTACTGCCCTCTGATTGGCTGGCGGCGCTGTCAATGATCGCCCTGTGGGTGGGTCGAGAGGGAGTGAAATGGCGACCCTGTCTGTTAGCGAGCCACAGGAGATGGAAGGTGAAAAATAATAATCCGTTTATTCCGAGCTTCGGTGTTGCTGTGTGAGGGAGCGGGCCCTGTTTTGTTCGTGTTGTCCTCGTCTTTAAGCTGAGGGGGGTTTTGTTTCTGCAGCTGTCCGCGTTTGTGCGATTTCACGCCATTCATTCAGTGTTTACGTTCACAGCGCTGGTTAGCTTTAGCTTTAGCTTAGCCAGCTGCTAGCGCCCAGGCTGCTCTGATTCCTATATCCTGCTTTAATGTGGGCGTTTTTATTAAATTAGTCATTTTTCAAATCAGTCATTTTTCCCATCTAAGCCATTCAAACTCAGCTGAGCTCGCTAAATTCACTTAGCTAACCCAGCTACGCTGAGCTAACCAGCTAACCTGCATCACTGCTCAACACAGGATGACTAGCTAGTCTATCGACATTATAATGCAAAGAAATATATATTTATATATCATGTACGCTTAAAAACGTGGTTCTTCAGGGGTTCTTCAGTAAAGGGAATGGTTCTAATTAGAACCATGAGTAATATAACTATTTGCATGCTTAAATGCTTCTTTGCATGGTGAAATGGTTCTTCAGATTGATGGATGTGTTGTAAATGGTTCTGTGTAGCACCGGAAAAAGGGTTCTGCTATTGTTAAGATGTCAAGCTTGTATACGATAGAACAACTTTTTTTGGTTCTATGTAGAACCATTTTCAAAAATAGAACCATATACAACACATACAACAACACATCTGGCATTCAGCTGATCTAACCTGCATTACTGCTCAATACAGGATGACTCTAGTCAGTCTGTCCACATTGTAATGCAAAAATTCTATATTTATATATCATGTACATTTAAAAACATGTCTTCAGGGGTTCTTAAGTAAAGGAAATGGTTGTAATTAGAACCATGAGTAATATAGAGAACGATTTGCATGCTTAAATGCTTCTTTGCATGGTGAAATCGTTCTTCAGATTGATGGAGAATGTGTTGTAAATGTGTAGCACCGGAAAGGGTTCTGCTATTGTTAAGATGTCAAGCTTGTGTACAATAGAACAACGTTTTTGGTTCTATATAGAGCCATATACAACACATACAGCAACACATCTGGCATTCAGCTAATCTAACCTGCATTACTGCTCAATACAGGATGACTGTATTCAGCGTATCTGGATTATAATGCAAAAAATTATATCTACATCTATACTCTTAATAAGGGAATGGTTCTACATAGAACCATGTGTTCCACATAGAACTATTTCTTCCTTAAATGTTTCTTTGCATGGTGAAATGGTTCATCAGACTGATGGAGAGTGTGCTGTATGTGGTTCTATATAACACCAAAGTAGGTTCTGGTATTGTTACAATGTCAAGCTTGTAACAATTGAAGAACACTTTTTGGTGCTATATAGAACCACATACAGCACACTCTCCATCATAACTGTTGCCTTTGCTAAAGAGCCCTTGAAGAACCACCTTTTTAAGTGTACATGTAATGCAGTATTATGTTATCAGGTCTAATGCTCACTAACTTTTGACATGCCTTATGGACGGTGAAGACGTCTGTGAACGTTTCCATTTTTCCGTATCGTTGAAATCAGTAGTGGGAAAAGATAGGAATGAGCAATATGATGATATTTTATCATGATAATGATAAAATATCATCACTACTTAAAGAACATTAAACAGTTGCATGTTTCGTAAAAAAAAAGCATAATTAGACCTGTTCATTGGATTTAGTGCAGTGCAGGGTTTTTATAATAATAACAATAATGATAACAACAATGGAAATAATAATAATACGAAAATATAATAATAAAATTACAACAACAATAATAATATAGTATTGTAATTATTAATGAATAATTATTAATTATAACATAGTATTGTAATTTTATTATATTTTGTGTCGTTGTTAGCATTATTATTATTATTATTATATGTGGCACTACATGTTCTAGTCGTAATAATAATAAATAATAATAAGATTATTGTTATTATTATTGTTTATTTTTTATTTATTTTCATATGTGGCACTATATGTTCTATTTTGTCTGTTCCATTTGATTAATCTCAGAAAAACTAAAAATTGTGGTGCATAGTGTTCATCGTGAAAGTGCCTTTGAGTATTGTGATATAATATTTTTGCCATATCGCCCACCCCTGCGGTAAACGTAACGATAATGGTAAAATGTCTTTAAGATTGCACCTTTAAAATGGACTGTATTTTTTATTATGTAATTTCTTCAAGATTAAACCAGAAGTCCAGCCTCCTTCACTTATTACTGCTAGTCGACTGAGTTGATGTTTTTAAGATTTGGAGGTGACCTGCTCACATCCATCAGCTTCTGTTTTATATGAAGCTCTATAAACTGCCTTTCTGTATATTAAAGATGCTGTACAAATAGTTTATGGTGCCTTTTTTGCTAAGAGTGCATTAGACCAAACTGTGGCTTTGCTCTGTGAAGTTGACAGGAGGGGCGAGTCTGAGGAGTCCGGCGATGATGAGACCAAGAGGAAGAGTCTTAATGGAGAGGTTGAGATTGATGCCCAGCAGGCCTCCACAGGTGTGACCCCTGTTCTCAGACCGTTCTGCTCATATGTGATCTAACTTTTTCCGTCTGTTCTTTTGGTTTTAACTTTCACCTCTTTTTCCTGCCCCTCCTTACAGTTCCAGAGGAGTCGCCTGTTGATATGGACACCATAACACTTGACCCTAATGAAGAGGTGAGCAGACAGGATTGTTTGTGGGGTTTTTCTCTATAATAATTACTATTTTTTACTAAGTACAGATGCTTCAGTTACACTTAAAAAAGGAAACCATTTGCACAAAAATGCCATATTTAAGTTTGTTCTTGCAGAGGATGTGTTTTCACTTACAGTAAATAAAAATAAAAACGTGTCATTTGACTGGGGGTGTTCAAACTTTTGCATACGACTGTAAATGATTTCTCCTCAGGATGTGGATCTGGTTCACTGTCGAATTGGGAAGATTGAGGGGCTTGAAGTTTTGCAGAAGGCTAAGGTGAGTGCCTCATTACTGTAACTGGGAAAGATGAATATCACAAGCTTGTATCTGAATTTTAGATTAATTAATATATCGTCACTGTATAAAAAAAAAGCAAGTGTCCATTTTTTATTATGTTTTATTTTTCAAATAGTTTGAGCTCAGCACCTGTCCTTTACATTGTGTGTAATTACATGATGATTAGACCAATAGAAACGCTCCAAAATTACTTAGAATAAAAGTTATATTATAGTTATATTAACTTACATTGAAAGCCAAGAACATTTCTGCCTTCTCCTGTAAAGATACCATTTTGGAGGTATTTGTTTTATTTTGGGTGGCGACGATATTAAAGCCACAAGAGCCACATTGTTTTACTGCAGTTATAGGGTGGTATGTACAAAGTAATGCTGGCTTATAAATTCACTTTAATCGCTGTCACTCACAGCCTTACTGCTTATATAAAACAGTGACAAACAGTTACAATACAGTAAAATACATCCATGTTCAAAGTATTTTATTGCAATAAACCTTTATTCTGCCAGGCAGTTTAGTTCATTAACAGTAGGATGTGGTTATGACATCATAATAATTCAATTTGTAATAACATGCCACATTAATACAGAGTTCAGCTGCTGTGTGTGGTGCATATTCGTGTGTATTGAGTATTTCAAACATGGCTCGTCCAGTGAGTTCTTCAGACCAGAGCTGTCCATTTATAATACTTAATGCTATCCATGTTCTGTTATGTGCACTGTAGACATGTCTTTAATAGCTTTCACTGTAATGACACATGCAAGAAAATACAGACTAAAAGTGCTGTGTGCTGTCAGACTCTTTCTCTCAGACAAAACCTGATCAAAAAGATCGAGAACTTGGAGAGCCTGGCCTCGCTGCGGGAGCTGGACCTCTACGACAACCAGATCCGCAAACTGGAGAACCTGCAGGCCCTCACAGAGCTGGAGTGAGTTACATACGTCCAGCAGCAGGATTTTACTCTACTTAGATCCCATGTGTCAAACACGAGGCCCGCAGGCCGAGTCACGCCCGTGACGCAAACCTATTGTAATTTTCTATTATTTTTAGCCCATTTCACCATGAGCTGCACTACAGTTCCCAACATGCACTGCAACATGATGTGTGCTCCCACCCTCTTACCAACAACGATCTACGGGACAGCACTACAAAAACAAAAAAAAAAGCTGGGTGTCCAGTTCAAGCGAATGGGCAGTTTTAAAAAAACCTGCTGCACACTCAGGACATTTAAAGAGGTTTAACAGTGATCTGCAGCTAATGTAGTCTATCTGTTTAAATAAACAATTTGTTTTTAAATTTAAGATTATTTTTGAATCAATTAGGTATTTAGTGCCTATTTTTGCTGTTGTAGTTTTAGAATATTGTTAATAAACAGTGGCCCGTTTGGGTCGTGGCAAAATGTTCAGTGAAAATAAAATAAAAACACAGCTGGCCCACAGATTTGCAGAGATTTTTAATAGGAATATTAAATAAGGAAAACACAAAAGCAGGATAAAATAACAACAGAAAAGCATATATATATATATATATATATGAAATATTTATAAAAATAAAAAAATTATATGTGTATAACATTACTGTCGGAACAAAACCTTGTGTATCCATTTTTGTTGTTTTTCAGTTTTTGACAGAATTTGAAAATGCCTGTTGTCCTTTACATTGTCTGTAAATTTAATGATGAATGGACCATAAGAAACGGCCCAAAATTACTTGGGAAAATGTCTGGTTCCATTGACTTCCATTAAAAGTAAAGTAGGTTTTTTCCTTCTCCTGTAAAGTTATAATTTTGGAGATACAAGGTTATTTCCCGACAACAGCTATATATATATATATATATATATATATATATATATATATATATATATTCAAAAGTACCCAAAAGTTTGGCCACCTCTGGTCAAATACAGGGAACACCTAAATATAGCATTTTTTTAATAAACAAATCTTAAATGTTCTAGAACAAAATGCCCTGTATATTTTCTCCACATGCTAAACTCAGCTGCTTATATATAAAAAATATGTCTGTGTAGAATATAATATATATATGAGCTGACAACTGATTAAATTACTCCTTCCTGTATGTGACAGGCAGCTAGACGTATCATTCAACCTCCTGAGGAAGATCGAAGGTTTGGAACGACTAACGAAGCTTAAGAAGCTTTTCCTGCTGCACAACAAGATAACCAACGTCGCTAACCTTGAACACCTCACTGGCCTTCACATGCTGGAGCTGGGGTCCAATCGCATCAGGGTGAGTGGGCTTAGGGTCACTGCACTGGTAAGAACATGTTATAAAGTTTTACAGCTACTTTACAAACATCTTTGGTTGATTCACAAAACTGTTCAAGAAAATTACGTTTCAACTACAGTTTGACGCAGAGGCAGCAGGTGGAGATTAAGTTGACTTTACGTGTTTAACAGTTTCACCTGTGTTTGTTTTTTCTTCTAGGTTATCGAGAATCTAGACACTCTTACCTCTCTGGATAGCTTGTTTCTTGGCACTAATAAAATCAGTCAGCTACAGAATCTCGATGGGCTGCATAACCTCACTGTCCTCAGTATTCAGGTACACTTCATTCAGTCTCACTCACACATGCAGGATTGTGAAACGTTGCATCCTTTACATGCTCCTTTCTTCTTCCTTGTCCTCTTACTTCTCCTTCTGCTTGGCAGAGCAATCGTATCACAAAGCTAGAGGGCCTTCAGAACCTGGTTAACCTGCGGGAGCTCTACTTGAGTCACAACGGCATCGAGGTTATTGAAGGCCTGGAGAACAATGTAAGTCCAAAAGAGCTACACAATATACACCGATCAGGTATAACATTATGACCACCTCCTTGTTTCTGCACTCATTGTCCATCTTATCAGCTCCACTTACTATATAGGTGCACTTTGTAGTTCTACAGTTACAGACTGTAGTCCATCTGTTTCTCTGCATACTTTGTTAGCCCCCTTTTACCCTGTTCTTCAGTGATCCACTTGTTCCAGCACAACACACGCTAACACACCACCACCACATCTGTGTTACTGCAGTGCTGAGAATGATCCACCACCCAAACAGTACCTGCTCTGTGAGGGTCCATGGGGGTCCTGACCACTGAAGAACAGGGTGAAAGGGGGCTAACAAAGTATGCAGAGAAACAGATGGACTACAGTCTGTAACTGTAGAACTACAAAGTGCACCTATATAGTAAGTGGAGCTGATAAAATGGACAATGAGCGTAGAAACAAGGAGGTGGTCATAATGTTATGCCTGATCAGTGTATAATGTTTATCATTATCACAACATTGACTTTTGCAATGCTGATGTGGTGAATGTCCAAAATTATACAGACAACCCTTCTGATGCATTAGTTCAGCTTTTTTACGTCCATTTATGACGTGTTTTTATTTTATTTATTGGTTTTTTTAAACTAGGTAAACTAGGAATAAAACAAAAATATAGGCTAATTTAAAACATAAAAATGCAACATATTAAACGAAAGACTTTATAATTTTAAATGATAAAAAAGTAAATATAAAAAATAAAACTATGAAATAATTTAAAATAAAATTATAAAAACATAAAATAAATAAATAAAAAGGGGTGGATATAAAAGAGTAGCAGCTGTAGTATTGCACATGAGGGTATTGCACGTATGTGAATGTAAATGTTTCTGTTGCAATTTAATAATAAATATAAAGTGCATATGAGTGTAAACATGCGTTTGCTTCAGATTACGTCGATAGGCTTGTGAGAAAACAGCTTGGTAGAATGGCTCGGATGGACATTTAAGCTAAATTTATGAACTGTTATCATCCTCGTAACATGCTGCTTTCCGGTACTGTTCCACCCTCAAACTCTGGAGCTGGAGCGCAGGTATTGTAAAATGCCAGTATGCGGGTCCGTATTGTTGGCACGTACCTAAAGTTTGTAAGAGAGTAGTCTGCTCCATCTGCTATGGTCCACCAGTTTCCTACTGAGGCAAACACATGCAAACTGTGGCTTTTGGCGACAAACCACAAACAAGCAAGAGAGACGTGAAGTGACCGTGCAAATTCTCCACGTATGTGCTGATCAGTTTTCATCTGATTATTCTACAGAAGACTGAAACACTCCTTATAACTTCAGTGTGAGTGGGTGGGGCTACGAATGTATTTAAATGTGTTGTTTTTCGTGATGTCACAAAAACAGCAAATTCAAAACGAGCTGTTTTTGAAGTCTAGTTTCCGTACATGGACCGTGTGAACTGGGGAGTGAACAGTACACTTTGAAACTTTTAAATAGTACTACATCAAACTGTACTATTAAGAGGAAACCTTACTTTTTTTTCAGAATGTAATAACATGTCCAAACCGGATGGTTCATATTCCTTAAATAATGGAATGAAGGAAGGGGAAAAAAACTGGGACATGTTCAAATCCTTTCATAACTGCCTCATATAGTTTCAGAACAATTTTGCAATCCAAAAATCATTTCATATTTGAAATCCTCTGTTGGACCCAGAGGGAATTCATGTCACTTTAGATGTGTGTTCATGTCCAGCTTTTTCCTTTTTCAGTTTCCTCCTGTTTCCCCAGAATATCTACAGAGTGATTCTGTCTTTTATCTTCCTCTGGCTCAGTTCCTCTGTTTTCATTTTTTCTTTTTTTACAGAAAAAGCTGACAACCCTGGACATTGCAGCAAACAGGATAAAGAAAATTGAAAACATAAGTCACCTAACAGACCTGCAGGAATTCTGGGTAAGTGTCAATAGCCTTTTTTCACTGTGGGACTGAACGATCCTGAACACAGAGGGTTCTAATGGCATTTCCACCTGAACACGATGTAGGACAGAACGCTTACACTGCAGAAGTGACATCTTAGCAAATTAAATCATATTTAGTCTAGTCAGTTTATCAATGGTGGTTATTAATGATTGGTTGCTACTGATTTCTGGAACTGTGCCGTGATCGGCTGGCGGTCGGTGGTCGTCAGAGCTTTTGCTGCATATAAAAAAACTCGAACAGGACTTTCACTCTAAAAGACGACCTTCATAGTCCGCCAGTACAGCAGCGTTAGCCGAAACACTGCCTGTAATTACTGAATTCTGTCCTTGTTAATGTTCAGTAAGCATGATTAATCACTCTAAGCGAGTGTGGTTTCCTTGCGCGAGTAGTTCTCTTCATGTGCACGAGGGGTTTTCCTCACTAAACTACCAGGAAAACTACTCTCGCGCGAGAGTGGTTTTACTTGCTTGCAAATTTTGAATTGGATTTGACGCCACAGGGGACAAAACAGAAAGCAAGTCCACACCTCGCCATAAAGATGGCTATGCTGAGATAAAATGGACAACTGCAGTTTTCTTCATATCAAACAGTCCTGCTCAACTGGCACAATAAACAAACAGCATTCAAACACTATAAAATCATTTTTATAAATGTTAACTTGCTGATCTACAAAGACAAAAAATCCTGTTCTAGTTTTGAAAAATGTGCATTTCCATCAGAATAAATTCCATCAGTGTTGCTGAAGAACAGAAATGCACAGTAAATCCAAAACGTGGGAAACTGCATTATACACCAATCAGGCATAACATTATGACCACCTCCTTGTTTCTATGCTCATTGTCCGTTTTATCAGCTCCACTTACTATATAGGTGCACTTTGTAGTTCTACAGTTACAGACTGTAGTCCATCTGTTTCTCTGATACTTTGTTAGCCCCCTTTTACCCTGTTCTTCAGTGGTCAGGACCCCCATGGACCCTCACAGAGCAGGTACTATTTGGGTGATGGATCATTCTCAGCTCTGCAGTAACACTGACGTGGTGGTGGTGTGTTAGCGTGTGTTGCGCTGGTACAAGTGGATCAGACACAGCAGTGCTGCTGGAGTTTTTAAACACCTTGTCCACTCACTGTCCACTCTATTAGACACTCCTACCTTGTCGGTCCACTTCGTAGATGTAAAGTCAGAGACGATAGCTCATCTGCTGCTGCACAGTTTGTGTTGGTCATCCTCTAGTCCTTCATCAGTGGTCACAGGATGCTGCCCACAGGACGCTGTTGTCTGGATATTTTTGGTTGGTGGACTATTCTCAGTCCAGCAGTGACACTGAGGTGTTTAAAAACTCCAGCAGCACTGCTGTGTCTGATCCACTCGTACCAGCGCAACACACACTAACACACCACCACCACGTCAGTGTTACTGCAGTGCTGAGAATGATCCAGCACCCAAATAGTACCTGCTCTGTGAGGATCCATGGGGGTCCTGACCACTGAAGAACAGGGTAAAAGGGGGCTAACAAAGTATGCAGAGAAACAGATGGACTACAGTCTGTAACTGTAGAACTACAAAGTGCTCCTATGCAGTAAGTGGAGCTGATAAAATGGACAATGAGCGCAGAAACAAGAAGGTGGTCATAATGTTATGCCTGATTGGTGTAGACTTCTGTGGAAAGGAGTTAAAAGAAGCTGATTTCTTGACAGACCGCTGGCCTCTCATTGCATTTCGCTGTTCTTCTCTGTCTGTATTTTTCTCAGATGAACGACAACCAGATAGAAAACTGGAGCGACCTGGACGAGCTGAAGAACGCCAAAGGTTTACAGACGGTGTATCTGGAGCGAAACCCCCTGCAGAAGGACCCTCAGTACAGGCGCAAGATCATGCTGGCCTTGCCCAGCGTCCGGCAGATCGACGCTACCTTCATTCGCTTCTGACCCCATGACCTCCGGCCCCACCCCCGCCTCCCATAACCCTCCAAATAGACCTCTGAGGCCGGGTCGTCATTTCGTGGCTGGCCGTCGGCGTCCATGCTAGCTTCAGGTCTCGATGGGAAAAATGAGTGGTGTTACTGTCGCACTCTGTGGTGAACGGAAATCTTTCAAAGCCGATGTGTTTTGACCTGTATACAGTTCAGATCCTCTGGATTACGAGGTCATTAATTAATCAGAATGCTGAAGCTAACACTTCTGCACACTGAATTGACATCATAAGACTGGAAGCATCACCAGAACACCCCACACACCAGCGAGCTGTGGCAGGTTAAGGCTGCAGAGTGAGTAGCTGGTGTTATATAGCAGTGTTGAAGTTTAGTATTAGTAGATTAAATGTGCAGTAGTGTTTGCTTATAGCATGTATGTATCAATTTTAGCATATTGAGTGCTTAACAACCTGGAAATTCAGAGAACGCAGTGACATTTGAGGGGAAAATGTACATACGACAAAATAGATCAGCTTTTGGAACTGAAAATATCTTCTCAAGTAAAATCATCTTAAATCTAGTCAACATAACTAATATTTCTCATAAGTTTCTGGTAATAATATTCTAAAATTACTGAATGTATTTCTGGACATTTGTGCTTGGCTCAAAGGATCCATGTTCTGCATTTTGTTATGTATTTTATTTTTTTCCTGCTTGTGTGGTTTCCTGTACCGATTCATTTTTACATGACCATTTTTCTGCCTCCGTTTTTCCCTGGCTGCGCCTTTTAAGACTGATAGGTAAATGAGCTCTGCTCTGATTGGCTGCCCTGAAGAGCTTTTCAGTCTGAAACACCCCTTATAACTTCAGCGTGAGTGTGAGGGGCTAAACTGCTGTAGGCTGAATAGGTGGATATATCGCTGCTGTCGGAAGAAAACCTTGCATTTCCATTTTTGATGTTGACATAATTTGAAAATACCTGTTACTCTTTACATTGTGTATGAATTTCACGATGAGTGGATGAAAAGAAACGGCCCAGAATTACTTGGGAAAAATTCTGTTTCCATTGACTTACATTAAAAGTAAAGTAGGTTTTTTCCTTCTCCTGTAAAGTTACCATTTAGGAGGTTTTCTTCTGACAACAGCGAAATGTAAATGCTTTTTGTGACATCACAAAATTGGTAAATTCAAACCAGGTTGTTTTTGCAGCTTAGTTTCCACATTTGGACTGTAAAACTGGGGAGTAGATGGTACACTTTGAAACCTTACGGGCCTTTAAGTCGTTTTACCGACACTCTTAAAGATGGTTTTTCAAGGGTTCTTTAGTAGAGAACCATGAACACTCAAAAAAACCTTTACATGATTGAAGGGTTGTGAAAGGGTTCTTCAGACTGATGCAGAATGGTGTTTTTAAAAGGGTTCTATACAGCCCCAAAAATGGTTCTGTTTTGTTACGATGTCAAGCTTGTAACAGTAGAAGAACCCTTTCAAAACATATTCTCTATCAATCTGAAGAACCCTTTCACGCTTCAGTCGTGCAAAGGGTTCTTTGAGTGTTCATGGTTCAGTTTAGAACCATTTACTTTACTAAAGAACCCTGTAAAACTGGGGAGTAGATGGTACACTTTGAAACCTTACGGGCCTTTAAGGCATTTTACCTACACTCTTAGGATCTTCAAGATGGTTCTTCAAGGGTTCTTTAGTAGAGAAAATGGTTCTGTATAGAACCATGAACACTGAAAGAAACCTTTGCATGATTGAAGGGTTGTGAAAGGGTTCTTCAGACTCATGGAGGATGATGTGTTTTGAAAAGGGTTCTATACAGCCCCAAAAATGGTTCTGCTTTTGTTACGATGTCAAGCTTGTAACAATAGAAGAACCCTTTCAAAATACATTCTCCATCAGTCTGAAGAACCATTTCACAACCGTTCAATCATGCAAAGGATTTCTTGAGTGTTCTTGGTTCAGTTTAGAACCATTTTCTTTACCAAAGAACCCTAAAAGAAGCATCTTTTTAAGAGTGTAGAGAAATTGATTTATTGTACTGGCAGATCATTTTGACCATTTATTGATGTGAAATGACTGAAAACAAGTAACAAATGTCTTGAAATCGGTTAAATAATCTCATTCTTACATCTCAAAATGTGAAATATTGTATGTGTTGACTAGATTTAAGGTGTTTTCACTTACTAGGAGAGAATTTTAGCAGTGTTACTTGGTGAAATGGTGACATTCACTGTTCATTTTTCCCATTGAGAAAAACAGCTCAGACCTGGAGCTCCTTATATGGACGTGTCACCAACCACACAGTGACTCGCGACCTCAGCGGTCTGCGGAGCTTCATATCAAAACTTGCCTCATGTTCCTCACGCACACTCCAGCTGCTCTTCCTCTTACGAAACCCTGCTTCTCCTCACTTTCAGACGAATAAAATCACACCACGCGCTCCTGATGCCCGCGTGCAGACACCCTTTACTCTCTCTCTCCCTCACGTCCCTCGACCCTGTAACGAGACTGAAGTTGGCTTCTTATTCGCCGGCTTCGTATTTTAATCTTCCGTTCCACCTTAAGTGGCGCAGCGAAGAGCCGAAAGATTCATCGTTTATATCAAAATTGCAATTTGAGTCCCAATTTTTAAATCGCAAGAGCTGCAATTTTTTATTATGGCTTACACTCTTAAAAAAAGATGGTTCTTCATGGTTCTTAAAAAGATGGTTCTTTAGTAAAGACAGTGATTCTATGTAGGACCATGAACACTCAAAGACTCATTTGCATGCTTAAATGGTTCATTGCATGGTGAAATAGTTCTTTAGATCGATGGAGAATGTGTTGGTTCTCTATAGCACCAAAAAGGCTTCTGCTATTGTTATGATATCAAGCTTATATACAGTAGAAGAGCCTTTTCATTGCTACATAGAACCATATACAACTCATTCTCCATCTGTCTGAAGAACCATTTCACCATGCACAGAACCCTTTAAGCATGCAAATGGTTCTTTGAGTGTTCATGGTTCTGTATAAAATGATTGTCTTTGCTAAAAACCCTTGAGGAACCATCTCAAGTGTGTACGTTATCAAAAACCTCTTATGTTTTAAGAGGGGAAATTGAACCTAATAACACAGAGCTTGTGAAATGCCTGTAGAGGAGTTAGACCAATCAGAGGAAACCAAACCTCCATGTGTTGTGACATCACAACCACAACTTACTGGTAGTTTGGAACACTACATTCAGGGGTCGAGCCTCAAACCAGAATAGGTGGATATTCAGGTCTTCTTGGCCAAAAAGAAGCCTTATAATGAAAATTATAGCAATTTAAATCGCAATTGAATTTTAGTCTGAAAAATCTCAGTTAGGTATTTTCCCCAAATCACTGAGCCCTAGTGCAGCAGCTACAGCCAGGAAAAACATAGCAGTCGTCTGCGTCCGAAGGCGGCATGCAGTCACACAAGTGCTGCCATGGCGACAGCATCATTGGTGAAAACGGATGGAGATTTAGCGGTTAGAATGTGTATTTAAAGTGGAATGAAGGCAGAGGAGCGCTTGGTCCTCCTATCTGTTGTTTGTTAATACAGCACCTCAACAAAGAGACAGAAAATTCGGAGAAAGACGTAAAATAGCAATGCAGTGAAGGAGCGGAGCATAGCTGAAACAGTTCAGTGACGTTATTATAATCAGTCAGATAACTGATTTCACAATATCATAAATACCTTTATTTCTGCACAGCTTCCAAACTTTGCACTGTTCACTAATTGATAAATTGTTTTTAAATTTGCGTTACTGCTTAGCCCCAAACTGACCCCTAAACTACCCTCTTAATACAAAAGATGGTTCTTCAAGGGTTCTTTAGTAAAGACAGTGGTTCTATATAGACCCTTGAACACTCAAAGAAGCCCCTGCATGATTAAAGGGTTCTTTGCATATTGAAATGGTTCTTCAGACTGATGGAGGATGTGTTGTACATGGTTTCAAGCTTGTAACGATAGAAGAACCCTTTTCAAAAAGGTTCTATATAGAACCATCTATAGTGCATTCCTGCACATTTTCCATCAGTCTGAAGAACGCTTTCATGATGCGAAGAACATTTAATCACGCAAAGGGTTCTTTGAGTGTTCATAGTTCTATATAGAACCGTTTTCTTTACTAAAGAACCCTTGAAGAACCATCCTTTTTTAAGAGTTATATAAGCACTTCTACATTGTTATACAAACTCTTGAGCTTGACTGTTAACAAGTTCACTTTAAAGCAAGCTGGGCTTTTGTTTTGTTCTTCTGTTGTCATGATAATTATTATTATTATGTCACTAAATTATTAAAATATGTTTTTCCGTGTTTAGTATCTTCCCTGCTAAACTGTTTTAAAGTTAAAGCTGAGTTTAGCTTCTTATTTATCTATTCCCTTCCACCTTAAATGGTGCAACACTTACATTCTGACGCCTGAGGTGCGTCTGTTTTCCCGTTCCACCTTAAATGCCATCTGAGGCTTCTTATTCTCAGCGGCAGAATGTACGTGCTGAACCATTTAAGGTGGAACAGAATAGTTGAATAAGAAGCTAAGCTCAGCTTTCATTTTAAAACAGTTTAGCAGCGAAGATACTGAACACGGATAAATATATTTTAATAATTAAGTGACATCATAATAATAATTATGACAATAGAAGAACAAAACAAAAGCCCAGCTTGCTTTAAAGTGAACTTGTTAACAGTCAAGCTTGTTAGTGTGATGTGACTTTGAGCAAGAAGCCTCAAATGACCGCATGTAAGTCCTGCAGCATTTAAGGTGGAACCAAAATGTTCAGTTAACAAACCTCAGGCGCCATAATGTGAGCGCTGCAGCATTTAAGGTGGAACGGAAAATTCAAATAAAAAGCTGGCTAATAAGACGCCGCCCTTCAATTGACCTATGCTATTGTACGAAATTCTTAATCGTTTTTTTTTCAGTTCAGGGCTGTGACCCTGCTGAGTGTGATGTGACTTCAGAAGGGAAGAAGATGAAATGCACTCGCACACGTACCTTTGTGTTACGCACTTATTTAACGATTTGATATCAGATCAGAAACAGTAGTTTTTATTTATTTCTTTTTTTTTTGCAGCACTTCTCCATGCAGTATAACCAGGAAAAAATATAAAGCAAACGTTTACTAAGGCTTTGCTCACTTGTGCATGTAGATACGCTGGAGAACTATTATTATTTTTGTTTTTATTGTCCATATGATCTTGTGTTGAACACTGTAGGTGCAGGAAGAAGAGCTAAAAGCTAAAAAGTGGATTTTGTAATTAGCTGTGGAGTCTTACTCGAGGTTTGGAGCAGGGAATTCACTGTCCTTGGCCGAAATACAACTAAATTTATTGAGTAAAACCTCAAAATCGAATGGACCACCTGTCAGGAGGTTGTTTGAGGTTTTAAAGCCACAATTAATCATTTAAAAGCTAATTTAAATCAGGGTTGGGCATTTTTATGTGATTCAGTCTGCTTTAAATTGACTAAAACAACATCTATTGGTCATTTGCACAGTACTAATTTTAAAATTGACATTATTCATGGTAAAATTTATAGATTACAATCATTTAAATAGAATAAATGAGGCAACATTGGGTAATTTATGTGTAATTTTGCTGATTAATATGGATTGTAGCTTTAAAAATGTCCACAGTAAGTGAGTGGGTATTGATAAAGAGCGAATAATATTGCAAATACATATAAGAACTAAAGGCTTTGATTAGCTAATTGGATTAAAAGGGGGAGGGGCTTCAGCTAGTAAAGCTTTCACATTAAAGGCGTCTTAAAAGCAAAGAGCTGGGAGGTTCAGCTGGTGCTTCGTAAGTAAAGCCCATTATAAACAAAATAAAAAAGGGACGTGTTTGATTAACAGCGCTTAAGCAGATCCGCTGATCTTTAAAGGAGAAGCTGGGCCCAAAATGCTAATGTCGCTAACAGTTAATGATACTCTATAGCAGTTATTTAGCGTTATGGCGCCGATCGGTGGCTAATAGCTTCCACTCATAATTAGCTATGTTAGCATGTTTGGTCGAGCTAGCCCTGCAGGGCCTGCGCAAGCTGTGATACTTCAAACATGCCAGTTCTGTTTAGGATTTGTTTCAATTAGAATGTTTTTTTTTCTTACATTTATTATTTTATTTTATTTTATTTTATTTTTTAATTATGTTTTACAAGTGCTTGGTTGACTGTTTTGAACTGAATGTATTATAAACAACAAAATAAACTTAATTTGAAAAGTGCTCATAGAGGTGGCTGTGAATGTGCATTAAATATCAAGATTATTAAACAATAAATAATAATGATATATTTAATACTATATTTCATGGGCTACATTATCACACAGAAATGCCATAACAGTCATAATGATAAAGTAGGGGTGGGCAAGACAATGATATTTATCGTTATTGGGATCAGTTACTTCAGGGGATCTCTACTTTCTCCACCTTAAGGTCCACCTGTTAAGCACTAAAAAGCATGAAAGCCCACAGAAAAACAAAACAAACTTTTTTGCTTAATAAATCATTTTGGGAAAGAGCAATTGCTGGGTGGAACAACCTGCCATGTACACCGATCAGGCGTATCATTAAGACCACCTCCTTGTTTCTACGCTCATTGTCCATTTTATCAGCTCCACTTACTGTATAGGTGCACTTTGTAGTTCTACAGTTACAGACTGTAGTCCATCTGTTTCTCTGCATACTTTGTTAGCCCCCTTTTACCCTGTTCTTCAGTGGTCAGGACCCCCAAGGACCCTCACAGAGCAGGTACTATTTGGGTGGTGGATCATTCTCAGCTCCGCAGCAACACTGACGTGGTGGTGGTGTGTTAGTATGTGTTGTGCTGGTACGAGTGGAACAGACACAGCAGTGCTGCTATATAGTAAGTATATAACCTATATAGTAAGAGGAGCTGATAAAATGGACAATGAGCGAAACAAGGAATTGGTCATAATGTTATACCTGATTGGTGTACATCACTGAGCATTAAATATCAACAGATTAGGCGAACATAAGCTTGTTTTATGCCTGAAATCAAGCGTGACTATGGAAAATTGATCTACGTTTATCTCTTGGGCAAAAATAGATGAAGTTGCTTTGTGCACCATTGTTGCAGGACTTGTATTATCAATGTTTACTGTTTCAGAACACTTTATATTTCTGTCTTATTATTTAGTTGACTTTTTATGACAAAATACCATTACTGGCCCACCATGGACCACTGGCTCCTCAGTATTTGCCCGAGGACCACCAGAGGGTGCTTTGAGGCTCACTTGTGGTGGTTGAGAAACCTCGAAATACACAGTTTGCTTTTCCGAGCATATTGTGGACATTGCAAATGCTTAAAGAACACTGACCAGATGAATATAGTGCACTTTTATAATTTTTTAAGGACCAAAAAATTTAAATACTGTGATGAATGAGAATGTATTATGATGTTTTTGCCTCTAAGTCCAATCTTACTTTTAGCAACATAGACCTTTTTGTGTTGTAAATATATAATTTACTCCATTTAAGTTAAAATGAAAAATGTGCAAATTTGATTTTTCTCTGAACTACCCCTTTAAAATCGCTGTAGTTCCAGTCGGACTACATTACCCAAAATCGCAGCAGAGTGACGAAACGCTTTGCCGTCTCAGATAGCGCCTGTGATTGGTCAGCCGCGCGCATGCGCGTGTCTGTGTTGTTGACAGAGAGATGGAGGCGCTCGGAGACGCAGCAGCGCCGGGGCTGAAGGGGTTAATCCAGCAGTTCACTGCCATAACAGGTAAATATCTACATTTTTAGTGACCCAGATCAGCTTTGGGGAGATTAGGGAATAGTTTAGGTGGAGCTGGAGGGGATAAAGGGGGCCTGTTGGCCCTAAACTGCCCCTTCTGCCTCACTGGGGTAGATTCCAGGCTAAAGCTAACCTGCTAATCCACTCACTAAACATGAGCAATAGATAAAAAATACCAACAGTGGGAAATTAGGTGGAATAATAGTGCAGAAGTGAGTCTGACGCGGAGAGTAAAACATGCCTTGACCCAAACTTGGAGCTGCTTTCGCATCGCTGCATGCATCACTTTCTGGAAAAGGAAAAGATGCAATTTTTGTAACATTACTTTAAAGTTGGAAAGCAGTAGAAACGGAGCGCCTTGCATACGAGAACATTCCGCGTTGTGGCAGATTTGTGCGAACAGGTCGATCGAGTGGGCTTTTAGCACCGTTCGTGCGGTAATATTGTGATTTGGGCAACTTCAGCCTCATTTCAAGTGATTCAGAGCGAAGCAGTGAGCCAAGCAGCAATATGGCGGGGTTGCAAAAGCTGACAATATTCACTTTATACGAGGCTGAAGCGGGCTTCCTATTCGCCAGCTTCTTTTTTTCGAATTCTCCCGTTCCACCTTAAATGCTGCAGCGGTTACATTCTGGCGCCTCAGCAGCCAATATGTAACCGCTGCAGCACTTAAGGTGGAACGGGAGAATTCGAAAAAAAGAAGCTAACTTCAGCTTTATCCATTCTTTTTTCCCGCTGTTGACTCAAAATGTGTCTAAAATGCGACAGTTTCGATGCTGGAGGGGCTCCCGAAGGACTATTCCTGCGGTTATGACCGTTTAGGAAACAAAACGAAGCGAGTTTCGAGCTCAAACTTTCACTTTTGTCGCTGAAACGCAGGGATGGAAATACGAGCGAGGGGAAACGGCGTACTACCGCGCACGCGCGGAGGGGGGGGGCGGGGCTGAACGCTGCCTATTGGCGCGATTTGATTGGCTCGTTTTGCCCGGGGGGCGGAACAAACGTGTTCAGTGTTCAATTTTTCATTTGAATTTCTGATAAAAATACGTTTTCAGAGAATTTAAATACAATTTTGGCGTTTAGTCTAGTTTTTAAAATTATAAAAAAAATCGATTTGTGTCCTCATGTTATTATTAGAGTGTTATAATATAATATATATAATATATAAGTTCACCTGAATGTTTTAGTATAAACATTATTTAATAAACAGTTTTTAACTGTTAGTAATGCACCAGTCATGAAAGTTTATGGCTGATTACAATTTCTTTGTTGTTTTTTATTTTTTTAGTGGGCATGCACCGATGTGAGAATTCTGCAAATATCTAATATATAAATATTTATAAAATGTTGATATTGGGGCTAAATCTAATTGCATAAGTGTTACAGCTTCCACCTTTAATCCCAGTATGGTTTTCATGCGTGTGCTTGCGTTTTTAATTATTAGGAGCTACAGAAAGTGTGGGGAGACACATGCTGGAGGCATGTAACAATAACCTGGAGATGGCGGTCACCATGTTTTTGGACGGAGGAGGAATCACAGAGGAACCGAGCACAAGTTCCAGTTCGGCTGGAGCTTCCGGCAGCAGACATCCCCATTCAGAGTGAGTACATTGTTTATAGAGAGATTAATGTAGCTGTTGTTGTTACGTATGTTGCATCTGTTGTGTGTTGTTAGGTTGTGTATGATAGAGATGTTAAATCCAAAAATGATTAATATTATTATTATTATTAATCATTGACATAACAGTTATATCGCTGTTGTCGGAACAAAACCTCGTATCTCCAAAATGGTAACTTTACAGGAGAAGGAAAAAACTTACTTTACTTTTAATGTAAGTCAATGGAAACAGAATTTTTTTCTAATTAATTTTAGGCCGTTTCTTTTAGTCCATTCGTCATGAAATTTAACCACAATGTAAAGGACAACAGATATTTTAGAATTATGTCAAAAACTGAAAAACGACAAAAATAAAGATACAAGGTTTTGTTTCGACAGCAGCGATATAATGCACTCCCAGAGTACTAGACTGTCTCTGGGGCAGTTCCCCTCTTGTCACTGGGGTAGAATCCTCAGGGGTACATCTCAGTACCTTTAGTCAGGGAACATAACTGAACCATAATCCACTGAAATGATATGTTCTAAGCTGTACTGACTCCACACACCCCGTCTCGTCTCCAGGACTTTATTTTACTGTTCTGTTTTAAAACATTCGGTTATGAAAAGGTACAAATACGAACTTTTCACCTGGAAAAGCTTATTTAAGGTTCACAATCAGACCTTAAAACCACTGTTATACCTTTGATGGAACATTTACACAGTTTGTACTTTGACGAACAAAAATGTACCTGAACAGAACCTTTATTTCTAACAGTTTATACAGACAGACTTAACAGCGCATCTTCCTTGTGTTGGATAGTAAAAAAAAACTATATTTCTGAACAGTGTTTGATTATTGATTATTTAAAAAAATTCTGCATTACTCTTTGTATTTATTTTGAATCCAGTTTTCTTATATTTACCCACTTCTTTGTTTATTTATTGTGACTTTGTAACTTTGATGTACCTTGTATTGCTGCTGTAATGGCAATGAGTGCACTTGCACATTCACATGCACTTAATAATCCAGTAACTGCAGAAAACTCACAGAAGACGCGACGTAAACATAATGTAAAACTCAACGGTCGCGCCGCAGCTTTTTCCTTTTTTTAAAACATTGCGCCACTTTACCTGAAAATATGAACAAACATCATATAGACGATGAAGAATATGTAAATCCTTCTTTTCATCAAGCATGTAGTTGCAAAAGTGTTTTGCTGCGTCTCGTGGGTGCTGTGTTAAACGCTGCTCGCTTATTTCCAGCGTCACGGTCTGTTTTCGCACATGTGCTGACCGAGAAATCCGAAAGAAATCAGAGTAAGAGTTTACATGCACTGAGAAATCTGATTACTGAGTTAAAATCCAGCCTCTTTATCAGATTTCTTGATCAGATTTCTTGACCTTACTCCAATCTACGAAATCTGAGTGTGCTGTTTACACGACCATTTGAATAATCAGATAACTGCAGAAACCAGATTATGATCGGATTATTGAGTGCATGTAAACACACTCATTGTTTTTTCTGTTTTTTTTTTTTTTTAAGTTTTTCTATCTGTCTAGTTGTGGTTATTATTGTTATTATTATTATTATATTACTACTGTTATTCTGACAGAGATGATGTTCGAGCGCCAATCCCTCAGAAGCAGGAGATCCTGGTGGAGCCCGAGCCTCTGTTTGGAGGTATCCACCTCAATCTTTTGTTTGGATTTGGTTCAGTTGGTTTTGCACTGCAATGCACTTCAATGGTGTACCAAATTATACATATATTCTCTAGTTGTTCTTAGTTTTGTTATTTTACTAAATCAGCCTTGGCTACATCAAAAAATGTATTCTTATTTAAAAATGGTGGATGTTATTAAACATTAGCAAAATTTTAACATTTAGCCTTTTGGGGGTCCTGAGCAGGATTTTTTTCATCTTGCTAGATGGACCTACTTCGTTAGACAGACCCCAGATCCATAATTACATTTCCAACTATAATCCGAAACAAATAACACCTCAATAAAACAAAGGCTACGTTCACATTACCAGGTTGAAGTGGGACAAATCTGACTTCTTGTCCTAATGTGACTCGGATCTGATGTTTTCAGAGCTGTGTGGACACAAATCTGATCTTTTCAAATCTGACCTGAGTCACTTTCATATGTGGTCCTAGATCAGATACGTATCCGATTTTGTGGCCATGCGACCTTAATATGGCGCTCAGATCGGAATCCGTGTGCTTTTTTTCCACTGCCTTTTTAAGTGCACGATTCCTTAAATAACCATTTTTGTAAAGGGGATATATGATCTTTTTAAAGTTTTAAGTCGTAAGGTAAAGGTTCTTTATTAGCTGTTATTTTCAGAGAGCCCTATTAACAAGATTGAGGGGAAAAGGGCAACCTGAACGGAAATCAAACTTATAAGGAGAATTCCACAGATTTTTCAAAATTTCTACATAGTTAATTTGTCAAGATGTAAACTAAGTAGTTTAGGTTGGTTAGATGTGAAATGTTGCCTCATTCAGATGAAGTCAGATTTCTTTACAATGGTGGTGATAGGAACCAGGGATCAGAACACAAATATACCTATTTTATACACCATCCAAAACAACGAGTGAAGCGATACATGAGTTTTTGTACATAATGTTACTGATACAATTGTTGTATATTTGATAACATAATAAAATATTTGCCTTATAACACACTACACGTACCCCTCCTCCAAAACAGTTGAAAAAATATGAATGATTTAGGCCAAAACCTTATTTAAGTATAGTCATAAAACAATACCTCAGGTACCAGGCAACATATTAAGAGCCATTTTGTGTGATAACTTTCTATGAGGGAGTTGGGCTTCAGATGTCTGGTTCCTAGCACCACCACTGGAGACAACTCTAACTTGGTAAGTTGCTCTGGAATAGAGCATTTCACATCACACCACTCTGAATGACTTTGAATTTTTGAAAAATCTCTGGAAATAAATTACTTTACAGTATATTGCAAACTTGTCTCTTATCAAGAGAGACAGTTGTCATTTATCAGAGGAAAACCGAACATACTGTTAAGGACTTTTTCCTGATTACTCAGTGGTCAGTTATATCTACATAGAGCGTGCGCCATCATTCAGCGTTACCATGGCAACAGCGCCGAACAGAAGTTAAAGCTTGTAAACGGTGGAAAAGAAACACATCTCACCTTTTTCTCCTTCGTCTCGCTCTAATAATGAAGCTCAGAGCTGATCAGAGTTAATTATCTTCTCAGCGAAGCTCGTTCTGCTCGTTAGTTTGTGCTGATGATGCACGTGATTCATTCACGTGACGTTACTGAGTAGGATGTGATCATGAGGGTCATTTCAGGACGCCGGTTCGTCACATTAATGACAGATTTGAGTCACTTAGCTAAACGTGTGAACCATCGTGTCAGAGAGTTCGGATTTGAGCAAAAAATCAGATTTGAGCAGTGAGGCTTGTAATGTGAACGTAGCTAAAGACATCTTTACCTATAAGTTTTTCAACTCATCATCTCTTCTGGATGAGATATTTCTGAACAGAGCTGTGCCAGATCAGTGATGGCTGCAGAGAAAGCTTGCGAAATGCATGAGGGTTTATTTGTTAAGTGAAATGAATAAGTGGGGGACAGTGGGGGTGGGGAGTGAGTGAGGGCTCAGTGGTACTAGCTGTCCACAAAGGGGGCCTAAAAAGTTTAAATTTGAATATATCTAATCAGGTTGCTGATGCCTGAACCCCAATGACACATTCAATGGTGCACCTTCCAAAATCAATCAAATTGTTTTACTATTGTTTTATTGCTCTGGTGTTATTAGCAGCAGCTCGTGCTGCAGGAACGGGGGGGTCCTCTGTGAGGAGTTAGGAGTAAAAACAGGCAGATTATGCGGACGGTACAGCGCTGATGAAGAAGCCTGTGACAGCACCTTTTCCATCTTAACCTGTCTTTCTCTCTAACGCAGTACCAAAGAGGCGCAGACCGGCACGCTCCATATTTGACGGCTTTCGGGACTTTCAGACTGAAACCAGTGAGTAAGAAGCACAAAGAGACTTCTGAGACTTCTGGCTAATCAGTTAAAGAGAGATTCCTCTAATTTCTAACATTTCTGCATAACTAAATGGTTAAGATGTAAACAGAGTCGTTCAGAGTGGTTCAGTGTGATCCACTCGTACCAGCACAACACACACTAACACACCACCACCACGTCAGTGTTACTGCAGTGCTGAGAATGATCCACCACCCAAATAGTACCTGCTCTGTGAGGGTCCATGGGGGTCCTGACCACTGAAGAACAGGGTAAAAGGGGGCTAACAAAGTATGCAGAGAAACAGATGGACTACAGTCTGTAACTGTAGAACTACAAAGTGCACCTATATAGTAAGTGGAGCTGATAAAATGGACAATGAGTATAGAAACAAGGAGGTGGTCATAATGTTAGGCCTGATTGGTGTTTGAATGTTGTGTAATTGTTGTTAATCTTGTGCTGCTGCAGTCAGACAGGAGCAGGAGCTGAGGAACGGAGGAGCCATGGATAAGAAGCTGAGCACGCTGGCAGATCTGTTTCGGCCCCCCATCGAGCTCATGCATAAGGGCAGCTTTGAAACGGTGAGAAAAGAACATGCCTAGAACGGTGCATCAGAAATACACCCGGAAAACCTGTTAAAGCGCGTATTTGCTGTTTAGCATTTGCATCTGCACTTGAAGGTGGAAAATGGCTCTATAAAGAACCGTGAACCCTCAAAGAACCTTTTACATGATTAAAGCGTTCTTCAGATTGATGGAGAATGTGTTGTAGATGGTCCTATGTAGCACCGAAAAGGGTTGTTCTATTATTACAAGCCTGACATTGTAACAATAGAAGAACCCTTTTTGGTGCCGTATAGTACCCTTTTCAAAACATTCTATATAGAATCATATGCGGCACATTCTCCATCAATCTGAAGAACCCTTGCACGATGCAAAGAACCCTTTAATTGTGCAAAATGTTCTTTTGAGTGTTCATGGTTCTTTATAGAACCACTTTCTCTACTAAAGAACCCTTGAAAATCATTAAGAGTGTAAAAGAACCTAAAGAACCTTTCAGAGGACATGTTTGTGAACTTTATATGAATTTTAAAAGTCCTTCCCAGTTATGTATTAATAATAAAAGGTTTTTCCTAGAACCCGTATGTCCAGGTGAAGAACTGTTTAGGAACTTTATTTTTAGTTTATAGGCCTTTACTTTAAAATATCTAGAATTGTTATTGCTGTTTTACTCTAGTATTTGAATTTATTGAGTCTACTTTGTGACTTCTTTGTGTTTATGGTGTTTAATAAAAACAAATAAATGGAAAAAAGTCAAATGTTTTGAAATTCAAATCATAATAAAATATGTTCCATATATAATCTTTTACTTACAAATAGATTGAACGTTTAGAATCTGCACTTTCCACACACGTTCTCCACCTCTTTCAATGAGCTTCGATATAATTCGAGATAATTATGATGGTTCTGAGGGTTTCTGCTCTGTGTACAGATGTTTCTAGGTGTTCAGGCGTTCACTGCACAGCTGTGCGCGTGTGTCTTCCCTGTAAATAATGATTCTCCCTCACTCCTCTTATTTTTCCTCGTTATAAACTGCCAGGCCAAAGACTGCGGTCAGCTGGAGAACAAGTGGCTGATGATAAACATCCAGAACGTTCAGGACTTCGCCTGCCAGTGTCTAAACAGAGACGTGTGGAGCAACAAGGCTGTGAAAACCATCATCAGAGAGCATTTCATCTTCTGGCAGGTGTGTGGTGTTTACCTGGGCATACAGTCTGTTCTCGACTTCAACACTGAAAGCACTGGAAAGGGAAAAGGATGGGGGGAAAACTTGCTGTTGGCTTGAAAAATAAAAATAACACTTGAAAAGATAGAAAAGATTGTTTTTGATATTTAGGTTTATATAGAAATTCTAGGTAGTTGCTGTGGTGTTGCTATGGTATTCCAGCTTGTTGTTGGGGCGTTGCTTGGCGGTTGTTAGGTGGGTGCCAGGTTATTGCTACTGATACTGATAAGAGATTGCTAAGGTATTTCTAAACACCGAATGCAACGAGGTAAAACGACATGAAAAAATTATTACCTTTGTTTGTTTTTTTTATTTTTATTAATTAACGGGATTTCAACCAGAGTGGCAAAACGTGACAACCAAAGCGAATGAGCAGAGCTGAGCTTTTTGCAGTGAAGTGAAAAATAGATTTTTTTTTTCACACAAACTGCGTCTCTGTCAGACCTTAAGACGCCGTCTGCTCAACCCCAGTCTGACTCAGGACCAGGGAACCAGTGAAAGACACACACGAAAATGTACCTGAACAACCGTCCACCTCAAGCACTTCATGCAAAAGTAGAACCACAGAAAGATTTCAGAACTTCATGACCTCAGGCATTTCCGTGGCTCAGGTCTGATAACATAAAGGAGACTATACTGCGAATTCTGGGGGAAAGTCTTTTTCTATTGACTTACATTAAAAGTACTGACAGCAGGCTGAGTGGCGCAACCGTCTAAGCGTTGGCCCTGTCATCAGGAGATCGCGAGTTCGATCTCTAGTGATGCTACAGCCGTCCGTAGCCAGGAGTCCATGAGAGCACAATTGGCCTCGCTCTCTCTGGGTGGGTGGGATGGCCCCTCCTTCTCCCCCATCGCTCAATGCGGTGCTGGTCAGCGCAGGCGTCTGTTAGCTGACGTAACAGATCTGGTGGTTGGTGCTTTCCTCCGAGCGCGTTCAGCTGTCCAGTGACGTTGCGTGAGCGGCAGTTTGAAAAGATGTGGTGGCTGGCTTCACAGGTCTCGGAGGAAGCCTGTGTTAGCCTTCACCCTCCTAGCGTTAATGGTATCATGTGATTGGGGGAGTCCTAACTAGCGGGTGGAATTGGAGACGACTAAATTTGGGGAGAAAAATGGGAAAACATCCAAAGTACCGACTGCAACGATACATACACAACCATATCAGAAAGGTCCTTTGTTCCTCATGGAACAGGGCAAACTGTGCCAATGCTCCACTGTGGACAAGCGAGAAGAGAACGGAGAGTTTCTTCAACCCATGCAGGAGCTAAAACTGTACGAGCTCTTTCACTCACAGCTGAGTTTGAGCTGATTTTCGAGAAAACAGTAGAATGTTTTTCTGGATGCTGGACCACTGTCCTTTTTGGAAAAGTGAAAGTATCGCGAGGAGTTTCATTCAGAAGCTTAAATTCTGCGTACGTCCTCACAGGCTGTAACTCGGATGTTTGTAGCCCAGGTTGAGCTCAGTTTGAGCTGCTTTTAGTGAGTCTGATCCTTCGGGAGTTGTAAAAAAAAAAAAAGGCCTGTTTGCTGCAACGCAGCTGCCCTATCATCTTGATTATCATGCCAAAAGCAGAGGTGACCGTGTCTGGTCAGTGAGTTAATGCCGCTGGTGAAAGTCCAACAGAGGGCGAATAAAATAATGTTGCATTTTCGCTGTCTGAAAAATTGTGGTGTGTAAGGTACCGTCAGCTACACACATGCTTGAATTGATTTATTGTCATCTGAATAAATATTGTTCATATTATTATGCACTAATAAATTACGTTCAGTGTGTGACGGCTTTAAGTGCTATTGGGTGGTTCCTACAGTGTTTTAATGTTGCTACACCATCCCAAATAGTTGCTAGGTGGCTACTATGGTTTTTCATATGGTTGCTAGGCGGTTACTGTATTGTTGGAGGTGGTTGCTAGGATGTTCTTCGGGGGTTGCTGTGGCAGTAAGCATTTATTTGCTCATAAAACATTCATATTAAAATAAATACAAAAAACTTTAATAGAGTAAATAGTGATTTTATGTATGTCAGTGTATTTTCATAGAACCGTTTCCAAACATCTCCTTATGGCAGCCCAGAATTTGTAGTTGTTGTCCAGTGTCTGGTTTGGCTAATCAATAATTCCTTATGTTAGATCAGGAGTGCTGGTTATAGAGTTTAATAGACCTATGCGATATCTCATAATATATCACTTATATTTTTAGAACAAAAAATTTGTTATCACTGGGTTTATATTTATTTGCATTTTCTTCTAATGTTCAGTTGTGTTTTTACAAGCAAAATGCATTCACTGCTGAGATAAATGGTTTAAAGAAAAAGACTTTTGCACAGTACAATATGTTTTCTAACCACCAGTCCATCTGTTCTCTACTGCTCATCACAGTGTAGCTGTTGTGATTCCAATTATGTTTCCATCAGCTTCTTACATTTCTATGCTACCTACCAATCAGAGCAATGGGAGCGTTCTTAAAGGGGAATTCCTCTGAATTTTCAAAATTTCTGGGTAGTTTAATTGCTTAGATGTAAGCGGTCATTCAGGCTAGTTTGATGTGAAATAGAGAAGTATTTTGAGGCTAAGCTGGTCAACTTGTGTTGCTAAAATAGTGGTAAATCCAAAAGAACACAGTTTCATTTGAGGACTGTTTTGCGTTACAGCATCTTGAATGTACCTCGCCACCATGAATGGATTTTAATAATATGTTTGTGCACCAGCACTTTATCAGAACTATCGTAAACCAACATCTCAGGCATCAGGAAGTGAATTCATAACCATTTCATGTAAGAACTTTCTGTGAGGGAGCTTTTAGAGGTGGACGTCTGGTTCCTATCACCACCACTGTGAACAATCCTGACTCTGTAAGTTTCTCTAGAACCAAGTGTTTCACACCAAACCACTCTGAATGACTCTGTTTACATCTTAACCACAAAATTATGCGGAAATTTTGAAATATCAGTGGGCTTTCCCTTTAATAAATAAATGACTATACCTAGCTTAGGAGTAGTATTTTAGAAAGTGCACCGTCACCCGTCTCAAATATGGGTTCATTATTAAAATAGTAAAAAGTAATGTTTTGTTTAGGATGTTTATTTATTTACTTGATTACATTTTGCATCATGAATAATGAGTGCAAACGTTTATTTATTTATTTGTTTATTTTTAAGGTTTATCATGACAGTGAAGAGGGTCAGCGCTACATCCAGTTTTACAAACTCAACAAGTTCCCTTACATCTCCATCCTGGACCCCCGCACAGGTGAGACATGCTAAGTGTAATACAAGTGTTAAATGACAGAGTTTATATTCGGTAGTGAGAGTTTAATGAAATCCAACCCTCCCAACTTCTTCACTTCTTTCTGTAACCTTAAACAGGTCAGAAGATGGTTGAGTGGAACCAGCTGGATGTGTCTTCGTTTCTGGACCAGGTGACGGGGTTTCTGACGGAGCACGGGCAGCTGGACGGTCTGTCCACTCAACCGCCCGCCAAACGCGCTCGCTCTGTAAGGACAACACGTTTCATTCTCTGTGTTAGTGAATTAAAGTGAAACGTACTGTGATGTGTTTGTGAAACACTCTATCGGGGAGGGTCTCTAAGCCAGCTCAGCATTGTCTCTCTATAACAGGAGTTATATTGGAGTTAATTCTGTGCCAAAAGTTTCAGATAAAATAATAAAATCCACAAAATGTTGCAGCACTGAGTGAGGAGAAAAAAAAACAGGCTAAAATATGGTGTGTGTGTGCTGCTGTGAGTCACCCAGTAAAGCCTGAAGTAATCATTTAAAGTCAGAGGCGTCAAGTTTTTCACACCACATCGTCTTTACTTATTAATGTCACACACGCAGACTCAAAAAGAAGGTCCGGCTCGATGTTTAGGCCTCAAATGAGCTCAAAATCAATATCATACTGATGAAGATGTGATGACAGTAGTAGATAAGTCACTCACATCCTCAGAAGACGCTCCTTCACCAAGTTCTGACTCTTTAAATTCTCTTTTTAATCATCAGATTTATCTGCTTGGAGAAGGAGTCCAAAGCACAACCCACATTAAAGAACGTTCTACCGAATGTTTTATGCAATTACACTTTTCCACCAGAGAGGTCGCCAAATCCCCAAAACTTATTCAGTGTAGCCTTATGTAGGAAAATGGCCAAAACATGTAGCAAATACAATTAATTTTCATTTGAAAGTTAAATTACGCTGAAAATGTTTACTACTCACTCATTTTGATATAAATGTATTTCTCATTTTGTTTTAATTTTTTCTGTTTGCTGATTTTGCTGATGCTTGTTTTTGCTTCTGAGTTCTTTCTTTTGCTTCTGACTTTGACACATTTTCGTGGGGGACTTTCACCTGCGCTGTCTATTGATCAACTGATTTGGAGTGATGGGTCTTCTGACATGTAGCCACACCCACTCCAAGGGTCGTGAACTGCCGCCAGCATGGTGGAACGTGTGCTGAGTGCTGCATTGACTTGAATCTGACTCTGACTCGCCTCTAACGTTCTTAACAAACAGTAGTTTAGCTGACTGTTTATACAGCTAGCAGTGTTGATACATTAATATTGCCAATCAGAGTTAGACTGGTTAATGATTTTAGGTTGAAAGGCTGGTGTTTACAGTAGTTTGGGAGTCGTGCTTCCAAATCTGTTTGGTATATAAAGTGTAGCACAGAAATGACCCATTTCACACGTTTGGTAGATAAACTGTACTGTCTCTACCAGATGTGTCACTTCTTGATGTCAGATTAGGTTTCATTTTGCTAGTTTGAAGGCCGTAGTGTGACTTCTGTTTTTTTAGAAACAAATCAGATCATATTTTGATACAATTTTGATGCTAAAACTGTTAAACAGGCAATACAAAAAACAGTAAATTAACTAAATTAGTTGATTTAATTAGTGCTAACCATACACTAGAAGACTTTAGTCTTTCAAAAGTCTTTTCAAAGTCTGACACCCTCTCACATCTAAAGACAGTGTCGCGGTTTTTAGTCACAGACTATGATTTTGCAAAGACTGGGAATGTTGCAGTGTCACTGTTTACAAGACTGCAACTCGTTTTTGAGATTATTCCCCATCATGCACCTGGTGGAAATTTACAAGCAGATAAACACTTTTCCTTCCACTCCACAGTGGTGCCGATGGGAAGATACGCTGGCTGGGCGTGTAAAGATCTGGGGCTCAGATTGGTTCACTATAGAACTGTATACTCTGACAGATCATCACCCAGAATTTTAATTAACCTGTAAAATGTGCTGCTTCTTTTTAAATTTGATATAAAGATTTACACATCGACCTGTCCAGGGTGTATCCTGCCTTCCGCCCAATGACAGCTGGGATAGGCTCCAGCACCCCACCCACCCACCCAGAAGGATAAGCGGTTTAGATGATGGATGGATGGATTTACACATCAACACAACATGCAGCGATTCAGCACTGTCGACTGGGTGTCATAAACTAAACCATAAGAAGCAAACAAACAAAATAAGAAACCACTATAACAGAAAACAATTGATTATTCTTCAATGACGGCATTCTTGAAGTCCTCTGCACATTTCCTCACGTTTAACAGACTCTGTGAACCTGAAATATTAAAACAGTCAGTTTACATTTTAAGTTAATATGATTATTGTGTTGAATTGCAGTTTTTTTACAGAGATTTCAGGCAGTCACGCCTACATTCTCTCTCTCTCTCTCTCTCTCTCTCTCTCTCTCTCTCTCTGTCTCTCTGTCTCTCTTTCTCTCTTTCTCTCTTTTTCTCTCTCTCTCTCTCTCTCTCTCTCTCTCTCTCTCTCTCTCTCTCTCTCTCTCTCTCTCTCTCTTTCTATCGTACCGCGCGCCTGCGCTCGCCTGCAAGCACTCACGCGCGCCCCTGGCACGTCACTACTTGCATGAGCCACGACTTAAAACTTGCGATAATATTAAACACATTGATTTTGTCGCAGCGTCAAGACGAGAAAAAGACTGACTTAAGACCTCCATATTGACCACCTTACACTAAACGATCGAGATGACCCGACGCGACTCTATCAAGACTCTCAGGATTTTATTCCGACATGGATATTTGTCTGCGACAGTGAAATCGCTTGAAAAGTCGTTTAGTGTAAGGCCGGCATAAGCCGTTAAGAGAAACAGAAAAGCTCTGTTTTAATAGCATGAAAGTGCAATGTGATTGTGTTATAATATCAGAGCTGAGAATTCCATATAATTGTTCCCATGTCAGAGGCAGCTATGGAAAAAATAGCTGAAAAAGTCCTCAGTGTGATCAGGTATAATTACATTACAGAATCACTGCAGTTGTTTCACCACATTCAGATCAGTGCATGTTCCTGCAACCTGTAATGTTTTTTAGGAGAGTTTAATCGACGCGAGTGAGGACAGTCAGCTGGAGGCAGCTATCCGAGCGTCTCTGCAGGAAACGCACTACGAATCCACTGAAGACAAGCCGGAATCTCGATCCGACGATGAATCGGACGCGGAGGCTTTCTCCGACAGCGAGGGGCTGATATCGGTGGACGGCTCGGACAACGAAACGGGAGGAGTAGGAGGAGGGGAGGACTCTCTGGACGGGCGAGCGTCGTCAGAACAGGCTCCACCCATCATCAGGCAAGACAGCCCCGCCCACCACAGGAAGTCTCCACACAAAGAGCTGAACCACAGAAAAGAAGAGAGCAAGAAAAACCACCTGGAGCCTCCGGGGCCGAGCCACAGACCGCCGGAGAGCCAGCAGCAGCGACAAAATCAAAACTCCACACCCCCCCACAGCTCACAGCCCACAGCCGGCAGCTCAGAAGCCGAAGACAACGGTAACCAATCCACTTTTACTTTATCAGCTCTGAATATGAGCTCTTTAAAGGGCTCATATAATAGAAAATTGACATTTCAAAACATGCCACTTACTTCTCAGCGCATAAAGCCCATATATGCTCACTAAGCTGCAAAAACAGCACGATTTTGTGTTTGTGATGTCACAAAGCACATTTACATTTTTCCGCTTATTCAGCCTATTGCAATTTAGCCCTGCCCACTCATACAAGTTAGACGAGGCACAATAATAGTGATAATAATGACTGATTTTGGTACATTAAGCCTCACAGACTTCATATGTGGACAACAAAATAAAATACAAGAGAAAAGATTTGGGCCTTTAAAACAACTGCTGAACATGCAGCCATGCTTGGAGCTACTCATTACAATTATGTTATTATGGTCCTAACAGTTTTTGCTGTATGAAATTATGTCTGACAGCAATGCATTGTGCTGCTTTAGAGGCCAGTGAAGACTGCTAGTTTTGCATAGCCGGAATTTAAAATAGCTTATTATTTGTCTGAGTAACAGTGACCATGTAATCATCCCTAATACACAGGGCTGCAACAGTATGCAAATTTCACGATACTCCCTTAAAAAAGATGGTTGTTCAAGGGTTCTTTAGTAAAGGCAATGGTTCTATTTAGAACATGCTTAAATGGTTCTTTGCATGGTGAAATGGTTTTTCAGATTGATGGAGAATGTGTTGTTTTTAAAAATGGTTCTATGTAACACCAAAAAACGTTGTGCTACTGTGACAATGTCAAGCTTGTAACAATAGAAGAACCCTTTTTGATGCCATATAGAACCGCATACAGCACATTCTCCATCAATCTGAAAAGCCATTTCATCATGCAAAGAACCATTAAAGAATGCAAATGATTCTAAATACAAAAATCACCTTCATTAAAGAATCCTTGAAGAACCTTAATAATATGTACAGTTACAACACGTTCTCTATACAAATTTTAGAAAATAAATGCTAACATAACTTTTGCGTTGTATTTACTATCCAAAACCAAAGCACAGTGTCTTCTGAGTTTTTACATGGACTGTTGTTAAAAATAGTGGAAAGTTTTGGGGACTGTTTTGTCTCACAACACCCTGCGTGTATCCCTCCACATGATTGTTTTTTAAAAGACGTTTTAGGGCCAAAAACTTACTTTTAAACTATCATAAAACAACGTCTCACACATCAGGCAGTGAATTCATAACCATTTCATGTAGTAACTTTCTGTGAGGGAGCTTTTAGAGGTGGACGTCTGGTTCCTATCACCACCACTGTGAACAGTTCTGACTCTGTAAGTTTCTCTAGAACAGAGCGTTTCACACCAAACCACTCTGAACGACTCTGTTTACATCTCAGCCGTGTAATTATGATGATCATAATGATTATAAAAAATGGATATAAACATGCGAATTGTGACTCCACTGCTAGTTCAAGTTCAAGTTTCAGGTTGTGTCATTTGCACAACATGTCAGGACATTCATGCATTGAAGTGCTTGTGGTGAGGCTCAGCTAATCAGTCTACAGCAGGGCACGAGAGACCTATGTGAGAAAAACTCTGCTATGTGCAAATATATTAAACAAAGGATAATCTGATAAGAATATATGTACATTTTAACGTGACTTTTTTTTTTTTTAAGTGTTTATAATAAATAATACCAACAAAGTGACAGAGTGTACACTGTACAGTGCACTGAGGGTCAGAAGTGCACTTTTTTTTGAAGCAGTTATTTTAAGAGTGCATTTTGGAAGATGTCTGGTTTGATTTTTTGTTTCATTTAAATGTTTTTTTGACTATTTTGCCTTTAGGTCCGAAGGCTCGCTTAATGCTGAGATATCCAGATGGCAGGAGGGAACAGATAGCACTGTCTGCTAATGACAAGCTCATGGTGTGTATGAATCTCTTTTTTTTATTTTTATTTATTTATTTTTTTTTTAATAGCTATAACTTTTTATTGTATCGTTTTTAATTGTATGATGCTTGGCTGTAAAGTTGTTCAACTATAATTCAATTAAATTTTATTTACAACATGCTTGATTGACAACATCCACTAAAAAGGAAAGATAAAATACTTGTTTGCTGCCTCAGACTTCAGGGCTGCTGTGAATTTGCTGTCACCTTCCTCTTCAGCGTATCTTTTTCTCTTCAGACTAACAGACCACACTGTGAATGTGGTGGAATGTTTGGAGAGCACAGACTGTTCGGTTTTGCTTTCTTGACTTAATAGACTCTGTCTGTCAGCAGGGGTCACTCTGAGTCCTCTCAAACAGGGACAGCATGGACAGTCATACTGTTGTATACTCTCAGTTTAAAGGAGTAGTTTGGCAAATTGTCAGTTTTCATACTTAACAGTGAGTCATGCAGTGTCAGAAACGACATAATGAAGTCTGTATATGTCTCTCTGTGTAATGTCTAATGTGTGTGTGTGTGTGTGTGTGTGTGTGTGTGTGTGTGTGTGTGTAAGTAAATCTGAATTATATATACATACACACACACACACACACACACCCCAGTCACTTCTGTAAGTACCCCTCCTTCCATCTACACTCATTGTCCATTTTATCAGCTCCAGTCACCTGCTCTGTCTGATCCACTTGTCCAGCGCAACACACACTAACACACTGCTACCACCACATCAGTGTCAGTGCAGTGCTGAGAATAACCCACCACCCAAATAATACCTGCTCTGTGGGGGTCCTGGCCATTGAAGAACAGGGTAACAAAGTATGCAGAGAAACAGATGGACAACAGTCTGTAACTGTAGAACTACAAAGTGAAACTATGTGGTCAGTGGAGCAGAAACATTGGACACACACACAAACACACACACACAAACACACGCGCACACACACATACATATACACACACATATATATATATATATATGTGTGTATATATATATATATATATATATATATATATATATATATATATATGTATGTGTGTGTGTGTGTATATATATATATATATATATATATATATACACACACACACACACACACACACACACACACACACACACACACACACACATACATATACATATATACAGGAATTAATAGGGAAAAAATCAAACCTAAATTATCAAACCTTAAACTATTATTTTTCCCTCCCAATACGTTAACCTCAGCAAATAAACAGTAATTTTACAGAAGTGTGTTCTCTGCAGAGGCCATATTAACTTATTTTCACTTAGAAAATCAACTAAACATGGAATTTGACCAGACCTGCCTAAACAGTATATTATCATAATTATAAATAACTTTCTTCTTTCTTTCTGCAGGCCCTGGTGAGACACGTGCAGTCGAAGGGTTACCCAAACGAACGCTTTGAACTTGTCACCAACTTCCCTCGGCGGAAACTGGCGCATTTGGACTATGAGATCACGTTGCAGGAAGCCGGACTCTGTCCACAGGAAACCGTGTTTGTGCAGGAGAGGAACTAGTCCCTCTTTTTCGTTTGTAAGCCTCGTCTTCTCTCCTCCAATGGTTACTCGAGCTCCACGGAGAATGGGAACGGGCCGCGCCTCGTTCACTGCCGGTCCTTTTCTGAAAAAACGCCCTGGGAGACGGATCTCTGCAGGTGGACCACAGTTCATATTTATTTGTGAATAACTCTGCGCATCCCTATTGGGCCTGTTGGGGCTCTCTCAGCTGCGTATTGGTATAAAGCAGCGTGGAATAGTTTGAGAATAAGCTCATACTGGAAAGCCCTAATGTTGAAATCGGGTTTTGAGGTCACCCTCCCGACGAGTGGCGTCATTTTGATTGATGGCCATGTTCGATATAGGAAAACCTTCATTTTATCTTTTATCATGTATCCCCAAAGCTCTCTGAGGATTTAAACCCCTCGTTTGCCCCCTGTCATGTTCTAAAACTCAGGCGTGTCAAGCTGGGTGATCTAGGGAGCATTCTTCAGACCATATTTAGAGGAATAAAGAGGAACATCCCCTCAAATATCTGATCTGCACTGTGCAGGGATGGTGTAGGGCGTTACATTTAGTTATAGTGAGTTTCTGTATTTCTTTTTTTTATATGCTGCATCATTTCAAAAAAAAAAAATGTTGATTCTCAAATATAACCATGAAAAAAGGGACGTGTAGCTTGTTTTGTGTGCTTGTTTGTCCAGTTTCTTCCTTCATACTTCACGTCTACATGAAAATTAATAATGTTGTGCTTGTGTTGCTGCTTAGAATGTCACAAAGAGGTGCATGAGTCCAAGATAATTATGTAATTACAGCCCAAGAAGCTTAATATAGCATTGTGTTGGTTGTTGCATTGAAGTCCTGCTTAAAACGCTGCCTACAAACCTGCAATGCAGTCCAGGTCCGATCCTAGCTGTGCCATGCGCTTTGGATGCATTGAGATACATCATAAAAGTTACGTAAGTATTGACTTTATCCTCTGTGCACACTACATCACTACCACACAGCCTGATTTAGCACAAAAAAGAAAACGTGTACCTCTAAAACTATTAGGATACAAAGGTGCAGTGTTTTTTTTCCACTGTAATCAATGCTAATATAAAAAACAAGTCTGTGTGGTAAAAGTACAGAATGTTGCCCTTTGTTTCTGGCCTATGTGCATTATCATTTTAATATTCTTCAAATTAATTAATGTTTCTTGCTTACCAGTGGCGAAGTACCAGTAAATTAAACCATACAAGTTACTTGTTTTTATAGTTGCACTGTACTTGTAGTTGCATGTCTCTCACATAGCTATACATACCAGCCTGCAGCTCATGCTGATTTGAGAGTTGCCTATTAAAAAAAGAATTTTTATGTAAAAAATGATCATAGAAATTCTATTTTAGAACAGTTCAGTTACATTATAATAATCAGCGTCAACTGAATTGACATTACCTTTCCAGAGCTTTAAAGGGGAATCCCACAGATTTTCTGCCTAAATAAATGGTGTAAAGATGTAAACAGAGTCGTTCAGAGTGGTTTGGTGTGAAACGCTCTGTTCTAGAGAAACTTACAGAGTCAGAACTGTTCACAGTGGTGGTGATAGGAACCAGACGTCCACCTCTAAAAGCTCCCTCACTGAAAGTTACTACATGAAATAGTTATGAATTCACTGCCTGATGTCTGAGACACTGTTTGTTTTATAATAGTTTTGAGAAGATATTGGCCTTAAACTCCATTCATGGTGGAGGGATACATGCAGGGTGTTGAGAGGCAAAATAATCCGCCAAAGAAAACTTATTTTTAAATTCATTACTACCAACATCAACATTCCATATAAACTCAGAAGACTCGTGTAGGTTCACTGGTGGTTCTGGATAGTAAATAAAACGTCTATATTTGTGTTGTAGTCATGGCGACCCCTGGTTCCTATCACCACCACTGTAAAGACATCTGAACAATTTCACACCAAACCACTGAATCACTCTGTTTACATCTCAACCACTGGATTATGAGGAAATTTGAAAAATAGACTGAATTCAGCTTTAAAGAAGAGAGTTTGTCAATCAGTAAAAGTTTGCACAGTTAACAATCTGTAAGCAGTTAAAGAACCAAAAATAAAAGGTAATATTCTGTATTTTTGCCATCGTCTTTCTCGTGTTACCATACAATGAAGAGTAATTAGGGGTCACTTTTTGGGCGGGTTTAAAATATTATTAACCAATACGTAAACAATTGTATGGTGCAGTCCAGGGGTCGACTCCAGAGGCAGGAGTCGAATGTTGGAGCCGACTCCTCAACTCCATTCTAACCAGGACAGCATCACAGACAGTGAAAAGGGGATACAGCAGAGACGAAACCATGCTAAATGTAGTTTACCCACTTTTGAGTACCTACAGATTACAGTATGTATGCAAATTCATAGATTATACCAAGTGATATCAGGCAGCCCAGCGGACACACAACGTTGATATGACGTCAGAGAACTTGTAGCAGAGCCGGTTTATGAGGAGCCTGGCCACTTCCTATTCCCCCCGTTATATCAAAAGCAGGACTACTATACAGCAGAGGGCGTCTGCGAAAAACGAAAAGTTAAAATAGTTTCTAATCACTCGCCCAGAACTTTCCTTTAATTTTGGAAAGTAGAAGGATGTATGTATTTCACTAAAAAAAGCAAAGAAATCTTACCGATATCAGAGAACTTGTAGAGAGGAGAATTACCACTCTACGTCTTCTGGTTTTCTCAAACACTAGAGGGCGCTCCCGAGCAAGTCCAAAATGAATGGGTTGATATGGAGCATTTGAGCAAAATCATAGTTTTTCAATCTTTCAATATTTTAAATGATGAGCTGATCCGCTCGCCAATCAATCAGCACTCAGTAGCAGTAATGTTAGCGTCCTGCTGCCCAAAACCCGTTTACTGTAAAAGAAACGAAACATACAGGCGAGTTTTCTTTGCTTTTTTTTTAGTGAAATACATCCTTCTACTTTCTAAACTTAGAGGAAAGTTCTGGGCGAGTGATTAGAAACTATTTTAACTTTTCGTTTCTTAGCTGTTAACTTTTTTTGAGGACTCCCTCGTGGGCAGCCTCTGCTGTTGTGCAGTCCTGTTTTTGATATAATGTGGGAAATAGGAAGTGACAAGGCTCCTCATAAACCGGCTCTAGTGACAACTTATTTTTTTTTTTTTTGCTGGATTCTGGTCGTAACGTCACATGACCTAAATACAACCTCTTTTCAACCTGAAATAATAGACCACTGTAGTGTCGTCATTCTGTAGTCCTCCTTATGCCCACATTAGGAACTCTGGGTCTGAGCTCCGTTTCTCTAGGGCCAGAATGAATAGGGTTTTCGAAAAATCGCCTCTATCGCCCCCTGTGTTCAATAATAATCGACCTTATAATCGACCTACTTTGTGTATCTAATCTATCTACTTTGTGTATTTTCTGCCGTTCACATTTAAAATGTCTCAAATCGCTCATTTGAAACCAGGGCAGCAGATGGTGCGATCTGTAAAACATGCGCGCTGAGAACTGTTCGGTGAAATGAGTTGAAGATCAGAGAATATGCACTGCGGCTCACGAGCCCGTCGCAGCTTTTCAAATCAAAACACTCGCGAGGGTAAACCGTTATTTTTTACTCCAGAACCGTTGGTGCCTCGGATGCTTTCCCTGGTGTTTTCGGGTAAGAACACAGTAGTTATATGCCAAAATATATAATAAATTATAATATTGTGTAACTTCTGGCAATTGAATGACGTTTTACTGTGTTTTTTCATTCGTTTTTTGAAAACTAGCTAATGTTAACCAACTGAAAGCGTAGTTAGTTAACCTAACTAACCTAGTTAACTAGCGTTATATGTTATAGCCAAGTTACACATCGCTGTGGTCAGAACAAAACCTCTCCATTTTTGTCGTTTTTCAGTTTTTGACATTTTCTGAAAATGCCTGTCGCCCTTTACATTGTGTGTAAATTTCATAATGAATGGACCAAAAGAAACGGCCCAAAATGACTTGGAAAAAATTCTGGTTCCATTGACTTACATTAACAGTAGAGTATGTTTTTTACTTCTCCTGTAAAGTTTCCATTTTGAAGATACAAGGTTTTGTTCCGACAGCAGCGATATGTATAAAATGTCAGCTGGCTTAAATAAGCAGGCGTTAGATAAGTTAATATTAACTTATTTTAAAGTTAGTTAACTTAGCTAGCGTTAACTAAGCCCCAATTAACTACCAGTTTCGCCTTTGATTTTTTTTTGCCACGTTAGTAGCTACAAATGTTATGTTTGCTAGCTAGCTATTTAGCTAACACCCTAAGACCATTTTTTCATTAACAGCTGAAATGAGCTGCTCTGTAATAATAAAATATACCAGTCTTGCTGAAAATGTGAACACATTTTTCCAAACTGTAGCTAAAAATATCATTTTTATCATGGTCAGTTCGGCCTCTGCTTATTTTAGATTCTAGATAGATTATAGATAGATTGTTTTGCATACTGAGGGGACACTCGTTAGCTAGAGTGAGAAAATCTCTACTGCAGTCCTAATTCTTTGAAAAGAAACATTTGAATGCTATCAAAGCCGGTTTATGAGGAGCCTGGGCACTTCCTATTTCCCCTATTATATCAAAAACAGGACTGCACAACAGCAGAGGCCGCCCGCGAGCGAGTCCTCAATGAATGGGAGTAAATGGCTCAACGGCTAAAAACTAAAAGTTAAAATAGTTTCTGATCACTCGCCCAGAACTTTCCTTTAATTTTAGAAAGTAGAAGGATGTATTTCACTAAAAAAACAAAGAAAACTCGCCTGTATATTTCCCTTTTTATACGCAAATGGGTTTAGGGCAGCAGAAGGTGGGCATTACTGCTAGAGTGTGATGATTGGCGAGTGGAGCAGCTCATTGGCTGTTCGCGCTCACTGACGTCATTGACATACATGAGGCACCATTTTAAACTCCTATAACTCGAGTTTAAAAGCTCTTAAAAATATAACAGCAGTGTTAAAATGTTTTATGCTGTTCTGTGTTCAGGAAATGATTGTATTCTTTTACATTGAAAATGTCACCCGAGCCGGTTTATGAGGAGCCTGGCCACTTCCTATTTCCCACGTTGTATCAAAAACAGGACTGCACAACAGCAGAGGCCGCCCACGAGGGAGTCCTCAAAAAAAGTTAAAACAGCTAAGAAACCAAAAGTTAAAATAGTTTCTAATCACTCGCCCAGAACTTTCCTCTAAGTTTAGAAAGTAGAAGGATGTATTTCACTAAAAAAAAGTAAAGAAAACTCACCTGTATGTTTCCTTTCTTTTACAGCAAACGGGTTTTGGGCAGCAGGACGCTAACATTACTGCTACTGAGTGCTGATTGATTGGCGAGCGGATCAGCTCATCATTTAAAATATT